AAAGTATTATTTATTAGTTTATTTTTATTACCTTTATTATTTTCTTTATCTTTAGCTTTAGTAATATATTATATATAAGTACTATTAAAGTATTTATTAAAGTTATAGGTATTTCGGGATCTAAACTAATAAATACTTCTATTCCTAAATTAAGCCTTTTTAGCTTTTTATTTCTCTAATATATACTTTTATAAATAGTATTCGGGTTTCTTATATATAAAATATAACTTCGAAATATAATTATTATAATTATAAGACTTGAAATAGTTATTACGGGTTCCGAAATTATAGCTAGATTTATTTTAATAATTTCCGGAGAAATAATAGCTTAGAGAATTCTGAAAATAATATTATTAATTAATAAAAAAGATTTCGGAATTAGCTTATTATTTGCTTTTATATATAATAATAAATAACTAGAGCTTATTAATAAACTAGCCGAGATTTATAAGAGAATCTGAAATTATATATTTATATACCCGGAAATCTGAATAAGAGATAATAATTTTATTATAAAGAAATTTAGTATTTTATAAATTAGATATAAAACCGTATTATAGTTAGTATAATTTATTAATTAGTAATTAAATAGTTTTAAATATTATCTTTTCCGGGAATTTAGCTATTATAAAAGCTAATATAATAGTATTTTATTTATCTAAATTTCGATATTTGAATTTAGGGCTTTTAAAAAAGCTATAAATATTAATATAAGCTTTATATATATATATATATATTAAAAGAGCTAGTTACTATAAAAGTAGTTTTAAGCTAGTTCCTTTAGTATAATAGGAAAAGCTCGTATTAGTATCTCTTATAAAAGCTCTATATATTAGTAAATATTAAGGGAAAAAATAAGTTTATAATTAAAATTACTATTAAATCTATTATACTTTTATTTTTTAGTATAGATTTTAGTAACTTTTCTAATAAATCTTAAAATTAAAAGAAATTAGAAGGTATTTAGATATAATTATAGTAATAATAATAATAGAAGTATATTATTTATTTCTAAAGCTTTTATACTAGTATATAAATCTAGTAAAGATATAAAATATAGTAGTAAAGAAAGTAATAAAGGAAATAATAATAATATAGGAATATTAAAAATAATAAATTTTAAATGTTTATTTTTTATAAAAGTAATAAAGCCTAATAGGATTAATTCCTTTATAAGGTCTAGTCTAGCTACTAATATATTCTTATTTAATTATATATATTATTTATCTTTCTTTATAATAGTATATAAAGTATTTATAATAGTATTAATATTACTATTTTATTATATAAATATATTATTATAGTAAAGGATCTTATATAAATATTATATTCTTTTAAGTTTAAGTTTATTAAAGTTCTTTTAATAAATAAAGTTCTTAAAATTATATCTAAATAGTTTCTAGAAGTTATTATTAACTATTTTATAAAAAATATATTAAAATAGCTTAATATCTAGAAATTCAGTTATCTTATTTATTCTAGTAAAGTTTAGATTAATTTCATATTTCTATTTTCTTACTAATTCCTTGAAATTACTATTATTTATAAAGTAATTAGATTAGATAAATTTAATAAAGAAATTATTTATTATAGTATATTCCGTTATTATATATTTTATAGACTTATATCTAGTCCGAGATATAATAGCTTATAAGAAGAATAAATTTATAAAAAAAAGAATAGTTTATAAGATAAGTAATTTATAAAAGATATTATATTTGAAATAAATAAAAATTCATAATAAGAAATTTAGGAAGTAAAATATCGAGATTCCGGAATAATTTAATAGTTCTAAAGCTTAAAAGCTTCAGGGATTCAAAAGAAGATAATTTTTAAAAGAGTTTTATAAAAGTTAAATAGAAATAGAATAGAATAGTTAAATAGCTAATTATTCTAGTATTTAGTAAAATCAAATATCTTTTCTATTTATATAACTGAATTATAGATAATAAGACTAATAAATATTTCTTTTTTTAATATAGTATAATTAGACCTTAGTAAAATTAAGTATTTTTTCTACTTATATAACCGAATTATAAATAATAGAATTAATAGTTATTTTTTCTTTAATTTAAATAATAGCTTTATTTCTAAATAATTGAATCTTAAATAAATATAGCTTAATTCTTTCTAATTAGTATTAGTTTATTAGAAATATATAATATTATTATATAATTATAGAATACTATTTATATAAGTTAGTAAAGTTATTATTATTTAGAAATAAGAATTATAGTATTATAGTATTAATATATAATTCCTAAATCTACTAAGCCTAATAAAAACTAGTTATTAGTCGAGTTATTTATATAATATAAGGTTATATAATTATTACTCGTTATCTATATTTTATTATCTCTAGTTATCTTTATATTATATAATTATATTATATAACTATTAATAACTATAGCTATACTAATAATAATAATAATATAAATTTTTTAAAAACAAATACTTCTAGATATTTATTTTTTATAAGAATTATAAATTCTAATAGAATTAGTTCTCTTTAAAGATTTAATCTAGCTTTTAATATATATTATATATTTTCCTTAATAATAGTAAATAAAATACTTATAATAATATTAATATTATTATTTTATTATATAAATATATTACTATATTAAAGAATTTTATTTAAATATAATATTTTTAAATATTTAAGCTTATTAATAGTTTTTTTAATATATAAAGTTTTTAAAATTATATTTAAATAATTTCTAAAAAAAATATTATTAATTATATTATAAAAAATATATTAAAATAGTTTAATATTCAAAAATTCAATTATTTTCTCTTATTTAGTAATAATTAAATTAATTATATATTTTTATTTCTTTATTATTTTCTTGAAATTATTATTTTATATAAAGTAATTAAATTAAATAAATTTACTAAAGGAATTATTTATTATAATAAGTTATATAATTGTATATTTTATAAACTTGTATTTAGTTTAAGATATAATAACTTTTAAAAGAAATAAATTCGTAAAAAGAAGAATAATTTATAAAAAATATTATATTTAAAGTAAAAATTTCGTTTATAATAAGAAATTTAGAAAGTGAAATACCGAGATTTTAGAAGAATTTAATAATTCTAAAGCTTAAAAGCTTTAGAAATTCAAGTAATTATAAAAGAGTAATTTTTATAAAAATAAAAAAAGTAATTATATAAAATAATTAAATAATTGAATAGCTAATTATTTAATAATTAGTAAAAAGCAATATCTTTTTTTCTTATAAAACCGAATTATAAATAAAAGTAATTATTATTTCTTTTTTTAATATAGCTTAATTAAACTTTAGTAAAATTAAATATTTTTCTTTTTTATAAAATCAAATTATAAATAAAGAATTAATAATTATTTTTTTCTTTAACTTAAATAATGGCTTTGCTTTTAAAAAATTAAATCTTAAATAAATATAGTTTAATTCTTTTCTAATTTAATCTAAATCCGGAAACTAATTAATATTAGTTTATTAGAAATATATATAATATTATTATATAATTATAAAATATTATTTATATAAAGTTAATAAAGTATTTAATATTTAGAAATCAGAATTATAATATTATAATATTAATATATGATTTCTAAATTTGATAAGTCTAATAAAATCTAGTTTATTAATTAAATTATTTATAAAATACGAGATTATATAATTATATTTTATATTTTATATTTTATTATTTATATTTTATTACTTATATTTTATTATCTTTAATTCTTATAATTATATATATAACTCTCGAAATAATAATTATATTAATAATTAAAAACGATATTTTATTTATATTTCTTAAAAGCAAATATAATTTCTTTACTAATTATATTATATTACTTTTATGAATTAAATTAATATAATAATTAAAAACTTAAAGTTTAAGAAATCTTATATATTAAAAATATTTAGCTAAAGAATAAAAGTAGAAAAAATGCCTTAATTTTTAATAATATTTTATTTATATTTTTAGTTTAATTTCTTATTTTATTTTTATTTTCTAATTTTTATTCTTAGTAAATTATATAATTATATTAATTATTATATTAGTTCTTATTTAAGTTTTTATTCTAGTTTTATTTTAGTTTTGTTTTAGTTCTTATTTTAGTTTTTAGTTTCTTTAATTTATAAATTATTTATTATTGATTTTTAAATAAAAGTATTAATATTTATATATATAAAGCAAGATTTATTGACTTTTATTTCCTAAAAATACTTAATTAAACTCCAATTTCTTATATAATACCTTTTTATATTAATTTCTTTTTATATAATAATTTTTTAATATTAAAAAAAAAGAATATAGTACTAATAGCTAAAGCTAAATATAATAAATATAATTACGTGAAATTAGCTCATATAACTAATTTGTAATTACTATATTATATTTATTTTTAATTTCTCTAATTCCTAATTAATATTTAAAATAATATTATTTATATTTTCTTTCTTTCTTTCTTCTTTCTTTTTTATTAAAAGAAAGCCTTTTATTAACTATTTTTTAAGCAAATTAGGAGTTTTTTATATATAAAGAGACTTTGAAATTAATTCTTTTCAAAAGTATATAATTTTAGGCATAATTGGGTGCCAAATTTAAGTACTTTCGCAATTTCGCATTTCACAGTCTTCTTGTTTAGAACTTATAATTCTTAATACCCTAAAAACTTGCCTTATCCTTAGAGGTTGGGAAGCGCTAGCGAAACGGATGTGGCAGCCTCTGGCCGAACTATTTTTGACGTTAATAATCTGACTAAAAGGGGTCAGAATATTAGCCACAGGGAGCCAAATTTCGCTCCATCCCTAACGTCGAAATCACGTGCATAGTACTTTCCTAGGAGAAATTTCCCGGGAGATCACTGGTCCTGTGAAAAACGGCTCAGGAGAGCATAGTTCCTAACGAATTTCTCATAGGAGCTATGCTCCCCCAAGAGCAGTAAACTAGTCTTAAAACTAAGGTATTTAAATAATCAGCATTTACTTTATTTAACATTATAGCTATCTAAGAGTAGATAAGATGGCCGATGAGAATCCGATAATAAGCACCTTTCCAGATTGACAGCCAATAGCGATTGTCGACCCCGATAGCGAAATATCAGAACTAAAAGCCCGGTAGTCAGGCGGTAACCAGAGCAAGTTCTGGGTGTTCCATGTAATCCACGGCCCGCAAATTCCCAATCCTTGGCAGTTGCTTTTACCAGTGGCCTCTTGAGAAGATTCGGACAAAGTGGGAAGCTTAGTTCTTTCTACCTTAAAACTTCCGACGTTTGTAATAAGGATTGAGTCCGTAATATCAAATGATAAACTCGTGATATTACCGGAAACTGCGACACTTTGCTGGTGAAAGCCTGTAGCCGCGTCCCAGACCTTGACGGTATTGTTGTTTGACGCCGACGCCAGTAGCTTTGAGTCGTGCGAGAAAGCGACTGACCTAACCCAATTACTATAGCCAAGCGTTTGCTGGAGCGAACCTGTAGTCACGTCCCAAATCTTGATAGTTTTATCGTCTGATGCCGATGCTAGTAGCTTTGAGTTATACGAGAAAGTAATTGACCTAACCCAATTGCTATGGCCCTCGAGCGTCTGCCGGAGAGAGCCTGCAGCCGCGTCCCAGATCTTAATGGTGTTATCGTCTGATGCTGATGCCAGTAACTTCGAATCGTGCGAGAAGGCAACTGAGTTAACCCAATTACTATGGCCCTTGAGCGTTTGCTGGAGCAAGCCTGTAGCCGTGTCCCAGACCTTGATAGTGTTATCATGTGACGCTGATACTAGTAGCTTCGAGTCGTGCGAAAAGGCAACTGAGTTGACCCAATCGCTATGGCCCTCGAGCGTTTGCTGGAGAGAGCCTGTAACCGTGTTCCAGACCTTGACGGTGTTATCATGTGACGCTGACGCTAGCAGCTTCGAGTTATGCGAAAAGGCAATTGACCTGAGCGAACTACTATGGCCTTTGAGCGTCTGCTGGAGAGAGCCTATAGCTGTATCCCAGATCTTAATGGTATTATCGTCTGACGCTGACGCTAGTAGCTTTGAGTCGTGCGAGAAGGTGACTGAATTAACCCAATTACTATGGCCCTTGAGCGTTTGCTGAAGCAGACCTGTAGCCGTATCCCAGACCTTAATAGTATTGTCATGTGACGCTGACGCTAGCAGCTTCGAGTCGTGTGAGAAGGCCACTGACCTAACCCAATCGCTGTGGCCCTTAAGTGTTTGCTGGAGAGAGCCTACAGCCATATCCCAGACCTTAATAGTGCAATCACTTGACGCCGATGCTAGTAACTTCGATTCGTGTGAGAAGGCGACTGATGTGACCGAACCGCTGTGGCCCTCGAGTGTCTCAAAAGCGGTATTCCATTCCAGATCTATATTTGGCTGCTGTGAGATCCAATCAGGTATGTAATTCTGGAATATATTTCGAATGGTACTTTCTTTTGGAGCAAAGACAAGTGCAGAAGAGTAGAGCTGGAGTGGCGATGAGTCGGCTATTGAGCAGAAGCTAAGGACAAAACGCTTCGCATCGCGAAGAAATTGAGATAGTTGAATACTTTTTGTAGACTTTAATTACGTTTCAGTAGATGCTTGTGGTTAATATTAGAGAGTGACTTACTTCTACCATAGCTACCAGGTTGTCGATCATACTAATGCTTTCTCGTAGCCTTCCAATAAGGCTTAATGATTCAAGCCAATGGAGGAAGTGATACTTTAGAAAATTGTGGACTTGTTCGTTGTCGCATATAATGCTTCCGCCCTCTTTCAAGTGATATACCCAATATTGGCAAGCATATTGGATGTCTGGTGGTAGGTGTGAATCTATCGTTTGTCTATCAATATCTGCCCGTGGCCTTTCTGGTGTCTGAAGATCGCAGATATCTTTCTTGATATACTTGCTAATAGACAAGCGTTGGAGGCATCTTGTTGCCAGCTTTGTATGAACATCCTTCTCGTCGACCCAGAAGGGGTTTATCCCGCGCTTCTCAGGGTCGACGAGGAAGTCCCGGAATGACAAATGGAGTAGCCGTATAGGGCAATCAAAACGAGAGGGGATGCTTAGAACCGAGTGGAGGAGATCTGTTCTGCTATCGACTGTACCTTCAGGAACTCCAAGTAGTCGATCGAGGGAAGTAGCAGAAAGAGGGCTAGCGAGAATGACGATTGAGCCGACGACTTGCTGGAATTCTTCTACTAGACCTCTTCTCTCCGAACTAGTAACTCCGATAAGTAATTGGTCCAGGACTGGGAGATACGTTATATCAAGTTTGGATGATTGGCTTCTAGTCTCATATTTTAGGACCTTAGCAAGCTGATCCTTCGGTTGGCCGCATTTTCGGTCATTAATAAACCGGCAGACTGTTGTAGCAAAAATGAATAATGGGATAGCCATTCTAACTAAGCTTTGAACGTTTGCTTGACCTGGCCAATCCGCGGGTAATTGCCGGTTTGATGTGACTGATTTATTATAATCATCACGGATTATTGCTAGCTCGTATTCTAGGAATGCAGAGATGTCTTCCTTGACAATATGTCTAGGGATTTGATGAAGAGCTAGTCCTTCATACTTACCGCTTATATCCTCAAAGCCGACGCGAATAGACAGCTCTGGCCTGCTTGTTAAAAAGAACTTGAGTCGTACCGATGTTATGCGTTGTACTTGTGAAAGGAGGCGAATTATGATTCTGACATCCTCCTCTCGGTCGCACTCGTCAAGGGCATCAATCACAACCACTATTCTCGAAGACTCTTGCAAGTCTCTTTGCATCTTGCCTAAAGGTTGCAAGACGAGCGTTTCAAACTGTTGCTTTAGGGCCTTTGTCGAGATAACTGGGTCGGCCTCGATCGCAGTTTGGACGTATGGCGCTAAGGAAGGCAGTTTTTGGACAAGCTGAGTAGCAATTGTTGTAATGAGCAATCCTGCATGGCCACGGTCGCCTTCGCCCCTCTTAAAGAAAAAACTTGCGCCGAGATCTCCCTTATCGGCGAAGTTTTGGGCCACTGTACGGGAGATTGTAGACTTGCCAGTACCCGCCATTCCATTCAGCCAGAAAATACATTCGCTGCCTTGATTACTAGCCCAGGTATTTATCTGTCGAAGAAGTTCTACTCGAGTGCCTTGGTAGCATCTGGCATTATGTTCTTCGTCGTGGGAGTCGAATGCGGCATTATCGACGGATCGCAGTCTATTAAGAACTGTTCCTTGATAGAGACTAAGGATTTGTACCCTATAGGCAACATTATTAACTTCTGCTATGTGAAATATGAACAAAATCACTTACTCTTGGTCGACTTGGAGACTGAAAGATATGTTGGACTTGCAATTTCCGAGTTTCTTCATGACTCCATCCACATCGTTGCTCTTAATAGGCCAGCTTAAGGCGCGTATTCCATAATGGCTCATCAATTTATTCCTTCTTCGAGGCTCTAGCTTCGTCTCTAGCTGTGCGAGCTGCTTCCTACAGTCCTCGACTCCCTCACGCAAGCTCTGGGATTCCTGGAGCTTCACACCATTTGGGCCGTCACACAGCGACTGGACCCTTTCAAGGGTTGCTTTCAATCCTTGAGCCTCCCTTTGAAGGCGTTCGATGTCGTCTCGGGCATTCTTGACATTGCCGTAGTACTCAGAGCACCGTGAGGTAACCTTTGCGGACAAATCGATAACTGCTATAACGCTTGCGGCAAGTCCTAGAGTCTCTGCCATTGTTGTTGCGAAGAGGCCTACGAACAGAGCGCGTAACAGACATTTTCGTTCCTACGGCTGAGATTCGAGTTGGGACGAGGCTTCCTGTTTGGCCTGAGGACTCAGTTCTAAGAATAGACCAACACGATCACGTGATCTTTGATTGTGACTCGATCTTCGGAATTGAACACATTATATTCCCAGCACCCTTACAGCCGTTATAATAGCGCAAGTCGATCTAGTAATAGCTGCCCTCGACATGTTCCGTATTCTCTCGAGAATACCCATACAGCCTTTCTGAACTTAATAAAGTTCCTATTTTAATATATATTATAATATTAAAATTATAAAAGTATTTTAAATTAATAATAAATTATTAAATAGTAATGCCTTTTTTTATATTTTATAGTTTTTGGTTATTATAAGCGCTATATAAACTTTATATAAGCTTTCTTTAAACAAGTTTTACTTCTTAGTATATAACTTTTATAAGAGCTCTTATATATAATAATATAAGATAAAGCTTATAAACATAATTAATTTAAAGACTTAGCTTTTATAAGAAACTAATTAATACTTACTTTTAAAGCTTTATATACTTCTTTATATATTCTCTAGTATTTCATTAAGTATAATATAAGTACTAGCCCCGATTAGGCAATATAATCTTATATAAGTATTACTTTAATTAAGTAATTTAATTTAGTTTAATATTTACTTTATTATATATATTTATTTATCTTATTTTACTTATTAGTAAATAAAGCATTATTTAATATATTTAAAATTAATATATAAAGCAAAATTAGTATGCCTTTCCTATAATATTTAATTATGCTTTAGTTTTATTACTTGTATTCTAAATAATCTAATTATATATAGTTTATTAATAAAAAGTTACTGCTTTAATAGATTATAGCATTAGTGCTCATACTAGGAGCCAGAAGTTTCCTAGTAATCAAGTTCTTCTCACTATTAATAATAATCTTACTGGGAAATTGTGCTTCCATTTCGTTATGCTGCAGTACAACGTACGGTACTTTTCCGCTCTGTAGAAGTGTCGGCCCGAGCAGGCTCGAGCTGCGCGTTTGTCCCTTTTTCGCTTGTTTCATTAACATTTCCTGTAAAATTACGTGCGTTGCCTTTTACTTCTTATATCGCCGTCTATATTACTTACAGGCTTGGAATTTAATAAAAAGACAGTTCAACAGCATATTATTACGTTCCGAAATATTAGATTAGCATAGTTTCCTTTTATCAAATTCTTTGATTTATTGATTTTTACGACTTTTAGTTTTCTCGCATTCCTTGAGTTTTGAGCCGAACGTCACTAAATTAGCCCGTATGCGAGCCATTTGTGAGTCACGAATCGTCAAGAAAGCGGTTGATGAGTCGTTGATGTCAAGGTTCCCGCCCCGAATTGGTTCGTTTGCCTCGCGTTTATAAGCCCACCCAGATGGTGGTGATATAACAATCCCTAAGCAGCATATTCGGCTCTACGGCGCCAGCCACTATTGCATGGAATACAAAGACGATTTTTTCTCCGTTAGCTTAAGTGGAATAATGCCTATCACGAGGCACTATATATCAAGCTCGCGAATGAATAAGGCTCTGTTTCACAACCCTTGAATACTGGTATTTATCAGAATTCAAACACCAGCCTTTGTTTATTACAAAAATAAGTCTTTCGCATATTTTTATTTACTAGTAACTATTACTGGCATTCAAATACTAGTAATAGCTCCCATACTAATCTCAGAATTTATAAAACTACTTATTATAAGTAGTTTTATAATTGTTAAGTATTTGAATACTAGCTTTAATTACTTTTATAAGCCTCTCTGAGTATAAATTATTTTTAAAGCTTTATATTTGCAATTTTACTAGAACTTATCCCGTATTAATTTATTTAGTAATAAGTAATATAAGGCCCCGTTTTACACGGCTGCACGCCTTTTAATTACAAGTAATTATAATAACTAAATACTAGCTTTTATTATTCGATAATTAAGGCTAGTATTTAATAAATTAAAATTATTTTACAAGAACTAATTAATTAATAATTATTCTAATTATAAAGGTTTTAGCTTTATTTTTACTAATATTTTTAGTATTTAGTTTTAGTTTTATTAATTTCTAAATATTCTCTTTATAATAATTAAAAACATAATTATATCTTATATTACTTATTATTAAATAAGTTAATATAAGATAGATTTTATAAGAATTATAAAATATAAAGCTTTAGAAAGAATTTATATTATAAAGAAGCTTATAAAAATTAAAAAAAGATATTATTTAAATACTTAATATTTATAAACCTAATTATAATAAGTAATTTTATAAATATTAAGATTAATATAAAAGTAATTATTAGTTACTTATTTCTTGCAAAATAATTTTAATTTATTAAATACTAGCCTTAATTATCGAGTAATAAAAGCTAGTATTTGGTTATTATAATTACTTGTAATTAAGAGACATGCGGCCGTGCGAAACAGGCCTTGAGTTAATCTCATTAATTAACGAGCTTTCATGTTCCTATTCAACTTTCAAGACGGGGAGATGGACAAACATAAAAAAATCCCTTCTGAGACCCACAGTGTAGCTAAAAGTTCGAGCCCACCAAGATATTATTTCAGTGGAAACTCACATTGATGATCGGTATGAGGGCTTGGAACTCCAAATGTATCGTTATCTTTCTCTAGATTTGGAGAGAAGGTTCCCAGCGAATTCTATTTACGGAGACAAGATTGTTTGTTTAGCTGAATATCGTATGTTATATCTACTTCGACATGCTTGTGAAAACAGATAGCAAAATTCGGATCTGAAAGAATGTTTCTTGGCGAATTTCGTGACATTTCCTCGGAAGGATCTTTGGCACTATGGTATCAGAAAACCTCCCCCGAAGAGCATTTCCTTAGAAAGATCTATGTTGATCATGTAGAATCCTGGGCTCAGTCGTGTCGTTATGAAAGAGATCCAAAATATGCTATTTATGCACTTCATTAGTAAGAGTGGCATACCTTGTGCGTCGGTGGGTCAAATAATATTGAGTACCGGTTCTTCCTATTCTTTCAAAGTCTCATTCATATTGTAAGATATTTTCGAAGGGAGTCAACCTTCTTCAAAGATAGCGTCCACACCAGCACAAGTTATCCTTGTCCTTTCGAAGTTGATTAACTGTAGGAGGTCAAACACACCCTCATGCTGGCCGTTCGGATTTCGGGATTGCCAAGACATTCCGCTCCGTCAGGGGTCATAAGCCGTTTGTCAGCACGACTCTGGTCACCGAAACCTCCGTCGCCAATACAGTCACATCTCTGATCTGGAGAACTATTGTAACAGATCTGCACCTTGGACCTTTACAACTTCTGGCTATTTCCGTAAGGAAAAATATGGACCGCCATACATCAGTGTCTCTCGGGACGCCAGCACCATATGGACAAGCTTGTGCTAACTGTGTCCGGTCCAAATGCAAGTGTATCATCCGCCATGCTGGTGGACCTTGTGAGAGGTCAGAAACCTCTAGCAAGTCGCAGTAATATGACATGCTGATTGACATACGATGTTTAGGTGCCGTCGCTTAGACAATGAGTGCCGCCCAGCAGAGTCAGTTCGACGTCGGAGTCGGCGGAAGCCTGTGGTGTCCAGGACAGCACGACTCGAGGAAAAGCTAGATGGCCTCGTGTCATTGATTAAGGCTGGAGCGCAATCTAGTGGGGTCGTGAAAACACCTCATGAAATGATTGTAGAAAATTCTTCGCCTCGTGGCACTTATCATCCTGTAGCAGTCTCGACACCTCCCACTGATGGTTCCACGGGCTCTCCGTACAGCCTTCAACCATATGGCTTCTTGGACACAGACTTCGAACCCTCTCCAGCCGACGCAGAGTCATATCTTATAAATTTCCAGACCTACAAATCCAAATACTTCCCGTTTATTTATATCCTACCTACAACAAGGGCGCAAGACCTCCGACAAGAGCGACCGTTTCTATGGCTTTGCATAATGACAGTCGGCTCAAAATCAACATCACAGCAACAAGTTTTGGGTACCCGAATCCGACAAACTGTAGCGCAAGAAATGGTCATTGAGTCCGAGAAGAGTATCGATCTCCTGTTAGGACTTCTAACATTTTGCTGGTGGTATGTTATTTCGTCTCTTCGAAAGGGCAGAATCTGGCATTGACCACCGCATTTTAGGGCTCACTACCAAGTGGGTACGAAAGGATTCCTGGGTGTTTTTACTCAACTCGCGATATCCTTGGTCTTTGACCAAGGACTTAATAAACAAGTCCGTAAAGACTTCCGTCCGCTGGTCTGCCTGAAGGCGAACTATTCGAGGGCACCTACACCTCGGACCATGGAGGAGCGGAGAGCTGTGCTGGGTTGCTTCTTGGTTACATCAGTGTACGTTGATTATTTTAATTCATCCTCGAACCTACACTTATTGTTTCAGAATATCCTCATTCGTTCAAAAAATCGATGCACTTCGTTGGACACCGCATTTGGATGAATGTCTTCAAGTCTTAGACGAAGCAAAAGAATGTTTCAGCGATGGGATTTTAGTCCAGCAAGTGCGATTGCAATTAATAACTGAGCGAGTGACTCGGGCTATATTGGATGACGGAGTATCAGAAACTACGAAACGTGCCATGAAGCCCACGTCTTTCTGTCTCGAAGTCTTCCAATCGCAACTGCGTGACATTAAAACCGAGCTTCTCGCTCAACCTCAAACGGATGGTTAGCTTCAATACACCAATTGATCTATATTCCTACTCACATTACAGCAGATGCGGTGTTGTTTCATCTTTACAACGCAGAGCTAGAAGTCTCCCTTCCACTCACGTTTCTCCATGGAACAACACTTCAGCCACGGAAATCTGTCGATCCAGGCGTTCGGGCAATAAAGTCATGGTTTGACACCCTTTTTGCGATACCAGTAGCCACCTACGCTGGGTTGCCCTTCTCCATACTCTCGCAACTGGTCCGCTGCCTAGTTACGCTCTCTCGGCTCATAAGTCAAGTCGATTCTGGCTGGATGGAGAACAGTATTTGGACAACCGCGGATGCGCTCTCCACGATGAATCGTGTGATTGACAACTTCGAACAAGTTGCGGAACTCGCTGGGCTGGATAATAGTGGCTTCCCGGAAGGAGACCTATTCTTTCGAACAGCACAGATGTTTCGTACCATTCGGCCAGGCATGGAGACACATTTGGTCCAAGATGACTTACTAAATATTCCTCCTTCGCAGAGTGTCAATGGAATGTTTTGTCCTGACAACATTCCTGTCATGGGTTCTGACGACGATTGGCTCATGGACCTTCTCCTTTCTTCAAATAATTAACACTTATGTATTATCTTGAACGCGGCCGCCGCACAAGAATGATACATTTTTATGAGGAATTTCTTCCCGTTGGGAAAATCATTCGGCGTGTATAGATGAACCAGCAATTTCGGGGCTGGAACCGATGTGGAATAGTAGACTTAGTGGTTCATATTACGAATACTTGATGAACACAATAGCCCCGCTTCCTGACCAGCTGTGAATGAGAAGAGAAAAACCCCCTTTCAACAACGGTGCCGAAGCTAAGATTGGGCGCAGAAAAGATGTCGTTCCATATAAGGGACTTGATTGGGTGTCGGATTTGGACCCTCTTCTTCAATCCCGACCGATGCTTACAAAGTTTTGGACTTCCTAGGCCCCTTCAACCTTATAAAATCTGTACAACCTTCTCCTCAGTAAAGAAGTTTAGATTTCAAACTAGAATTCTCTCTAAATCACTCTCTTTTGTTATTTTCGACATCTCCCCTATCGCAAGGCCTATATTTTCTCACGGATTACCACCGCTTTGCAACCAAATGGCTTCATCAACACCCCCTTCTCTCACCAAGAAAGTTTCTGAAATTGGACCAGAAGAGAGTAAAGACGACCTCTCCGCCCCTCCCTCTGACAACAGCCAGGCAGGATTCTATGAAGATCCCAAGTCAGCGCCAGAAGCTCCTCAGCCAACGCAGGATCAAGAATGGGTGTCTGGCTTCAAGCTTCTTACTATCATGACCGCCGTCTCGCTAGTGTGTCTGCTCATGCTGCTGGACACGTCAATCATCGTTACGGCAGGTGGTAAAGCTCTCTCGATTTCTTTCCCAGCTAAGATGTAGCTATAGGCTATTCCGAAAATCACAAACGACTTCCATTCTTTGCCCGACGTGGGCTGGTACGGTTCCGGATACCAGGTTGCAAGGTACGTTGAGCTTCCTTCCCTTGCAAGTATAGCTAGCTCACATGATTCTAGTGCGGTCCTGCAACCGCTGACGGGGAAGTTTTACTCGAACTTCAACTCCAACGTCAGCAAACATATTCCATTCTCGTGGATCCAGTTGTTACTCACACTTACGTCTAGTGGACCTTCCTCGCCTTCTTCGCCATTTTTGAACTAGCCTCTCTGCTATGTGGAGTGGCCAACTCTTCGAAGATGTTGATTGTGGGACGGGTCGTCGCCGGCATGGGAAGTTCTGGCATAACGAACGGTGCTTTTACCATCATTGCTGGATGTGTCCCTATGGCAAAAAGACCAGGTATGTTCCCCAGAAAGAAAAATTAGTTCGTCGATTAACCATGTTTGTAGCTCTCATTGGATTTGTTACCGCTTGTATGTTCTAGCTTCACTCCTTTCCTACCGAAAACATGTTCACCCGTTTATATAGTTTCACAACTGGGCCTGATAACGGGACCATTGATTGGTGGATTACTGACGGAATACACGACTTGGAGATGGTGTAAGTCACCTTCTTTCCGTATTTGGTTGATGTGTCTAATCGCCCCTTCGATATCAGGCTTCTACATTAACCTCCCGATTGGAGGGTTTGTTGCAGTACTTTTAATATTCATCCACGTTCCCGACCAACTCCCCAAACCCCCTCCCCTGGCCGTCCTCAAAACGCTGCCAGAAAAACTCGACCTCACCGGTTTCGCACTCTTCGCGCCTGCCGTCATCCAACTATTACTGGCTCTACAATGGGGCGGTATCACATATACCTGGAACAGTGCGAAGATCATCGGCCTGTTCTGCGGCGCCGGCGGTACATTCGCAGTCTTTCTAGCGTGGGATTACCGTAAGGGAGACGACGCAATGATCCCTTTCTCCACAATGGGAAAGAGGACTGTCTGGTCTAGCTGCGTGACGTACGGCCTCTTCATGGGCCAGCTCTTCACAGTTTCCTATTATCTGCCGATCTATTTCCAGGGTGTGAAAGGCGCGTCTCCTACTATGAGCGGTGTCTACGTTCTTCCTATTATTGGATTTCACATCCTCGCTGGCTTGATCTCTGGAGTCCTAAGTGAGTACCGTGCATATATCCCGAGTCCGTAGATTTCTTGCTGAGTCCTATAGTTGGAAAACTAGGCTACTATTTGCCCTTCAGTGTACTTGGTTCCCTCCTAGTAGCAATTGCAAATGGTCTCTTGTCTACATCATCCCCCGGAACATCGACTGGAAGATGGGTTGGATACCAGATCATCGGAGGTGTCGGTCGCGGACTTGGAATGCAACCAGTGAGCCCCCCCCCGTTCTTCAAACTCTCACCTGCAACTAACAGTTTACCGCGCTTTCCAGCCCATAATTGCCATTCAAAACACCTTACAGCCAGCCCAAATCCCCGTCGCCATGGCGCTCCTCATGTTCAGCCAAGCATTCGGCGGAGCGCTGTTCCTCAGCTTCTCCGACACCATCTTGACCAACAGTCTTAAAACCCTGCTTCCCAAGTACTCCCCTTCCGTGGATCCTCAAGCTGTCATCAATGCCGGTGCAACGGGATTCCGAACCATTCTTCAAGGAGCCGACTTGGTAAACGTAGTGGTGGTGTATGCGAAGAGTGTGGATCGCGTTTTTTACTTGACTGCTGGAGCAGCAGTAGGCAGCTTCATGTCCTGTTGGTTTATGGGGTTCAAAGATATCAGGAAGAAGCAAACTGTTTCGAAAGCTTAGGGTTTCCATTTCCTTACAGGTATCTTTCAGTAGGGCGAGATGACATTTGACAATGAGCAACGAGCGCGTGGCGTTCATTGCTGCTCTAGTTGTCACTTTAGATGTATAGATAACAATTATAGAGGGAGAAGAGACCTTGCCAATCTTACCACTTTCTAAGCCCAGAAAAATGAAAATGCCGTCGGTTCATGGGAAGTTTTTGGCGCCGCAGAACGGGTACTTTGACCTAAGCGAAAGAAAGTATAAAGAATCGACGACAGCCATGTTGGGGTAACTCAGAGGAAGGATTTTCTCACTCAATGCTCTTGTACGCGGCTCAAGTCTTAGACGGAGCTCGATGGTATGTCTACGAAGGCATGGCCAGCTTGTGGGAGGTCAATGGCCACAGGAAGGGGGGGGAATAAGTTTTCACCCGGAAATTAGTATTTGCGACCCCGTATCTGGAACTTCGGAGATTACCAAGCAGGTTAAGGATGTGAGGGTCGCGGAGTAGCTGCTCTTCTTGTTTGAAAACAATATTCCGCCGGGGATATGCCTTCTACCAAATACTATGTGCTGTGCTACAGCCTGCTGTGTAGAGTCACGATGGTGGCCAATATTGACATCAATCAAAGGAATGTATTTTTCTCGGTGCTGGCCAGGACAGGGATTGAAGGCAGCTTATCCCAGTTTCCCAGTTTAACCGGCAAGAACCAATATTCATGATGTTGTCTTGGATGGTTCCATATGAAAAGACTCAAAGATTTATAATACCTATCTTTTGTGCTAATATAGGATGGGAATTGTGTTTATATTAAGTATGAGTTCTATATTATCGAAATTAAATAAGTTTTTAGTAAAATTCAGTGTGCCAAAGGATTAATCACGTTAATCAAATTAATTAATTAATTAATGTAATTAGATTATAATTAATGTAATTCCGATTTTTTTTTGATTAGATTAGAATAACTAATCTGATTAATCTGTCACGTGACTATAGTAAATCACTATTTACTTAATAAGTATTAAATAACTAAGGCACCTATCAGGTAGCCCTAGTTAAACTAAGCTAGGGCTTATATAATAGTGGTTATATACTAGCTTTCAATAATAATAAACCAGTTATTCTCCTATATTCCCCCTTTTTTAATTTAGCTTCGGGTCGCTTACTAAGCGTTACCGCCCCTGATTAGTGTAGCGCTAGAGCTAGAGCGGGCAGGAGTGTTACCAGATTAGGCTAGCACGGTCACGTGTAGGATCACGTGTGTATTAATTAGATTAATCAGATTAATCATGATTAATCTAATAAATACGTGAATAGAATATAATTAATAAGTATATTTCGTGATTAGATTAGACTAATGGCCATTAATCTAATCTAATCTAATTATTTGACACACTAGTAAAATTAAAGTCATATATAATAACGCTAAATTATAAGGCTAAATTACTAGGCACTAGTAGGGACTGTTATAAGTTTAATAGAGAGAGCATGTGATGGGGCACACGTGATGGCGCATGGACAGGTGTCAGATGTCGTGGATCTAGTTTCCTATTTTGGGTAAAGCTTGCGATCGGAATCGTACGGGCGATCGGAATCGTACGGATCGCATGAGATCGTATTTCCTAGTTGAGTAAAGTGCTTCGCAGGCTTGGCTAAGCACTAGGGAATATACAGGGAGACGCTTCTAGCTTTGGAAAGGGGCATCAATTAGTCTTTTGTTGGAATCAATTCTTGGAATCAGTTACACTTGCAAGCGTCACTCTGCAGCTTACTTACCTTGACTACTTGTGCATCACCCTGCTATTACGTGCCTCACAGAGCAAGAATTGCTACTATTAATATTATAATAAATTAAAAAGTTGGCTACGTTTTGTAGAAGTAGGTAGTGATAGGATTTATATTTAGATAATGCGAAAACTATAACTAATTCTCTCGGGAACCAGAAAAGGGTCTCCCGGAGCATAATATAGCTAACTTATTAGCGCGCTCAGGGCTCAGGGCTCAGGGCTCGGCTCAGGTAAAAGCAGCGACTGCTCCGGTCCAAAGGCCGCCGGTCGAGGAGAAAGATGCCGGATTTAACGGAGGTACTAGGTTGTTCGGGCCGTGAGAGGCCGCCCCAGTTTTATGAAACCTCCCAACCTTGATAAATAGATACAAAAACGATAGATCCCACTCTGCAGGAAATTGGCCTTCTCGCCAAAGAGATGGCAAACATGGCACACCGGAGTCAAAGCAGTTATACTCAGGGTTACTCCAACCACACCCTCGCAACTCACCAGTCGCGCACGCCGGAGTCAGATGCAGCCTTTCTCCTACCTTATATTAAGAAGACAGACCACATCCTCGATGTCGGCTGCGGGCCGGGCACCATCACCACGGGCTTCGCTAAGTACGCCAGCGAAGGCACGATAGTGGGCCTCGATATCTCTTCAGAGGTTTTGAAAAAGGCAAAGATATTAGCAGCCGAAGACCACGTGCCCTCCCAGGGACCCGGATCCGTGATCTTCGAGGAAGGAAATGTTCTAAAAGGGCTACCCTATCCCGACGAGACATTCGATATCGTCTATTGCTCGCAGCTCTTCGGGCATCTGCCCCCGCCGGACCTACCGCTCCGTGCTCTCGCCGAGATGCGACGCGTCTTGAAGAAAGGCGGTCTCCTAGCTACGCGCGATGCGGCGGATTCGCACTTCTACCCGCGGAGCTTGGACCTCGACCGGTTGTGGGTGCAAAACTCAAGCCGCGGAATACACAAGGGGATGCCAGACCCTGACCCCACGGGGTCGAGGATGCCGGCGCTGCTCCGCAGCGCTGGTTTTGATACTGACGGAGGCAAGGTCCAAGTTGGCGCTGGAACGAAGGTGTTCTCGGGGCCAGAAACGAGGAAGTGGTTAGCCTGGCGCGCTGAAGGACAGCTGCGGGAGGGAGATCCGTTCCGCCAGAGCTGGCTGGATGCTGGCATTACCGAGGATGAGATACAAGAGACACTGCGGGCGGTGAGGAAGTGGGCCGAGATGGAAGATGCTTGGTTCGCGGCGCTGCAGTGCGAGATGCTTGCGTGGAAGTAGGTAAGCGAGTGAAAAGGGGAAGCGCAAGGTAGCTGAGGGACGTCTAGCCTTCGGTTGCCAAGGAAGTATTGTAAAAGAAAACAGCTTGACTTGGGAGTCTCTTTTGTCATTGAGGCATAGGGACAAGCTGCAGATTTAGGAACTGGGAAGAGAGAACACCGAGAGAGGAAATATCACAAATACCTGACCGAATGAAAAAAAACTTGCAACGAAACTGAGCACGGAGTTATAAATTAGTATCCGCCGATGAACTCCGACCCCAAACTCCAGGGCTGAGATGTATACACCAACACATAATCTTACAACATGACACGAAAACCAATCGCAATCGTGCGCATCTTCATCCACTCTAGACCTAATGTTTCACCACCTTCTCATTCGAATGTCCACAATTCGGGCAGTCATGCGCTGCCGTCGGGAAGCGATTCGAAGTAGCTTCATCGTATGTCGGAGCTTCGCGCATTTGGATTTGCTGGTTATCGCCGCTCATCCTTGGTGTTTCGCTGTAGAGTTGTTTCTCATCTCGATAGGTAGTGTTTTGAGGCTGGTACTGAGATGGTGCTGGGTATTCCTGGTAGACTTGAGGGGATCCTGGGGGTTTTGGACCTGGGAAAGAGTTGTTGGCTGGGTCTTCGTGATAGTTCCTGGGCAATCCGCAGCCTGCACCGCATTTTCTTTCTTCGCGGAGGGGTTTCCTGTGAAATTGTCAGGTTTATGCTCAATGCACAATAGAAGTAACTAACGTGATGAGATGAATGCCATAGAGAACAATCCCGAGCTTGATGAGACCCATTTCGATTGGCTAGGGGGGGTGTTCAGGAACGAGTATGTTTTGATCGGATTGTTTGACTGTTGAAAATTGCTGAATATAGCCAGCAATGTTGAAAGCCGTCTGCATATATATTCTGATGTGACTCAGTGTGTGATACGTAAGCCTATTCGGAGTATACGCAATTCAACGAAGGCAGCACGGATTGGATCCTGTGGCGCGGAGTTAACGATAATTCGTCGGGATGCTCAGCCCTGTGACGAGTCAGCCGGGACAACCCCGCAGACTTCGTATCGCGTATTCCCGCCCACGTCGCACCGTCGCAAACCCCTGCGATCTGGCCTAGGTCCTACTATAAAGGACGCGATGTGGATATTCCACATAAGGAGCCCATTGCTCTCCCAAACTCTGCTTAACGGCTTCGAACAAATAGTAAGAGCGCTGTTCCATGTACCAGACATTCTCACAATACTTGAGCAGGAGGCAATAATGAGCCGTAAGTATCAGAGCTGGGGGCCGCTTCTCACTCAGCAGTCGAATGAAGGTGTCCGAAACCCTTCCAACCCAGAGAGCTGCTGTAGCTCGCGTCATTTGCGAGGTGAGGCCCCGCGAGTATGCAGCAAACATGTTGCGCAGCCGCTCGATCGCATCAGCATATGCCTCCATTTCTTCAACAGTGGTGGTACTTTTGATGAGAGGCATCTGGAAAACGGCAGTTCTCAAGAGGGACAGGCTCTGGTCGACTTCTGGATCGGGCACTGCACCGTCTGCTATTGCTGTCTCGACTTTCATTCCCTCGGAGATGATGAAGCCAAGAGGGCCACCTTCTAGATGCTCCAGGGCCGTTTGGACGAAGCCCACACATCCACGGAGACAAAACATCCAGTTTGACAAGACTTCATTGGATGCACCCTCGGAGAATGGGAACAAGTGTTCGGTGGAGCGGTAGGAGGCGTACGTGAACGTCATCAACAGAGTCGAGAAAACCCACAGTTGGTTCGCATTCCCAGCGTTTACATTGGCCATCGCTCTTTGAAAAGGGCCAAGGGCCAAGTCATGGTGCTGGCTCGCCAGGAACGCGTATTTATCTTTCTCCTTTGGATCCGAGCTGAGATAGCCCAGATGCAAAGCTCCACTTGCCAACATGCCGTGCACCAAATAGTCGCAAGAAAGAGCTCGTTGAACGAGATCTTCTTTCCAGGGAGTTGTCAATGTTGGGGCTGTCACTTTGATAAAGTGATGCCAGAGATTCATGTCTTCCATGTCAAAATGTCCAACCCTCCTCTCGGTGTCTGCTGGTGTTGAGACTCCAAGTCTAGGGTCAACAGCTGACGGAGGCTCTCTCACGGGGATCGACGAAGGTGTTGGGGAGCCGATTGATGAAGATGGGACCCGAGTGGGGGGCAAAGTAGGTGCAGGAAGATCGACATTGGCTGAGGGGTGAGATGTCCCACTATTGACGTATTCGCATTGAATCTCTCTTTTGACGCAACCTGAACAGGCAGGCTTCTGTTCTCCGCACTGTACAGATTAGTACGAGTTCAGGGAGATAGCAGAAGGAGAAGCACAGCTACTGGGATATGGATACTGAGAGGCTGGAGGGATTGCTTGAGATATGGGCTGGTTCTTAAAGAGGGGTTTGGGCCAACGGGAATTCTGAACACTTGATGCAGGAGGAGCAGATTGAGGAGCAGTTATTGGGGGTCCATAGATGAGGAAAGGCGCTTTTACCTTTAACTTTCGCCGTTTACATTCCTGACAGCCTCCCCTGGATTTGGTGTGCGACCGTCTGGTCTTCTGGACTCCGGCCGTCGGCATGACGTCTGGTAGCCCAGCCCTTGGAAATGAAATTTAGCATCCTGAGACTCGAGGACATTGATTGTAGCAAAAGCTGTGAGGTGAATGAGAGAGCCAACTCCACTGGAGCGTCCCAGCGGGTGGTCTTCGTGAAGTCAGGGCACTGCTCACCTCCAGACTTGTGCTGAAGCACCTCTCCAGCTGTTTACTTCGTCACGTGTTCGACAGTATAAGCGATAAGGGGCAAAGCAAGCCTCGTAAATAATCGATCCTTGATCGCTCTGTGGGTGTGCAGACGCGTCGCAAGGAGGCGCATTGAGAATACGTGATACGTGGCGGATCGGGACATTTTTCAGGCGTCGCAAACGACTGGTGAGATAATTTCAATGCTGACTAATAATCGCGTATCACGTATTGGTCCAGCAGGGGTTAAATATTTGTTGAAAATGACGCTCTTGAATAACATCGCAAAGTTGCAAACACTTAAATTTCTAATTGAAATCGGAAGTAGGCAAACGCCCACTTCCCTCAGCGGCCACAGAATGGAGAAACTTAGAGTGGCGGTCATTACGATGTAGTATTTTGTTTTGTCATATCTATCATCTCTCTCGTATCGCGTATTGACAGCCGTCAGTGCTTTTTATGGGGAACTTCTAACATTTTCAAACCAAAAAATTATTGTTTTCATTCTCAGTGAAAGATGAATCTTGTAAAGAGACTCCCTTTAACCCCCTCGAGCAGAAGGAATGCACCAAACCAGACACACCTCACTTTTCCCCACTACCCTTCATTAACTCCATCAACATCCTAAACATCCCCTGTCTCTTCTCCTCAAAAACCTCATACGCCTTCGCCGCCATACCCACAGCAATATCATCCTTCCCCTCCTCCAAGCCCTTCCATACCTCCTCAGTAAAAACTTCCAAATCCATCCCTACCCCCTTTCCTCTCCCACCTAAACCTTTCTCTTCATTCCCATCATAATCATGCAACTCAGTCCTCACAGCCGGCGGCACAATCTCTACCACCTTGACCCCTTTCCCTCCCACTTGTTCCCTAATACACAATATCAAATGATGCAATGCTGCTTTACTTGCACAGTATCCTGCCACTTTCGGTATGGGAACTAGACCCAGCGCGCTCGAGATGAAGATTAGGGATTTAGGTGAAGCGGAAGATGAGGAGGAGAGGAAGTATGGGAGGAGATATTTGAGGATATGGATATAGGAGATGTAGTTTGTTGTTGATTCTGTTGAGACGAGATCAAGATCGATGCTTTCTGGAGAAGAGAAATCGAGGGGGCGTTGGATGCCGGAGGAGAGGAGGACGGAGTCGAGGTCGGGATGGGAGGCGAGAACGCTGTTCCAAGTTAGAAGAAACTTTATCAGAGTATTTGAAAGATTAAGGGCAGGCAGCAGGGGGAGAGTGGAGGACTGACGTTTTCACGAAAGATGGGATCCCTCCCAGGTTCGTGATGTCGAATTGCAGCGCTGAGACCTTCTCCGATCCGTATTTTTCGACCAAGGAGTCGAGACGATCTTTTCTGCGGCCGACGGCGACTACGTGGGAACCGTTGGCGATTATTTTCTCTGCGAGAGCGATGCCTATGCCAGATGTTGCGCCGATGATCAGGACTCTTTTGTAGATGAAATGCATACTGGCTCGAATAAGCGAGTCCGGGACGGAGCGGAGAATTTCAGTTGCTGGTCAAGCTTTGTATTAGAGAATTGCTGAATGACAACGAGGGCATTGAAAGTTGTTTTCTGGAGAGAGGAGGACGCCATCTCGTACTAAAAGAGCGAACTCACAAGACGGAAGAATGTTTTGCCGTCTTATGGGTGACAGGAGAGTCCTTGGGGAACTGCTTTCTGAAGACGAAATGAGTATGAGAAGAAAAGAAACTGGGTTCGACGGGGAGAGGTGATGATTAGTGGTGAGTTTGGCTTCCGCAGATGCAAGCTGGATGCGAGGAATCCGAGTATCCCAGCAGCCGAGAAACCACACCGGCAGCTCTCCCACTCCCATCCAATCAGCTTCTTTCCCCCCCACTGACTCCTCCTCTTTCGAATGTGCGTAGGTCTTAAAACTCCACCAAGCACGCAGGACTTCCTTTTACGGATACATAACCTTCAAATAAGGCGGAATGCCAGGGATAGAGCCTGTGGCTTTCATAGGCCAGTAAAGATATCCTCTCATATCCTCCGGAACATTATTCCAAATAGAATCCAACTTGAAAACAGTGTTCCGCTTAACAGTCCCCATACTCCTGCCTGCCCATTCCCGCGATTTGATCGGTGCCATCAGAGCAAGCAGTGCCACGTAATGAGCCAAGAGAATCTGTGCGAGAGTGTTCGAAGGATCAATGAAAGCCTGGAATTCTGCATGAGGGAGGACAGATAAGACGGCGTGAATCTGTCTGTACTTGAGGTACGCTTTTATCATTTCAGCCGGGATCTTTCATGCAGAGAAGGAGAAAGAGGGTGAAACTAACCTTCAAGTGACGAAACAGACAGTAACCGCACGATCTCAGCCTGCAACTTGAATACCTCCTCCTCCACGCCTTTCATCTCCAACGCCCTCATCATCTTAATTGCCTCCCTTGCTTCGGCCACAAGATGCCCAGGAACCAGCGGCACATCCCTAAACCTCGATACAGTAACCTCCGTCTGACTACCACCCTCCAGTTTCAGAAACGAAGTCCCGTACCTACTTGCCCAACCCTGGCGTGAAACCAAGCTAATTCCCCTCATCATCGTGAAGAACTCCTCGACGCTTTCACCCAAATACATCGTCACGGCTGCGAGAATCCAACATGTGGCTAGAATGGCGTCGGCATGTGCTTTACATGTTGGAGGGGTAGAAAGGGCGGTGTTTAGACCGCTGATGGCAAGACCGCGGTAGCTGAGAGCTGAGGAGTAGAGCGGGGAGGTAGAGGTCACTGTTAGGTTGGCGGCGGAGAGGGAGAGCATTGCTTGCATGAGGAAATCGTACTTGGTGTATGTTAGTGGATGTTAGGTCAGTCGGAGGAGTTGAGAAACTTGCTGTGTGAGAGAAAGATGCTATTTCTCGCACCCAAACGCTGTCGTTCCCGACAGGAAGATGCGGATATGCATTTACAATAAAGTGATGGAACAACCGCATATCAGAGGCGCTAAAGATAGTTGGCGTCGACTGCAAGCTCGTGGTCTCCAGCGAAGGCGTGTAGAGCGGTTGAATTGGCTTTAGGCAGTGGCGAGGTGGGTATACGCATGGCACGTTGATTCTCATGCAGTTGTGGCAGGCTGGTTGGTTTTCTTGACACTGAAGGGGTAAGCCACGTGACCTTGGAGAAACTATGAAGAATGACCTCAACCTGCCTTTATCTTTCGGCGCTTGCAATTATAGCATCCTCCGCGGGACTTTTTGTGCCCTTTCCTCGATCTCGGATGATCTGGGGGTTTCTCTTGATAGCCAGGAGAGCTTCGCATCGAGGGCGCCCAGAAGCTTTCCAGTGACTCGGAGTCCTTGTTGTCTGCGCAAGGTTAGCTGCAAGACGGAGAGGAAAACGATACTGCAATAAGGACGATCAAAACTCTGCAGAAAGCTGACCTGTAGAAATAGAGAGTGACAAAGCCTCGGCTGGCGGCCCTGCAGACCCTTCCAGCGCCGCAGCTTGGGTGATACATGTTTCATGCGGGGTTGCCCCGTGAGTCAAGTCTGGGGTGAGGCCGAAAGGCAGAGCCATTCACATTGTACGTATTGCGTTCTAAGCGGAGAGAAGTATCTGTAGTGCTAGATCGTTGACATGTTGATGCTTGATGCAGCGAGGCAGCTGGAAGATCAGGTCAGGCGGTGAGGTTGAATTGGGATCACGTGCACCAAAGCTGTAGCGGGTGTCTTATCTCCGATGCGAGAACTTAAGACACCCTGGATTGTACTCCAAGAATTGACTGAATTTCAGGAAGATAAAGTTTTTTGGTTTCCAGTTTTCCCTGAATACTATTATGTTATTTTGAATTCATCATCAGGTCGAATCCATGTCCCGAAAAGGTTCCCTTTAATTAATGAAGGAATCAGAGTTAGTCCAATCACAATTTTCTTCGTCTCTCATGCAAAGGCAGATGGTAGGCTCAAACTTTGAAAATATTTCCCGAATATACTTCAGATCGGAAGCTAACGGATAAATTCCTGCACAAACACGGCTATCTCGAGGTAGGAGCTACATCTTCTTTGCTTCTACCAGCGTAGCTTCCAAGTCAAAGTCCCAAACCCATCGATACCGAGCTTCGATATCAGGTCTGAGCTTGTCAAAGTCGTCCCCAATTCCTTCACCAAGAAATGAATTCACCTTTCCTGCCTTCCTGCTGGCCTTGATGACGTCCTGCGTCCTTTCGCGTCTTACTTCATTGAAGCACTTGAATACCTTCTCCAGCTCTTGGGCATCCCTCGCAGCTCCCAACAGATTGCTCAAAACATACGCATCCTCGAATGCCATCCCCGCTCCAGCACCCAAGTTTGGCGTACTCGCATGAGCACTGTCACCCAAAAGACACACATTCCCTCGGTAATACTTCTGTTCGTGCAGCAAGTCATAGAAACCCCATTTGTCTTTCGTCTCAAACCTGCTTATCAGTTCAATGATATTACTTCCCCACCCCTCAAAGTCGTTCACCATATCCTCCTTGGTTGACGCAATGATCCAATTGTCGTCGTCCCATTCTAAATTGTCCTTCTGTATAACCGCGGCAATGTTGATGAATTTCCCATGCTCTACCGGGTACGACATGATGTATCCTCTGTATCCAATATACAGTTGGCAGTTCTTCGCCAACTCATCTCCTAGTGTCTCGACCGCAACGGCTTCAGGAACAAGAGCCCGATAGGCATACTCGCCTGTGAACTGCGGCCTTGCCTTCTTGCCCTCTTCTCCAAAGACCATCTCTCTCGTCATGCTCTTGATACCATCGCATCCCACCACACCATCCGCGACCACCGTCTCTCCATCCGCAAACCTCAATTTCACCCCTCCCTCCTCCAATTCCTCAATCTCCACCAACCTCTTTCCAAATTGAGCCGTACCTTCAGGAACCAATTGAACAAGCTCATCTAGAAACCGCGCCCGATGAATACAACTCCTCGTACTAATCCCCTCCCTCTCGAGCATCTCCCCCAGCCCCTTTTCCGTTCCCCGAAGATGACAAATCAAATCACCATACTTCTTTCCTTTGCCACTCTCTGTCTCAGTCTTGCTGTCCATCCCATACCTGAAGCTCGCCCACACATCCTCCAACGCCGGATAATCAGGTGAGTTTCCCGTCACGTGTTTCTTGAAACCTTTAAGGATTGCGGGCGAGATCATGCCCATTGCCCGTACGGCATTGGGACCGAACGCAACACCGACGCCGATCTCAGCGAAAGCGGGTGCGGACTCGTAGATGGTGGTTTTGATATGTTGGGAATGCGGGAGGAGACCGAGGGTGAGCGCGAGTCCAGCGAGACCACCACCGATTACGGCGAGGTTGATCGGCTTCGGGGGAAGAGGATCTCCATTGGCAATTGAACCCATTTTGTGCAATTTGCAGCGATGAGATAGTTCTGAGGGCCGGCTTGAGTCGACTTGGCCAAACCGTGGCAGGTGTTTGCTCGCGAAGGCAGGATGTCGCGAGAGGGTTGGAGGAGCAAGGGTATCTGCCTCTTTTGGACGATTAGAAGATGATCCCTTTAAGCGAGAATGTGACGAGAATCTCCCCCAGAAGATAGGCGATTTGTTTCCTGGTTATCTGTCAGGGTAGCTGAAGCCTCATGCAGCCTCGTGCAGCTTGAGACGCTGTGGGGGGTTGGCCCCCTGCAGCTGCAGTTGTCACATTCAGGATGCAATACCCTGTCTCTTTGTGCCGTCCACTGACTGGGGAGTCTCAGAGTCTCGCAAAAGATTCTGCTTTTCGGAAACGGACTTCCTACATAGAGTTACATTGCATGCTGGGGAGAAGTATTTGTTTGTCGGGCAATTGTTGGTTTGAACAAGCTCAATAAAGACTGAATACTTGGAACGGTGATTAAGGGTTAGGTTTAAAAGTTAAGATTAAAACAAAAGTGGTGCTTCAAGAAGTCAATTTTCGGTAGTGACATAACATTCCCCTTTCTGTGTTCGAGTTATCCGTCCGTTCTGATCTCCCAACTCGAGGCCCAGGATGACTCTGAAGATTAGAAGTTCCTCCTAGCAAATGGGTCCCATGTCATATTCCAGGCTCACTCAGTTCTCAGCAGCGGGAGCCGGATATATGACTCTCCATTTGTGGCCATAAAGCTGCACCACAATGATCGAGCCAAAAGCAGCGAAGACAATAGCGCCTTGACAACCAAAAGCAATAGCTGCTCCACTGTGGACAACCCACTTCATGTTGAAATAAGTGATCACAAAACCGCCTGAGAAAGCAGTTAGTAGATTTCCTGGGCAGGCATGTGAGAAGAAGAATTACGTACCGACAACTCGCCAAAAATTAACCCAAGAAGAAGCCAAAGCAGCATGGCCAGGGAAACAATCAAGCACATAAGCAGAAATCGCCGTCGTGGCAGCAAGCATAGCAAAACTGTTCATTCCCCACCCAACAGCAATGCCTGCCCATGAAAGCGAGTGTTGCAGAGTCTGTCCGTATAGTACAAGGGAACACACAGAGAAAACAACAGCCGGCCAGCAACCGAAAAGTCTGTTCTCTGGTTTGTAGACGCCGTTGTGCTTCTTGATATAGTTATTGCAGAGCCAATCGTTGAAGAAATGGCCCCAGGCTTCTGCGCAAAGAACGCCGATCATGGGGGCCAAGAAGAGGAGTGCGGCGGCCGTGTCGCTAAAGAGATATGGAGGTGGCTTGATGAATTGGGTTACTGAAGTTGTAATGCCAATTGCCCACAGGTAGACAACGAGAAGGAAGATAGAACCTGTTGCAATTAGTTTCGTGTTTCCGTACTGGCAAATCGAGCTGCTTACAAGGAAGAATCAGGTAGGGAAGGTATGAGATTGCAATGAGATCTTTGAAAACGGTCTTGAGAGTTGGCCGACCTGTGGCGCGGAGACCAACAATTCCAGTGAGGAGCTTAATCTTTCCCACAATTCCGTCGACCTTCACGTTGTTCTCTGGATGATCTCGATCGTAAAGAGTTTCATCGCCAAAAAGAACAATCAGTATGACAGCAAAGGCATGGAATGCCGCCAAGACTCCAAAATCTTGACGCCAGTTGATCTTTTGAATGAGGAAACCAGCAATGAAAGGGCCCAGGTAAGGTCCAACCAAGAAACTGAATGCCCAGAAGTTGATTTTACGAGTTCGCTCGTGGAAGAAGAACATGTCATGGATTATGGTGAGGCCGATGACTTGAGGGGCAGTGTTGAAGAAGCCCTGGAGGGTTCGACATGCTGTGAATCCAGCGTAGGTTGGTGCTTGAGATGCTCCGATGACAACAATGCAGGAGAGAACCTGGGACCAAAAGAGAACCGGCAATCTAGATGAGGGGATACGTCAGTTTTTAGTACTCTCACGAGGAAGAGACGGTTGTAACTAACCGGCCGTATCGTTGAACAAGTGGTACAGCCAAGACACCTCCGGGACCTTGTAAGAAAATGCCACCACTGAGCGAGTTGGAGATATCAACAATTGACATGCCCCAAGTTTCTGCTTGTGCCTCAAAAAGGGTGGTGCCCCACGTCATGCCCCAATCTGTTAACAAGGCACTGAAGGTAAGCGCAACAAGGACCTGGTGCTTCTTGCCCCATGGCCAGTTCAACGGATCGGCAGGATCATCTGAAGGTTGAGGAATGAGAGCTGTCTTGCCGTCCTTGGTAGTTCGTACCTCTTTAACCTCAGAGCTACTCGCGTCCGTATTTCCGTCCTGCAGCTTAGTGTCGACAATGTACGTGCCATCCGAAGTTGTCTCGGCGGCTTTATGATGGATTGAACTCTCAACATCAGCAGATACCTCAACCTTCTCGTCTTTCGAGAAATCTTCGGCCATTGTTCTTTTGCTGGGGATAAGGCGATGGCTGAATTGAAATTGTTGTAAGGAAAGGGGAATAAGTGCAGAGGGAATGCCACGTGGGATCTCAACACTTAAAGTCTCTGATAGACTTGTTGATGGACATGAAAAGGCGATTTGAAACGAAGACCCCAAGAGATGGCTTGGTTGTCCGCCGTTTCTCCTCCTTCGCGATCACTGCCCTGGGACAATCAACATTGCAACCCGTGAACCAATCCCAAGAACCCTTCCCGAAGGAAGTCAGGCACGTTGCATCCAGGGCCAAGAGAACGCCTTCAAACTGGCGAGACAACTTTGCGGGCTGGGGTTGTTTGCTTTTGCGGGCAGTTGAAAGCCATAGGAACCTCGAAATAACTATCTTTCAGGACTAGAAAATGCCAATGAGCCTTATCTGGAGGCCAACCTGTCTCCCAGAGCATTTTATAGGCGGGGGCTAATATCGAATGCTGTAAGTCAAGCATGTGCAGACTGTGAGCACTTGCAGCGTTGGTGATTCCGATTAGGGACCAGTCACACGAAATTACCCCACGCTCTTTGGCCCACGGGGAAGGAAAACTACTTCCGCCGGAACGCCCTCAAGTAGATCACCCCTGCTTGAAAAAATGCCCTGGTCCCCGGAAGCCATCAGCCAAGTGCCGCAACCAATCGCGGGGTCCAAATAACGGGCTGGCCCGTTTTGGTCCTATGCCGCCAGGGGCGTCTCCTGCCAAGGAGCGACCTGACACGGGAAAAAAGCCTCTGTGGGGAGATAGTTCCCAAGCCACCTGCAGCAAACGAGGGTGCCATTGATCTGACTTCTTCAAGGATACCACTAGCAAGCCACGTCCTGTAAGCGAAGCATGTCGTTTATCTGCAATTCTTAGAGTATAATTTAGCACTGAAGGCAGTGTCGACCAGCTTTTCTATTCTATCCCGGATCCTATTATTGCGTCATCTGATCTTCGGAAATCAATTGTTCACTGCACTACAAAATAAATAGGCCCCATAAAGGGAAGAATCGGAAGATCCTTCTTAAAACGTTGTGCTAGTGTTGAGCTTGCAGGTATGGCTTCAGCCTTCACGACAAGCCTTTGGTTTCGAGCGGAACGGCGCCCGCACCAGCCAAGTTGCGCCCCCCACTTTGGCAACATGCAGAATCCCGTCCATCAAGATTCACCTATCACATGCCAGCGTTAAATGTCTCCGTTTAACGAATGTGCCTGGTTTCGGCGTTTTACCTTTCCATTAAACGGGAAGTGTTTCTATTGCTTTAATTTCAGATATGTGTTGAATTGCTTGTTCTTGACGACCAGTGGCTGCTTACTTTCTTCCAGAGGACGGATTGGGTACCGCCACGATTTGATCACTCCTAGAGATCATACAGGAGTGACAATCAGCAAAACGCGACTGTTGGTGATATGCGCCACCTGGCAGGGAGACAAAGCTTTTTGGGGACCATGCTGACCACTGAGAGCCCAAGAGGCGCCCATCCAATTTCCTGGACATCCAAAGTAAGTCGAATAATCATCTCCAACCGTCACAGGGCAAGTCCTGCCCTCAAAGGAGACTGTAGGTGTTCCCTTAGCAGGGACAGAAGCAGAGGCACCGCTGATTCCTTCTCGCTTAATTCCCGAAACTATGGACAGAGGACCTAGAACCCTCTAAGTTCTTTCACCCCTGTTTGAAAAAGGAAAGGTGTGTGAATGCAAGAATGCTGGCTGCATGAGGAATCCTCCCGGGAAACGTTCAACTGTCGAGAATCCTCAGTGGCGATCCCTGGATGAAACTCAATGAATGTTCAATCACTGCATTCAGTCATGGGGTGTTGTTGAGGTGCAATGGCAGCCCCTTCGGACGGCATCTGTTCAAACGACCGCCTGTTTTCGCAGTGTAGAACGTGGACTTGAAAGATAGATAAGTTATTTTGAAGGACTCCCTTCATAAATATCAAGACTGAACCAGTATTTCTTTCTCTTGGCATTTTGGTTGAACTGCCAATCTTTTTTCTCACCTCATAACTGCTCGTCTCTCTACAGAATCAGCTACAACTTTGCCCCTCTTGCACCAAGATCCGCAGATTAATTGAAGATGTCGACGGATATGCAACCCGATATAAATATCGGTCCAAGTGCTGTCATAGCAGGTTGGGTCGAAGCAAGCATTGCTGTCATCGTTGTGATAGCCCGGACTTACACACAGGCTAAAGTCGTGGGTCGTATGGGTGCTGAGGACTACCTCATGATATTGTCTCTGGTGCGAATCCTCTTGGCCTTTACGAGTCTACCCAACTCATCGTCTGCAGATCATTGCCATGCTCAACACATCTCTCATAACCCACGCCGTGTCTTGGGGCATTGGAAGACACATCTATTACCTAACACCCGAAGAGACAGTCAACGCTATAAAATTTGAATTTATTGCTCAGGTTTGTTATACCAATTTTCTGACCACACATTGATCGCTAACTATTCGGTATGAACAGACTCCTGGCATTGTTGCGCCAACGTTAGCGAGAATCTCCTTTGCTATCTATCTCTTGAAATTTGTAGGAACTAGCAAATTCCGAAGGTGGATCCTGTGGTCTGTTGTCTGGAGTCAAGCTATCGTCAATATCATCCAGCTAGTCCTCATCTTTGCTCAATGCGAACACTTTGCAGCTCTATGGGATCCCTCAGTTGGCGGAAAATGCTGGAGCAGGAAGGTGCAGGTGTACTCCGGCTACTTCCTTGGTGGTAGGTTTCTGCGGCTCAAACCCTTCGCTGCTCGGGTTACTGATAGATATAGCTTTAAACTGCATCCACGATCTCATATTGACATTCCTCCCGCTAGTCATCTTAAAGGACCTGAACATAACTCGGCGGGTGAAAGTTATCCTTGGTGTTTTAATGGGAATGAGTATTTTGTGAGTACCAATAGGCTATAGCCTACCACTCCTCCAAGTTTACACACTAACCATTCAAAGTGCATTTGCAGCCTCCATCGTGAAAACGATAGAACTCGGAAACCTGGGAAAGGTCTCAGACTTCACATGTAAGTTTTTCACTCTGACATGCTTGGCATGACCGCCGAACTAATAACTCTGTCTTTAAAGATTTCACCGTGTCCTTCATTATCTGGTTTACCATCGAAAATTATGTCGTCATTATCGCAGCTTCAATTCCATCACTCCGACCACTGCTTCTTCATGTCAAGAAGCAAGTTTCCAGCAAAGGTGACTCGTACCCGATGAACACATACGGTGCAAATCGGAGTCGCGGAACCAAGGGATACATGCCTTACGGTGAAGGCCGCGATGGTACATTGAAGAGTACGAACAACAGAACGACCACCGATGTTAGCGGAAGTGGAATATTGGCGAGTAAGTTGACAGGCTCGGAGAGCGAGGAAAATATTTTGCCGATTCAGAAGACTGGTGATGGTATCACTAAGAGGACGGATATTGTTATGAGATATGATGAACAGGACAAGAAGGATCTGGAGAGGGGTGGTGCCTAAGCAGAACCGATTGATGTGTTGATTTTGGTAGTGTTGCTTTTTTGTAAGGTGTATTTGGAACTTGGGAAGCTGTCTATAGCCTGCCGTCAATGTAAATTTCGAAAAGGAGTTGGATTATTTGGTCTACACAACATCATACCCTCGCGGTTTGAGATGCTCCAGCCTTGGTTGTGATTTATTTCCTTATTGTAAAGCCTATGCTGGTCGACACTGAGCCCACATCTGTTCAGACCTCCTTGACGCCCGACTGCAAGAAAAGAAAATTTGCGAATCTCACCAACACTTTCAAATTTCAACCGTTTCCCGAGAATCAAATACACCCCAATTAGTTGTGAACACACCTTTGCTAACATCGGGTCATATCAACTCCACTACTGTTAATTGACTTGTCGCCGTTGTTCAGCATTCTACAAGTGTACTCGGCGAGACACGCACCAGCTCACGTGATGGAAACCACGGCCGTGATTTCCCACCTCTCAGACAATCTCTAAACTAGAGAAGAGTTATTATCATGACCATTCTGCGCTGTCCAGTCTATTCTATATTCTCAGTATTGTCACCCACCCAGTCTAAACCACCAACACCGCAATTCTCAAGTCGCTCTTTCCAACGTGATTCGAAAAGCGGAGGGACTGACCGCCGTTGCCTTTCCGTCTGTCCCAATATCAAAGACAAAAGATCCTACTCCAATATTTCCATATGCGAGAGAACCAGCATTAAGCCAATCCTGAGATTCGAAACCCGCAAACAGCCCAGCCGGCGTTCGAGGAGTCGGTGCGTCTCTGGTCGAAGCGAGCAAAAAGGCAGCTCTTCCAGCCTTTAGGTCCGAAATCGAGGGCAGGAGACGCCAAGGGGGAGATCCAAGTGCCTCAGAGAGCCGGGTAATCATATCTGTCCCATTGCTGACCCACGATGAAATCAGCAATCCAGGTGGGGAGGTCGGGGTCTGGTTGTGAGTCAAAGTTAAGGAAGAGTTGAGGTCTGGAGTTCCTGAAGTGTAAGTCCCAGCGAAATTTCGCGCAGCTTCAATACCAGCTTGTTTCTCTAAAGCGGGGAGTATTAATTCCACAACCAGCTCTACAATGATTTCAACAATCGCGAATCGATTTGTCATCGTGCTAGCTGCGAGAATGCTGAACCCGGCATTGTAGTCCGGTAGAAGCACCAACCAGCTGCTGTATGCCCCAGAATCACCGAGCTTAGTGTAGATGTCAGTGACATGGCCGGATGGGTGAGTATATCGAAATATTTCCCACGGCCTGCCAACCGAGAATTGCAAGCGGGCTGTGTGTGAAACGGGCTTGAGCCACTTCCGTGTCTGTTCTGGAGGGAGGAGTGTTGAGTTGAGGATACCGATACCGAACTTTGCTAGATCGCTGATTGTTGACAAGAGTCCGCCGGTGGATACTAGCAGGCCAGCGTCAAATGCAAAGGTTGTGCTTGGGTCGCCGGGGATCACGCAGTGGTTCCACTCGGATTCTGGAGGGGTAGATGAGTGTGAAGAGCCCATGTTAAGAGGATTGAAGATAGTCTCTTGGTACAGTTGCTCCATGGTCTTGCCGGTGGTGGCTGATATCGCGCGACCGAGTAAGATGAAGCCGTTGTTTGCGTAATTGGGGGTTGTCCAGGGCTCGAAGATTGGGGCTTGTATCTCTGCACTCTCAAGATATGGGACTGCTGTACAAATAGTCCCATTCTCTAAGAAATTAAGTACACATGGTGTGACTACTTTCGGATCGCTCACATTGACGGGTGGCAGGCCTAGCCCTGGTACGAAGATATCCGGAAGGATTTGAAGTGCGACGTCCCCAGAGCCAAAAGGAAGAATATCGCGGCTAACTCCAGCTACTTGAGCGGCCAGGGCACTAGGTGTGATTTTGTTCCATTGAGTGGCGTACACAGTGCCATCTTCCCCCTGGTTCTTCGGGGCGAACTCGGCAAGGGTGGGAAATATGTCAGTAAGAGGGCGATCCCATTCGGTGTCGTTGAAATTCAGTAGGCCTGCAAGTACGGTGAAGACTTTAGTGAGACTTGCGAATCGGTAGATACTGTTCTCGTCGACTTTATGTGTGCCGTTGGGCGCATTTGCGGTTTCGGGAGACGTGTAGTGGAATTGAAGCTCACTGGCCGCAGGGTTGTTCAGTGAGAACATGCCAAGGGAAAATGTGAGGTTTTTGATATCGGCCATAGCCCCGGAAGAGATGTCCTGGTCGCCATGGTCGATGTATCTCTGGAGGGTGGAGGTGATGTTTCTCCAACCTGCGGCGACAAGGCTTTGGTGACTGGTCAAGTCCACCGGTGCGGGGTAACTTGGTCCTAAGAAGTCCGCAAGCGCACCTGAGATGCAGAATGAAATGATAGGGAGGCGTAGAAAAATCGGGTGCATGGCGAGATCTGAGAGTGAAATGCGGAAAAGATTGTTCTGCTAGATATCTTGCATTTCGATAATGTCGAATCGTGCTGTTTATATATACACCTCTGATCAACTGCTTAGAGCGAACTGCTACAAACTTACGAGGCATTTGACCGCATGAGCGGGCGATGCTGAGTACCTGATTTTACGCGTATATGCAGTCCGTTTAGGCGAGCCTGATGGAGAGGCGCAAAACCTTGCAAGGCAGAAAATGATCGCTAAAATCTCACCCTCTCACTGCGCCAACCTGGTTCGGTTGCCTGTGACGCTGTGAGATCATCGTTTTAAACGCGGATAGATCTCAATGATGAGATGAGGCCGATGATTGGTGTTGGGCCCTATAAGCTGATCTGCCGCAAATAAACGAAGGGTAATGTACGCGGTTTTCGCTTACTCGATAGGCCACCCAAACCACCACCAACGGATTTGAATAATAATGGGAATTATAATGAAAAGGAAATTAACAGAAGAAAAAGAAGTAGTGTCAAACTCCTTATCGGATCTATGAGGATGAGCAATTTTCATCCAAAGAAAAAAAATGAGATTTTGAAGTCTTGCGGAATTTAGAGTTTGGAGATAACGAAAAAGGACGGCCCTCAATGGATGGGAAAGCTGTGGTAAGGCAGAGCCTAGGCACTCTCGACCCTGCAGATGGAATATACGGTCCCCAGAGGCTTTTCTTCTCAAAGTTCGGATGGGGAGTGTGACTCGACTGTGGAAAATAGCTGCCTGAGTGGGGCTTACACGCTGAATGCTAGTCCAGACCCGATGTAAGTGCTGTGTTGTGTTTTGCTGCACCTAAGGGGGTGTAGGTATGATGACATAGGGGGTGCTAAAGGAAGAGCGCCTTACATATTCATATACTTTAACCTAGCGACAACCTGAGTAACTTGTCAGAGAAAATCCTTAGAGTAATATTGTATTTATGGAGACTGCACCAGTGACACGGCTTAGTGGACGGCTTGTCACGTGAGCAGATTCTATTGAGGCTATGTAAGTTTTCCTTCTCTACTATCACGGCTTCTTATGTGATTCAAGACTTTACGCCGTAGCAATGCGCAATATGGCCCCAGAAATTTCTGGCTCGTTCTGGCTCATTCTTCTTAATTAAAGGGTTAGGGGCTAAAGGGATTGCCTTGGATGAAACCTAAAAGGAGAGTAAGTCACGTGCCACATTGTCCCTTTCGAATCCTTTCAATCTCGCCCACTGAGGTAGCACTCAACATTTTCTGGTTGAAGCAATTTTTCTTTGGGGGTACGTGGAGGGTTAGAAATCAGAAGCACACATTGCCGCTGTCCAAGCCAGCTGAAATGCAAGGCACAGCCAAACTATTGATGAGTGGGAGGGGTAAGTGGGGTAGCGAGTCTGGGTCAGTTTAACCGGCTGGGAAGTGGAAATCATGAGCTTCATCTGATATATTATCCGGTTCTATGAACTATTACAAAGAACTTTCAGATTTAGGTGTTTGAACTTTGGACGAAGTTTCTCAAAGGAAGTATTTCTTGGCATTCTATTCCGCCTTGAATGTGGCTTGCCTATTCTGCACCACATAGTTCTCGGTCGCATTTTCAAACCTTGTTTTGCCATGGCATCAACTTCCATCAACCCCATAATACCAGGCTTCGCACCGGATCCATCTATCATTTTGCTTGATGGAACTTTTTTCCTCGTGAATTCAACGTTTCACATGTTTCCTGGTCTGCCAATATACGCTTCGAAGGATCTCATTTCGTGGAAGCATATCAGTCTGTACCTTCACTCAGAGCTCTTCTCAACAATGTGTTTTATTAACATGATATTACAGGCAACGCAATCCATCGGCAAAGCCAACTTAGTCTGAAGTTCTCTGACACCAGACTGGCTGAAAAGGATGAAGCCGGTGATGTGATGCATGTTACTGGCGGCTTATATGCTCCCACGATCCGTCATCACAATGGCACCGTCTACGTTGTATGCACAAACATCCTCCATATGGGTGGTTCGGATAAAGATGTGACCGAGAATTTCATCGTCTCAGCGACTGACATTTGGTCTGGAGAGTGGAGTGATCCAGTCTACTTCGACTTCCATGGCATAGATCCAAGTATCTTCTTCGACAACGATGGAAAAGTATACATGCAGGGTTCTGCTTCTCCTGGCCCAATGACAAGGATTCATTTGTTTGAGATTGACCTCCAAACCGGGAAGAAACTTACTGAGGAGAAAGAAATATGGCAAGGGACCGGAGGAATCTATCCTGAAGGTCCTCATATGTACAAAGCGGACTCGTGGTACTATATTATGATCTCTGAAAGTGGGACTTGTGAGGGCCATATGATCACTGTGGCGAGGTCGAAAAACATCTGGGGCCTTTACGAAGCATTTGAACAGAATCCGATACTGACTGCTCGCGGCACCACTGAGTACATCAGGTAAGCTCGCAACCACTTGTGCCTTGGGACTACAGTGTAGCTAATGGCCACTGCTACAGAGCGACAGGGCATTGTGATATAGTGCGGGACGAGCGGGGGCAGTGGTGGGGTGTGTGTCTAAGAGTACGCAAAGACAAAGGCCGATACACCCTTGGACGAGAGACTTTTCTCACCGTGGGAGAATGGTCCGAAGGCAAATGGCCGAAGTTGTCACAAGTCAAAATGAATCCAATCCTGCAAAGTGGCAAAGAGTTGGTGCGTGCTGAGGGTCAGGCACGTCTGACCTCTTCACCCATGGTTGATTATCTCTACATTCGGGATGCAAAGCTTGATGACCACAAGTTTTCGAACAGCGGGAAGACTCTTACTCTGACAGCAAGTGACGGCAACTTCTCACAATGGAAAGATCCAGTCACCTTTGTCGGAAAGCGGCAACGAAGTCTTGTGGGAAGATCAACAGTGCTGATGCGGAATCCCGATATAGCCACTGCAGGACTGGTGGCTGGTCTGGCATACTACAAAGACGAGCACCGTTACATGAGACTGTTCTATGATTACACATCCTCGGAGATTGTCTTTGAGGCCACTGTCACCTCCAAGAAGATTTCAAAAGTTGCCCGGCACACTGTTCAGCTCCGAGGATGGGTGGAATTTCGGCTTGAATATACCGAGCTGTCTTACACATTTTCTTACAGGATTGACTCAGAGATAGATCTCTGGATCTCATTTGAAGCTCAGGATACTCTAGATATGACAGCTCCTGACTTCATAGGTCCTGTTGTTGGATGTTTCGCAAATTCATCAGTGGGAGGAGGAGAAATTCAGTTTGAAAACCTGGAGGTGGAATGAGAACGTACATCAAAAGGCATTTGCCAGCACTTTCACATTTAGTTTCGATTCAGTGTGTTTTCTCTTCAACTTTCGCTGCTGGACAAAGTTTCTCCAAAAGGCAACATTCAAACCACCAACCCCACTTTGATATCTACCCCATGACTACGCTTCTTTAGTATCGTTCTTTCACTGCCGAGAGGCTTTCCCCTTTGTGCCCCTGATCATCAATCTGCCTGATCGTTAATCTGGTAATGAAAAATGAGCATGTGCCGGTGTAGATGCTTCGTCTTGGGAAAGAGGAGGGAATCGGGGGTAAGCGGGGGTAAGCTGCCAAGACGCAGCCCTCTAATGTCTGTTTCTCTGCGACAGCTATAGGATTGCAGGGATCCGAATTTATCCTGATCAGCGAGGGACTTTAACCACCTTAGCAGTAGCCCTTATCTCGAGTCGTGTATGCGCTTTCAAAACCTGTTGCTGTGTTGCACATAATTCAGCACATGCACTCCAATAAAAAAATATCTTAAAGTACGTCTCTCAAACTTGAGAACTTTCCATAGCCAAATCCCATTGCAAAGCTGAGAACAATCGGATCTTTAATGAAATCTTTATGCATATTTCTACAACTTCGGTCCAATAAGAGCCATAAGTTGTTGCTCGGTTATCAAGAGAGGAGTAGAGGGGAAGAGAACCGCATCGCGGAGGTTTATGGCCGCTTTCTTGAGGGACCTTTCATTATCTTAACTTGGGAGGTGCCATAATCTAGAGCTGGCGGTGTGTCCCAAGATTTTCCGTGAGTTCTGCTTTCGTTAACGGTAAGGTATTACTGTTCAAATAGAGCAGTAACCATTAATAATGTTGGGACGGGACTTCATGATGCTCGAGAAGTATGATTAAACTATTTAAAAGTTTTGAATTTACCACTGCACAACAAAAGTAAGTTATGGAAGTTCGGCTCTTGGGAGCCTGAAAGCTCCCTGCCCTGTTCGAGTCCGCGTCCATGGAACTTCCCCACTCACCGTTTCAGCTCCACTCTCTTAGGATTCCTAAGGTGAACTTTGCATTTACCCCAACGACGAATGACAGGAAGATCAGACAAAATCTACTTCAAGATTTCACATCAGCCCCGCGACAATGTAGACTTTTGCTCGGAAGCTAGCCGGGGGAGCTAGTGGAGTAACCACCGGAGAGGTGGGGGTTTCTGCGGGGTAAGGCACCATTGAAGCAACTCATTCTCTCAGCCCTCCCAAGAGCGATTTCCCATTTATCCTCGGAGCCAATTACAGAACAATCGGTTAAATCTTAATTCAAACGTGGCCCCGCGCTCCTCGTTCTCGCCTTGAAATTTCTCTAACAGAAGAATAGGGATATTGAGGAGTGGAGTAGGAAATCTGAGGGATATTTAAAGCCGCTCCAAGCCCGCAATATTTTAGGGTCCTCCACAGTACGAAGATAACGGCATAAAGTATCGGGAATACAGGGCATTATTTTATGAAGGCCACTAAATGCCCTGTAAGGTCTTACTTTAATCTCCCTGTAGCTAGTCCTAGTCCCCTGTAAGCCCCTATAAGCTTACTAAAAGTGCCCTGAAGGCTTAATATGGGCTTATGCAGCTTGACAGGTGCTGAACGCCCCCAAACGCCCATAAATATAGGCGAGTCCACTAATTAGTAGCGAGTAAAGGGGGGGGTAATCAGCCCTAATACACACCTCTCCACATACACTTCGTTCTGAATTCTAATTCTAATTGATTAGAAAAATACTTGATACCTTTCGCTTTACTTTAGCCATTATTATGGCTACTTTTGGAGGTTTATTTGATTTTCCTGATTTATTAGATAGCTAATCAGAGCTCTCCTCTCCTCCTGATTCCTCAGATGACGAACGCTCTGACGAGCATACCGAAGATGAAGAGGATGCATGGTATAATTTACCGTCAGATTCGGACGATTCAGACGATGATTCAGCTGAACCAGCCCTTCTATTACCCGCTTTATCAACTGCTTTTGTACTTGCTACTCTTGGGCCCAAAGAGCACTCTACTGGTGCCAGAATTAAGGCTATTTATATACTTGAGGATAAGAAGTCTTTGGGACAAATCAGAGAGGCTATAGGAGTACCCAGATCGGCTGTTTATTAACTTGCAGCTATAGCTAGGGAGTATGGATAGGTAGAGAATAAGAATATGCCTTTGGAGATCTCGTATATTCTGAATATACCAAGATCTGGTTGACCTGCAATCTCCGCTAAAGCAATCAAGTATGTTCTAAAGGTCGTTCTCCAGAATTTTACTACGAGAGGCTTTTCTTGTACTATAATTGCAAAGGAAGTAAAGAAGAGGGGTCATGAGATCGCACCTAGAACTATATAGAAGGTTCTTACTTATACAGGCTACTCTTAGTATAAACTGATAGTTAAGCCTGGTTTGAACGAGCTCAATAAAGCAGAGCGATTAGCCTGGTACTTGGAGCGAGAGTATTAGACGCTTAACGACTGGAAAGATGTGATTTTCACAGACGAGACTACTGTCTAATTAGGTAGTATAAGGGGAAAGAGACGTATATAGAGATTACCTGGAGAAGCGTATAATAAGTATTATATACGGAGAAGGTGGAAAGAATTTTCTAAGTTTATGTTTTAGAGGTCTTTCTCCTTTAATAAGAAGGGGCCTTGTCACATATAGGAAAAGGAGACTTTATAAGAGAAGAGAGATCGCAAAGCTGATCTTGATGCGAGGAATTCGTTAATTGAGAAGGCTAATAAAGAGAAGTAGGAGAAGGAGCAGAGGAAGTGGCTAAGGGATTGGAAGAAGGCTTATGGTAGGGCCCCTGGAGGAATACGGAAGGTATGGAAGCATAACGAGGAGACTGGTGCCTTTGTTGTGAAGAATGGACGAGGAGGGATTAATTAGTATTGATACCAAAAGAGGATATTAATTGAGAAGCTTCTACCCTTTGCGAGGGAGTGCCAGAAAGATCGACCAAAGACTATCGTACAGGAGGATAATGCAGGAGCCCACAAGTTATATTACCAAGGGAAGGTTTATAATCTATGGAAGATTATGAAGATGCTTTGGCCAGGGAACTTACCTGATCTCAATGTAATTGAGAAGGCCTGGTTCTGGATGAAAAAGGAGACTACTAAGCGGGGACCTACTAGTGATAGGAAGAAGCTGAGAGTAAGGTGGGAGAAATGCTGGGAGGACCTCCCTCAGAGCAAGATTTAAGAGTGGATTATAGTAATCCCTGATTACGTAAAGGAGATAATACGCTTGGAAGGGGGGAATGAGTATAAAGAGGGACGGAAGAAGGGGCAAGAGAAGGTAGCTATTTATTAGGTAGTTATTTTAATAGATAGAATCGAACTGATCAAAAAATAATCGAAATCAGAGGTTTAGCGAGGTAAGCCACACTTCAGGGGACCCCTACAGGGCTTACAGGGGGCTAGGAACGGCTACAGGGAGATTAAAGTAAGACCTTACAGGGCATTTAGTGGTCTTCATAAAATAATGCCCTATATTCCCGATACTTTATGCCGTTATCTTCGTACTGGAAATTATCCATTTTCCGTACCGTTTTGATAATTTGTTTGCAGCTCTATATCAACAGCGCAAACACGATGGGTTTCAAAGATCACATCCCTCGAGTTCAGCAAAATGAAGCCTTGAAACCAGTTCCTCCTCATAAAGGATACTATTTCTTCGCTGGGCAGACCTTCCCTCGAAAGACATGGTACAAGGACCAGAATCTGCGCAAACTTTACTTTTACATCTTGGTTCTTATTCTCACAAACACTGCGAATGGTAAGCAGTGTGAAAAAACTGTCTGTTCCTCGAAATCCCCAATCGCTAACGCGGACACAATCCAGGTTTTGATGGCTCCATGATGAATGGTCTACAGACGCTAAGCTATTGGCGAGAATACTTCAACCACCCCCAGGGGAGCAAGCTCGGTCTGTTCAACGCATCAATGAGTCTTGGTTCCATGCTAGGACTGTTCTTCATCCCATACACCGGTAAGTCCCTTTTCATTCACATGATTTTTTCTCACCTTGCTGCTGGCCCGTACTTTTTCTCTACCTGGTCATCTCACCTTGCTGTCCTCACATATCTCCCTGCCATCACAGAAAGTGCGATTCTGACCTTGGTTTCTTGTGTAGTGGATCGATTTGGCAGAAAAGTAGGGATCATTAGTGGGTGCCTCATCATGTTGCTTGCTGTTGGCCTGCAGACCGGCGCTACCAATTTTGGCATGTTTATCGCTGCCCGTCTTCTTCTCGGATTTGGCGACAACATTGTGCTCGGCTCAGCTCCTCTCCCCATTGCTGAGATTGCACACCCTCAAGATCGTGCAATTCTTGTCACATTGAGCGCAGCTTCATATCATTCAGGTGCATTTATCGCTTCTTGGGTTACATATGGAACATTGCAGATCCAGGTATGTCTCTCTATGCAATCGCAAGCAGCTTGCGCTGATGTTAAGACAGAGCAATTGGTCTTGGAGGCTCCCTTCTCTCTTGCAAAGCATCTGCAGCGTCTTCATTCTGGCCATGATGTATTGGTGTCCAGAGTCTCCCCGTTGGCTCATCAACCGTGGCCAAGAGGACAAAGCCCTCCAAATACTGGCGCACTATCATGCCAACGGCAATGGCCAAGATGAGTTCGTGCAGCTTGAGCATACTGAAATTCGCGCTGCTCTCGCAATCGAAAAGGAGGCAGAAGCAAACACTTGGCTTGACTTCCTCCGCACCAAAGGCAACCGAAAGAGAGTCGGTATCATTACGGCAATTGGATTCTTCTCACAGTGGTCCGGAAATGGACTCATTTCGTACTATCTGTATCAAGTCATGAACAACATCGGTATCACGAGCCCTCAGACCCAGCTCGGTGTCAATGGTGGCCTCAAAACGTGGGGCTTGATCGTCAATATCACCATGTCTTTCTTCGTTGACCGAATCGGAAGACGCAAGATCTACCTTATTTCGACGATCGGCACGTTGTTCGCATTTACAATTTGGACAATAATCGCGGCCAGATATGCCATCCATCCTGTCAATGGCCTCGGCAGCGCATTCGTTTTCATGATCTTCGTCTACGGCTCTTTCTACGATTTCAAGCAAGTCACTCCAAAATTTACATATCTTGAAGAGAGTCAATAACATCATTTAAACAGATCTGGTCTCCTCGCCTCATACACAACAGAAATTCTTCCCTATGGCCTCCGAGCCAAGGGATTCACCTGGCTAAACTTCTGCGTAACCTCAGCGCTCTTCTTCAACCAATACGTGAACGCCATTGCTCTTGAAGCTCTCGCATGGAAATATTATCTGTTCTACTGTGTGTTTCTGGTTTTTGAAGTCGGAATCATCTACTTCTTCGTTGTGGAGACTAGGTATACGCCTATGGAGGAGATCAACAAATTTTTCGATGGCGACTCGGCGATTGATGTAGCGGAGATGGCGAACGCGGAGCTGAAGGAGGCCAAGATCGAGCGGGTTGAGCAGGCGGAGGACAGAGTTGAGGGGGAGACGCGTGCTTAATGCGGCGGAGCCCAGAGAGGGAAAGGAGGCCGTCGGAGACCTGGTAATTTCTCTGGTGAGAGTTGGAGTTAACTTTGCTTGGCTGTCACAGGTTCGAAGCTATTCATATGCCTGGTGGGTCAGCGTTATCAAGTGGGTGAGAAGCAGCGGAACATGTATGTATTCTTGCCGCTATTTCTGGATTAGGATTTCTCCGTGGATTATTCCTAAACTTGCATCTTCCCTGTCTTTCCATTCTGCCCAAGCGTTTGCCATGGTTTCCAGCTTATCTTCAGTAGCCACAGAAGTTGTGCTAGTTGAGCAAGCAAAGCTCCTCGTGGCAATCTTTAGCCCAAGGCGACAGGAGGATGTTGGTAGATTGGCCAGTTTGAGCTAGAGAATAGCAGCTTTGGGGTACCAAGAATTTCTTGGCCTGAAACATGTGCAACCGTTGCTTGCGGCTTGCCCGACTATTAAACCTTACCTTGGAAGCCCTCCAAATCTAAATATTGCTACACATCGATTATCTAGCTAAGTCATTCTTGGAAGTCAAGTGTTTGTAATATAACTCTTTGCCAGAATGCCCCACCTAGCTAATACAAACTACTTGTGGCGGTACTTAATCAATGTCCCAAAAGCTTCCCACAAATTTCCAGGGCGTATTATGCTCTTCTATCAGATCTCGTTTCCGATACTCGATGATCAAGTCTAGATATAGCGAATAGGGCATGCATTGACAGTAGTACGAGTCCTATTGGTGGAGCACATCGTGCTAGTCAATAGTAGTGAGCTGTTATTTGAATTCTACAGGTTAGTCCCTACTCGACTGAATGGCATAGATGAAATTAACGATAATGCGTATGCGGCTTTGGCTCTTTGTCCAGATTTCAATGCGGCTCTCCGTGTCCGGCCAACTCGAACAATCTTTAATATTCCTTGGGCTAATGTTACGATTAGCATTAAATTCATCCAAACAAGCGCTTATATACAGGTTTGGCAACGATTACTGAGCAATCGATTAGTAATCGATTCTGGACACAATCGAATACTATCGAATCGCATTAATTAGTAATTAATTACCAAACGATTATTACCCCGTACCAAGCACTAAATTTTTAGTACCTATAGCCTATAATTTAGCGACCGTGGCCCTAAAATTTAGCAATAAGTAGCCTATAATTATATAGGCTTCCTTTTCCTCGCAACTTTCAAGTACTAAAGCTCACTTCCCACTTATTCCCTAAGGGGCTATCCCCTAAAGAGCTCTTTTTCAGAAAGCTCTTTGCGTATCGCAGTAAGCTGTCTCGCAGTAATCTGTCCCCCAAAAAGCTCTTTGTATATTACAGTAAGCTGTCTCGCAGTAATCTGTCTACCAACAAGCTCTTCCCTAGGAAGCTCTTTGCGTATTGCAGTAGCCTGTCTCGCAGTAAGCTATTCCCCAAAAAACTCTTCTCTAGGGAGCTCTTTGCGCATTGCAGTGAGCTGTATTCCAGAGAGCTCTTTGCGTATTATAGTGAGCTATCTCCCGGGGCACTCTTCCCCAGAAGACAGCTTATTGCGAGACAACTCACTGCGAGACAGTTCCCTGCAATACGTAAAGAGCTCCCTGGGGAGAGCTCACTGCAATACGCAAAGAGCTCGCTAGGGAAGAGCTTCTTGGGGAATAGCTTACTGCGAGACAGCTTTTTATAATATATAAAGAGCCTCCTAGGAAGGAGCTCACTTTTAAGTAATAATAAAGGGTTAGGGAGAAGGAAGAGGGGCAATAATATATAAGTATAGTGATTTTTATTAAGTTAAATTATATAACTTTGGGAGAAAAGGGGGCCTTAAGTACTAAAAGAGAAGTGGAATTCTAAATATTTTCTTTAAATATGTAAATAAAGGAGAGCCTTATCTTTATTATATATATAGTATAATACTTTACTAAACTCCTTAACTATCCAGAATTAGAAAAGGGGGTACGTGGGCAGGGATTTGCTCGCTTATAATCGATTATTAATCGATTTAATTAATACCTTACGATTATGGCATCGATTATAATCGATTACTAAAAACGCCAATCATTGCCAAGCCTGCTTATGTAAAGAATTGGGAATATACCACGGACTTCTCTATGTATTAGCGGGTATATTACACTACCATATACTATAGTTTGCCGTAATCCAATCCCACTTGGCTCTGACTTTAAAAGCTCAGGAGAGCAATTCAATTCCCACAGGCACTCGTTCTCGAAGTCGCTCTCACGAGCAGCCACGACGCCACCTAGCTTCGTTGTACGCAGTATCTCCCTCAACACCTTCCATGGGTCGCCAAATAGTAGAGATCCTGGTGGCAGTATGTAACTTCAAAGGTTCCGTAGGCAAAGGGTAGGTCATATGCATATGCTAGCTGAAAATAGATATTCTTGACTGCTTCAGATACCTACTGCAACAGCTTTAGCGCGTTGTAAGACGTTCTGCTTCAGATCGATGGCAGTGACTTGACCATCTGATGTGAGTTTTGCAAAGGACACTGAGATGGTCCCCGAGCCGGTGCCAATTTCTAACAAGATGAGGAAGGGAGTGCTTTCTTTCACGCACTGAAGTATGGGCAGGAGATAGGCGGCGCTGTTCTCGGTGGTTCGCAATTCAATGTGGATGGCTTGAGGGGCTGCGGAAATCGGCTTCTGATTTAGTTGACCCATCGTTGAAATAACTTCTGCGATTTCAAAGAAACTGCTCAAAGGAGAGGATGCATCTTTGATAGTGGGCTACAGAATCTATTGTTTCATGAGTCCACCAGCTCATGCACTCTCCGGCGTTACAGGTTGAGGTAAGGCGGACTTTGGCATGGCTCTGTAAGCACTCTGAAGCTTAGCCCGGCTTCATCAATTTGCTGGCTCAGGCAATCGGCCGTCTAATTGGCCAACAGTAGAGTGGGGTCATACCATGCTATTATTAAAGCCCTCCTTGAACTTTGGTCGCTTCAGCTTGATTGGAGCAAGCCCTTGGCTGCCAAACATCCAATAGAGTTAGGTTTATTCTCAGGGGTACGACTCAGTACTTCAACAGAGCTTTGAATGATGGGTGAAGCTTGATGTCAGCCATAGTCGAAATGTTGAGTGTCAGTAATCCCACTTGAGGTTGGTAGGATTAAAATAATGAGGCAATAATTTCTCACACGGGGATTGAGTCAGAATCGGAGCTTCATTCTCTCCAGCCCAATGGCATGAACAGTCTGCCTTCGGGTTTCGCCTGGATCATGACTGTTGTATGTTCTAGATTGTATTCGTTTGCTAGTCGACCCTATCTAAATATTACCTCCGTATGATGTATAATTAAACGTACGGAACACAATGACGTCATATCTCATGAGATGTGCTGTTATGCTATTGCTATGCTATGACATATGTTAAATGCGACACGTGATTAGCTCCCCTTTTCCCGCTCGCTTAACTGGGCAACTCAAGTGGCGGCACATAAACATCAACCCCGAAACCTAATTCAACTTCCCACAAAACTCATTTTACCTTGCCCGCTTTTCACTTCACACTATCGTTTTAACGTTCTTAAGGTCGGGTTTGGTCCCGCATAAAGTTATACAGAGAGAAGCAGGCACTTGGTGAATTAAATAAACCTCCAAAAGGCAATTTTGCATCGCTCTCATTGGTAAATACAAAGGTAACAAAGGAAAGAAGATAGAATGGCTCACGTGGACATTATAGTGCGGCATGCTTTTGTTCTCTATCGAAAGTCGAGCCCTCGCAAATATACTTTTCGCGATCCTAATCCCAGAGAGAAAGTTCATCTGGGAACGGATTCTTTTGATCAAACAGCAATCAAACTTAAGTATTAGGGTTCAGGCTAATTTTTGAAAACAACGCTTGATTGGTGTTTCTAAAGTACAGTTCCCTGGTCTCAAGTCCAGAGGCGCGGACATCAAAACTCGCGCGTGATGTGGTAACATTCTAGACTACAGCCCCTTATTCAGGTTCTATCGACCGGGATTTTTGAAAGCAACGATTGCCACGAGAATGACTTTTTAACATGCAACACAGATCAAGACCCAACACGACTTCGTCAGATATTTCTGTAGGGTCATGAGCACGTATTCTCTCCCCCTATATGGAACGCCCACCTCATCCAAATACCCACTATGCTCTTCCACGTCCCCTTCCATGGCCATTGCCCCTTACCCTTTCAGTCTCTCTTCCACTTCCGCCGCGTCTATTGTCACCCATCACATGCGACCCTGGTCCTGATGCCGCTGGCAATGCATGACCAAGCTCTACCATGCTAACCTGAGTTTCGTGGGCAGCCACTCCACTGACTGGTCTAGACGGAGATTCTTGTGGTTGATTTGATAGCGGAGGTGGAGTAGGGGGGGCTCTCCTTGGCCGTCGCTGGTGCAGTGGCGGGGTTGGAGTAGGAGGACCTCTCCTTGGCTCTGGAGCATATCTTGCTAATATGCTCGAACTTGAAGAAACGTCATCTCCTGGCAATGAGCTTCGTAGTTGTTGATGTTGCTGTGGGCGGGAAGCAGACGCTTCTGCGCTCGTAACTGGGTCTCTCGGTCTGGGAGGGGCTTGTGCCACCGGAGTTGTTCGGGAAGTTGAGCCAACTCCTGGCCCCTCTGTTCCAAAATTCACACTTCGTGGGCGTTTTGCTTGTTGTTGGTTACCAGACGCGGGAGGAGAGACTCCGTAAAGAGATTCATCGTCCACTTGTTGCTGTTGCAAGGCCTGGCTTCCTAGATGGCGAGCAGACCCCTGCTGAACATTTCCTTCCTGTGTGTTTTTACGCTTAAGCCTCTTTTCTCGATCTGTCGCAGCTTTTGTATACCTGCACTCTTTCCCCATGTTTCTACAGCTACTGCATCCGCTCAGGATCTTATCACAGCCTTCAGCTCCACCATGGCAGTGATCGCATGCTCTTGCTGAACGGCCAGGATCCGGTATTCGATAGTCCCGTTCAGGATACTTGTTACGTGATTCTTGGGTCACATCAACACATTCCCGGTTCGTCTTGATACAGTGATTGCAAGATCTTTTTCCGTCGCAACGGGTTTTACGGTGAAAACAGTTACCACACTTCAATGATGACTGCTGGCGCTGCTGATTCTTTGGCTTGTCTCTTAGGCTGAAACTGTTTACCGGCTTGTCTGAATGTTGGTACGTACACTCTTTCTTTACTTGTTTGCAGCGTTGGCAGCCGTCCTTTTCCCGATTACATGTCTGTGTAACACAGCGTTTTCTGCATCGATCACATGCCGAGCGCAATCCCTGTGTGGCCTCTTTACAAGCCGAGTTAGACTTCCTTGCGATACACGTGTCTCATGGCAGAGAGCCTTACCAAACCTGCTGCACGTTTCACTACGCCCGTGCAGCACACATTCACTACAAGCACCACCAAAATATCCCGCTCGTCGACGACATTCCAGCAAAACTGGATTCGATCCTTCCTCGCATTGTAAACAAGTTCTGGGACAGGTAGCGCCGAAGAGTGAGATAGCCAGTGCCTGAGCCATTCGCATAATTGCTGGGGGCTGCGCCAAACCAGGAGGCCCAAGGCGATTTTGTGACGCCAAAGAGACGGTTCGAAAAGTATGAGTAGCGTTTGTAGCCTCAGGGAGTATGTTGGCTTCTGAGCCAAGCAGAGATCTCAAACACGCGATGTTGACAACCAGAATGTCAGACCAACGTGGATGCACGCGCGCTACAAGCGCTGCGCCACCTTCTGCGAGATAAGCATCTGTGATGCCCTCGATATCAAGAAGCCTTTCCGCGACCGAAGGAAGAGCTGCAGACTGGTGTTCTCGTTGTTGCAGTTCTTGGTTTTGTGCTCGAGGACCTAAATGAGCTCTCGCATCTCTCGCAGCTCTCGCGTCTCTCACCTCATAGAACCTCCTCTCGATATCTTCTTCACTCCTCTCGGGAAAATGTTGTTCCTGGATGCTGTAAAAGGTCAACCCGTAAAATCCATGTAATCTTTGAATTCTGTCATCCTCATCTTGAGTAAAATCGGCTTGTGATTCATGAGCCGACATTGCAATTTCTCGTCTTGATTGAAAAGCAAGTGCAACTCAAAGTTGCTTCTCAGTTCTCTTCGAAGGAGGATGTGCGGCGTTACAGGTGGGGAATGGCTGTGCGTGGTAGCCTCTTGACCTGCGGCTTTCTAAAGATGTCTCCAATACCGAACTGAAATAAGAGTCAACGAGAGTACCTAAGCTTATCCAAACCTAGATGGAAGAGCGATTGGTATGAGGAGGCCTTGATGAAGCTTTTAGAGGTTTGGTATGTTGATGGAAAGAACAAATTGGGAAATGTGAGAAACAGTGGAGGCTTTTGTACTCTGCTATAATAGAGTCATAAAGTGTATCTCCCACTGAGATCGCATGTTATCCCCAGAGCATGGAATCAATCCGTGATTCATGGATTTTTGCAGGGCCTGTTGGCCTAAGGACGAAGTCTGATATGATGCGAAAGCAGGCTTGTTAGTCAAATCTGCCACATTTGGTTAGAAATGTGAGAGGCTTTGAATCATGCCTCTGTAATATGGGGTTTAGCATATGGAACGCGAAGAGGACCTCCTCTATTCGAGGTATGGCTCATCGTATACTGTGACGAGATATGATCCCCCTTTTTCGCTCGCTTAACTAAGGACGTCTAGCGGAACAGGTAGTTCGATATCGGAATCTCGACATGAGCATTTCTAATTCCGTCTTTGGACCTGAGCTGTCACTACTATAGCCTGAGCTATGAGTAAGCCAAACCGGGGCTGGGGTGAGTAGGTGAGCTACGGAGGTGAGCTCATAATAGATAGTAGCGACCTGTTTAAGCTCCACAACTATGACTACTACTAGCTGAAATTAGAAAGAGTAAGGCAGGGGTCCTTTTACGGCCAAGTCTAGATCGTTATTTGAAAGAGCTATATTGTGAGACCAATCGACGCATTCCACAAGATATTCAGTCCTCCCGTGCCGGGTTCACCTCCCTAGTAGTCTATTGGAATGGGAACAATATATTGGTACAAAATCAATATATTGGAGGTTGACAGTCTGCAGAATGACTAGATACAAGAGAGTAAAGTTTGAAAGTAGAGGAGAAAGTGTCCAAAGTAAGGGTTTTTATCCTCATTACCTATCGGCGATATCGATAATGCCGAGCCCGCTTTCTTCGATACATTATAAATTAGCTAATAAATCAAAAGTAATCAGAATAATAATATATTAGTGAGCTTGGTAAGCTCGGCGAGTGACGCATGACAAATGAGAGTGGAGAACACTAAATTAGTGGTTGAACCTGGTGCTGGAAGGACTGGTAAGCTAGCTAACGTAGCGTACCAATTCAACACAGTCGCTCAGTCGCTCAACTAATCCCCATAACCCGCCTCGAATTCATCTACAGAGCTCCATAACCCAACCCGTAATTCAGGGTAGGCAATTCGCCAGAACCGTATCCCAGCGCGAAACCAGGGACTTTCAGTAACACACAGGCGCAAGCAGGTGAAGAGGAAGTTATTTCTGAACTGACTTATCTCCCGATACCCGGGCAAATATCAGAAAGATATAGGTCATGATAATGCAATACTCAAAGACTCGGAACTCAAGCACGCCAAAAGCCGTTTCCGGTTCTGGAGCTGAGCTCCCCGCTGGGCTGCCTGGGACGGCCCACTTCTGGGATGGGAGTACACTCAGCTCCTCCATTGCCTTGTGCTCATGATGCTCACCTCAAATATAATAATGGCCTGGCAGCCTGCTACGACCTGGCTTGACTCGATGGCTCCCACGTCTCGTCCCCAATTATTGGGGGCCGCCTTCCTGCCTCTGCATCTCTCTCCGGGTTTTTAACACTCTTCGTAGAAACAAACAGTGGATGTTTCCCCTTCCAATTCTTGATGGACGAGGGCAGAAACCTCCCTTGCCGTTCAACCGAGGCTTCACCAACGCCAGGGGCGGGATCAGCCGTCCGCCTTAAGGTCTGGGTTCTCTTAACCTTTGTTTGTTCCTTCTCAGATGCATCTGCTCGGGGAGTATCGTTAGCTATATCCATGGTGGTCATGATAGTTCAGGAGATGTCGCACTGACCGGTGAATTCGTCAACAAGCGAGTAAATAATAGACAGAAACGCCACCACGACCGGCAAGACCTGACCGAAGCCCCATGTCGTTAATTCATTACCTTCCACCATTCGGTAGTTGACTGCCACAAGGGTGATGAGGTCAAACGTATTCCAGACGAGGAATGCGAGGTAGCAGAACCAGTTTAGTGGGTAGAACCCATCGCCGTACGACCAGATAGCAAGGAGCTGCACCAGCAAGAACCACAGAACAACCATGGCACTACAAAACACGACTCGTATCATGCTAAAATCGCAAAAAGCGGTCTGTAGCGCTGTCCAGCCTTTCTTTTCCTTAGATTTCAAGAATGTATCCCACGAGGCCCTCATCTCGCCCCACAGATGCAATGTTATCACCGTTGTCCAGATGAACCACCTTTCATTCCAGCGCTTGGTACATGGAAACAAACACAAGGCTAGGGCGAAGGCGAATAGCCCCTGACCGATAATCCAGAAGTAGAAGGAGAAGTAAGGATTCGCCCGGTCCATGAATCTGTAGCAGTAGCCTGCAGTGTCGTTGTGCGGAATGCTGTCCGGCTCGGGCCATAGATGCCGTTTTCCCTCACGGAGATAGACGAAGGTCTGATAGTATATTGCCAGTACCATGCAGACGAATATGGCCAAACGTCTCACTAGCAGCCGCCACTCATTGTCTTTAGAGTCGACGTTCATGTAATTGATGCGTATAGCCCAGAATGAGTTAAGCGCCATCATATATGAGATAAGAACTAGTTGTTCGTGGTAAAAAGTGAGGTCGTTCCGGTTCGCTATGCCGGAAATAATGATTCCAAGTGACGTGATTGCCTGAAGGTCGCCAAGATCTCCAAGGACATTGAGAATCTTTTCAACAAACGGGGATTCCGGTTTTGGCGAGGCATGGAGCCCCTTGACGTAGTCATACCCTTTCCTGTTGAGACGTACTCGCTGATAGTCGCGCCTGGCCTCGGTTGCCGGGGTTGCCTGGGTGCCACTTACACTGGACCTAATGGGCTTCACTTTCCGGACCCCGGAGATGGTGTAGGATCGCCCTGGCGAGCGTCTCGAGAGAATCACGTTTTGATCTTGGTGGTCGTTGTCGCTGAGCTGCGACGGCGCGTCTTGGTTAATGCGTTGGGCTGCACCTCTTTCGACTAGCTCTGTCCCGTTCGACTTCAGCCCAGATGGTCCATTTCCATGAGACGTAGGACTTAGGTCCTTGGGGTTTCGCCATTCTTGGTACGTTTCCTTCGTTTCCTTCCAGGCCGGGATGAAAGTCAGAATGACGGTGAACCAGGCAACAACTGCAAAGGACCCAACGACCTGTCTTGCGTCAGTGTGACTATTCGCGGAAGATGTTTGGGCTAGTCCTGACCCCTGGTCCTCCCACGTCCGTATTCCCCGCAATAGTTGTGTTGCAAGAGAAGTCTGGATCTATAAGCGACATAATTTCTGATATGAACTGAGGTTCACGCGCACTTCTAGGTCAACAAACAAACTAGAATAGTGAGGCGTTATTTGGGACGCCCCACACCGTCCTACCTAAGTGCGCGTTGGGGCTATTACGCACGAGATGAAAGTCGCTAACCCGTAAGGCCCGGAGTACTGAATATGCGGACCAAATATCAGGGCTTAAATTAGTTGCTCTCCTTGTTCCTCCACGCCCACATATCGAGAGCAGCCACGGTGAGTGGCAGCGACAGCTAAATATTCTGGGCAGCCTTCCGCCATCTCGGGAGGACGGACTAGGCCGCTCTCGTCAAGACAAACCGGGCTAGTACTGGGGGCCACACTTCTCAATACGGAGTAGTCAGGGTTCGCTACCGAGCCGCCCCCTATTGCGGGGTCAAGTGGCTCATTGGTTCCTTCATTGCGCGAATTGGAAGGAAGATACGAATTGCCAATTGGTGGCGCCAGCCACATTGAACAAATCATTTGATAGTTCGATGCAAGGACCGTCACAAAAAGGGGCTGACTGCGAGGACAGCGACCATGGATGGCGCGAAGCAGGACTTCTGGCCCGTGTCTGTGATGACCAATCGAACGCAAACACAGACTGTGACGTGGCTGTGCTTGAGCAGTTGAAAAGTACTTCGGTTGTCCACCAGAGTCACCAGGAACGCCAGAGCATTGCTTGAGCAAGAGTTTAGTAAAGAGAACATTCTATTGCTGTCACTCTTCTTCTATTGTTATTGTGTCTCCTCAACAATTGAAAACAAATAACCTCGTCTTTGAGACCTCCTCACCGTTCTATATTCTGCATTCAATCTTTACTCAAACTGCAAATCTGAAACTGCACAGTGGAGGCTTGCATTCGTAAATCAAAAATGCATTCAGCAGTAGACTACTCTTCTCTCTGAGAGACCCAAATCGTTGGTGTCTATTTATTGATCCCCACTTGGGATACAGGAGAGATTTAAATAAACGGAAGAGGAAGACAAAGATAGTGGAATGAAATTAACGAAGGGAATGGGAGGAGTTTATCACTTATCAGAGATGTTCCAGGTTATGATTAAAATGAACAAGTCTGGAGTCAGCAAGGATCACAGGGTAGGCTTAGAAATAAATTAGAAATAACCGCGCCAAAAGCAAGATATAGTGCTTATAAAATGATAAATACATGCTCATGGATTCGTAGCTTTGTACGCAGAGCTCATTGGACATCGGTTCTATTCTCCAGAGACGATGGAAATGCACTTGTAATTCCCTAGATGTATAATTGTCATCTCCCTGCACGGTTATTCTCCAGAACTAGCGGAGAGCTCTAGAAAGAGTGCTGTGTGGTCATGGACAGTTGACTTTGAACAGATAGTGGTTCCTGGCTATGAGGTCCCCCACCTTTGTCACTTGTCGACCCGGATTCCTCTCTTCAGCTCTGCTCCAGTACAATCAAAAGAACTTGACTTTCAACTTAACAACAGATATTTAGATTCAACGGTAGGATGTAATAACAGAGACAGCAAATTGCAAGGTCGTGCCTCAAATCAACACAGAGATGGCCAGTGTTTCAACTCTTTGTAACAGCAACATCACTCATGGAAGCCGCGTTAAATATTGCATATTCCAGATCCTGAGAGTCTAGGAATGGGAAAGAAGCAGAGAGAGTTAACAGAAACCACCTGACCATACGATTTAATTCCCACTTTCCGTAAGAGAATCAAAAACCGTCAAGACAGGACTGGCATTGCGATATAAATTCCACCAAGCCCCGACTCTCCACAAGAATCTAGACCCAGGCATATGACCTTCAGTGGAACAGACAGGCGGTGAGTCCAAACCCCTCTGTGCCAGGTTATAAGCTTTGGATTCCTCATATAAATCATTTGATTCGAATAACCTGCTCCCTACTTGCATTACCTCATTCACTCTCCCACGGCCTTGGGGTAGACCTGAATCTCTAATTCCGCTGTCAAGGACTTCACTGCTGTCACTCGAACCCTCACTGTCATCCTTAAATCACCACTCCCGGAGATTGTATAGTATTGCCATGCAATTCGGCAAATCCCTTCTCAGGCTCTTGATACGTCTTGCTCGCTGGCCGTGGTTGGATCCTAGGCTTTTAAATAATTCCCGAGAATTCACCATGACGAGGCGAAGAGGTTTGGTAGGGTGTTCGAAGTGTAGTCTTCCGTTGAGGAGCGTGATCAAGTTATACATCTTCGAAGCACAGTTGGAATAATAAACGAGGGAAGGAGAGGGAAGATTATTCAACCCATAATTCGTAGCTCTACCTTGGAATAGAAACAAAGGAATACAATTTGCGAATCTGTTAAATAAAGGCGAAGATTGTAAACCAAGCTCGAAGTATAAATTCAAGGGGGAAACCGAGAGCAAAATTCACTTCAACATCCAAGCCGCATCCCGAAGACAATTGTCTCATGAATGTGGTTCAGATATTTGATAAGCCAATAAGAAGATTCAGTCGACCTTTGAGAGAAAGGTGCGTAGCGCTACGAAAGCGGATTCGTACTTAAGCAACAACAGGCTTCCTACAATTCCAAATGACATGCTGCCAATCCTCCCTTGCTGTCAAACTCCATTGCACCCCCCAATCCAAGGTTTCGCTCTCTATACAATCGGAGCCCATGCCCCTGTCCACTAGATAATTTACAACCAAAGCAATCCAAAGCATCGCGGTGGAAGTGGCGTCATAAGTCGTCACTATAAATTCGCATTCCCAGACTTAATTCTTTGAAGTCTGGAGAAAGCCACTTTGGAATTGCAAGAACCGTGGGAGAGGGTAGCTCTCTTGAAGCAAAATAGAAGAGGGTGAAGAAGGATCACATAATCTGCTAACCTCTCGCCCAGTGTATTTAAAAGCAGAAGCAATATAAGCGATTCCAGTAGTTAGAGAATCGGGTAGCGAGGATAAAAACGTGTCAATGTCAGACTCCCCACCACCCCTTTGTTGAGAAAACACCGTAGATGTGTCAAGAAGCAATTACTTGCAAGTGGTGACGTTAAAAGGCGCAACGCGAGGTAACTGGATCATGTATTGCATTTATCATAAACACATGACCACTACAGAAGAATTCACTAGAAAGCGCTCACTGAGCGAAAGTCCTAAGAGCCTTCTACTTTAAGTGTGTAGTATATTGCTGTCACTCCTCTCTCCATTATCAAGCACTACTCTTCACAACTCACCCTGCCACCCTATACACCCTTACCCCTTAGTCATAGACCAATCAAATCACGTAGCTCCAATGTGTCAGCTTGCAATTGACATCGAAGTGTCAAGATACAGCCCCGGAACCCGTTTCCCTGTAATCTGCAATCCCCTGTATTCCGGCGCTACTTGGAATTGTGAGAATTGGGAAATAGAGTCGTGTGCTAGAGGCCGTGGATTTGACGCTGTGGATTTGAGACTGCGAGAAGTGGGCCGCGATATTGCTGTCACTCAACGTTTGCTGTCAAAGACCGTCTCCACGTCAACCCCCAGTCTCCCTCACCTCTTCTCTGAGAACTAAACCCGAGTAAATTCCTACCCATTCAACAAGATATCTTCGAACACCAACTCTCGAAGCCTAGAAGCGCCTTTTGGCATCGAAGACTCGCTGTCTCGAGCGGTGTTTGCGTTTGCATTGTAGTCCTGTGGAGAGGAACAGGGCTTGTGGAGAGGAGGCTATACCGTCATATATTAGAGATCCCTGTGGAAGACAATAGGAAGGAGGAAGAGCCAGTGGAGGGTGAGGTGGATCACTTGAGCTACGAATCTCCGAGGTGTACGTGAAGTGGGAAGGAGAATAAATGCAAGGAAAGGACGGAACACAAGAGGGGGGCGAGTGAGTTCAAGGTGGTGGTGATTATTGCATTATATTTCTTTCTTTGTTGAAATCGAGGACTTACTATCCTAGTCGATCCATTCTTGAATCCTCAGTGTTCTGGTATGACTCGTACACTTAAACTTGCTTGCTTCGGAACTCCAATTGCCCTCCATCCTCTCTCCGCCGAATCTCAAACCATATATTTCCTCCCCTTTCTCTCCAAACTACGAATACAATTCGAATCAACTCAGTCCCTCTTCCCCATCCCCCACCCATTTCCCACGCCTCCTCCAACCCCATATCCAAGCGGCGTCGCACCCCCTAACGCCCTCCTCCTCAGCCGTTTCGGCAACACAACCCCAAACGCCCAAACCGCCATCCCGACGGCACCAGCGCCGGCACTAACAACACAATAAAAGAACGTGCTCGCGTAAAAGTGTCCCCCCATACCCGCCCACTCGACCTTGCCATTCGTTTTCGGGAGGTGGGGGGTGGGGAACCATCTCACGGATAACTGTAAGGGGAGAGGATCGCCGATGACGAGTTTCTTGGTGAGGGCTGCGGGCCCGGTTGTGTGTGATAATGGCGAGGTAGAGTACGCGGCGCCAGAATCGATGACTCCACTATCATGAGGATGGAGATGATGCTTGGGCGTCGAATGCAAGAGGAGGTTGAGGTGGGTGGATACGTGGAGGTGGCTGAGTTGCAATGTGCCGGCGAGAGCGAAGATCAAGGGCACGTATTCCTGCCTGAATTCGGGGGGGAGGGGCTTGTTGTTGTGGGGTGGGTGGATGTGTGCTGGTGGGCGAGAGGGTATGCGGCAGGAGAGAGGCGCGTCGTTGTGGATGTAGAATTCGAGGAGGTGGAAGAAGGGGTCGGTTATTAGGGGGATGGTGCAGTTGAAGTCTGCGCGAGCGTCAGCGAGCCATTCAAAGGTAGTAAGCATTCGAAGGGCAAACGAAGTGGGCTTGTAGTCTCGGAGAAAGCAAGATGGGTTTGAAGTGAGAGCTTGGAAGAAAGAGGGTAGGCAAAATACCATCTTCAACCCCGTACGCCAACTCCAACGGCTTCCCCGTCTCCTCGCAGATCGGAAACGGGATATACTGTAACTCGTTCTTCTCATTCGAGATGTGTTCTCCCGTCTCTCTATTCCGTCATCAGCGCATATCCTACCCTCCAGAACCCATTCCTCATCCCAGACGTGCAAAGCAAGAAGTGGGCAGAGGGAGGACTCACATGCTCCTATTCAAACACTCGACCGGGATCTTAGCTCCGTAGTGGTAACTCGGAAGCGGGATTTTGCTGTGCTCTTCCGCATGCCCCAGCCCAAGCATCGCCATCACAATTCCCAAGACACATATCGCTGTCCCCCATCTGCTCCGCATCCTTCCCATCCCTCTCTTTCCTCCAGTATTCCTCATCGCTAGACTCCTCGCCATAGTCTGCAGCTTGGAGGTGAGGGGTTTATCTGCGCATGCTGTGGAAGTGGAGGAGCGCCGGCTCAAGTCGCGATGCGATGTTGCCAGCTTGCGATAGATCTGGAGCGTTCATGCAGGGATGCATTTAAGGTTATCTTTAGCGGTAATTCTCATTGCGACTTAGACGAGGCTGGTCACGTGTGAGGCTGATGCTGAGGTTGCTCCTCTATTTCCATCTGAGAAGTTGAGATGAGAATTAAAGCAAGTATGACTAGAGATCACAAGAGCGATACTTTGCCATTTATGTTCTGGAGCTAAATGGAAGGAATAAAGCGGGATTTTTGTCAAGAATAGCTGGCCAATTTGTGTGATGATTGTCCTGGATTTAGCTGGTACAATGTAAGGTTGAACACTTCCTAAGAAGAAGTGAGATTGAGACATTTGTAAAGGAGGCCATGTTCATGTTCGTCTATAAGCATGCACTAAAGAAAGCATGTGCATGATCAACATCAACTTTTACTCAACACTTCACACTTTCCTCTCGTTCCTCTGTTCCTCTCGTTCCTCTGTTCCTCTCGTTCCTCCTATTCACAAACTTCCCAACCCTCTCAACAGAAGCGGCTCAACAACGTTCGCATTTACAGCTTCCCCTTCGACTTGGACTTAAAAGCCTCAATCAAGCCCGCAGTACTGCTATCATGCTCCCCCTTGCCCGCACCCTCCTCCAGCTCCCCCTGGATCTTCTTCGCGAGACTCTTGCCCAGCTCAACACCCCACTGATCGAAAGAATTGATATCCCAGACCGCACCCTCCGTGAAAGTAGCGTGCTCGTAATAAACAATCAAAGCTCCCAGCGTAGCGGGTGTGATTTTCTGCGCCAGGATACTGGTAGTTGGTCTATTCCCCAAAAACGTTTTATGCTTAAGAAGCGGTTCTGCAGTTTGCTCAGCCTTGAGTTGCTCCTCGTCTTTGCCGACCATAAGAGCTTCGGCTTGAGCGAGGAAGTTACTGGCAAGCATTTTCTGGTGCTTGTTATTGGCGATCGGGTTGTGCGATTCGGCGGCGAGGATGAAGTCCGTGGGGATGAGCTTGGTGCCCTGGTGCAGCAGCTGGTAGAAGGAGTGCTGGGCGTTGGTGGCGGGCTCGCCGAACAGGATGGGGCCCGTGGTGTACTTAACGAAGGTGTTACCGGCGCGGGAGACGGCTTTACCGTTGGATTCCATAGACAGCTGCTGCAGGTAGGCGGGGAAACGGTGGAGATATTGGTCGAATCTGAGTTATGAGTGATATATTGCAAGAAGATGGAGACGGAACTTACGGAGAAACCAAGTGAGTCTGGGCACCGTAGAAATCAGAATACCACACGCTCAGGAGGCCTGCAATAACGGGGATGTTCTTCTCAAGAGGGGCGGTACGGAAATGCATATCCATAGCATGAGCGCCCTCCAAGAAAGAATGGAAGTTCTTGAATCCGATATGGATGGCAACACTGAGACCGATAGCGGACCAGACAGAGTAACGGCCGCCAACCCAGCTCTCGAAGCCGAACATGTTCTTAGCGTCGATGCCGAACTTGGTGACTTCGCCCTCGTTGGTAGAGAGGGCAACGAAGTGCTTGGCGATATCTCCCTTTCCATCTGTCTTCTCCAAGAACCAGGTTTTGGCTGAGTTGGCATTGGTAGTTGTCTCGGCTGTTGTGAAGGTTTTGGATGCAATCAGGAAGAGGGTGGTCTCTGGATCGGATTCGCGGAGTGCTTCAGCCATGTGCGTGCCATCAATGTTAGACACGAAGTGGAGAGTCTGCTTGCGATCGCCGTAGTACTTAAGCGCTTCGGTGACCATGACTGGGCCCCTAGTATGTCATCAGCTTTAATTCTGGATCCGGAAAAGGGGACACACAAATCCGAGCCACCAATACCAATGTTGATAATCGTAGTCAATGACTTGCCCGTATACCCCTTCCACTCTCCACTCCTGATCGCCTCACTAAACTCCTCCATATGCTTCAACTCCTTATTGACACCCGGCATAACATCATTTCCATCAACCTTCACAACCTCATTCGTGACATTCCTCAACGCAGTATGCAACACGGCCCGATCCTCTGTAAAGTTAATCTTATCACCCCTAAACATCGCATCCCTCAAATCTTCAATCTTCGCCTCCTTCGCAACATCAACGAGCAAGCCCAATGTCTGTGCAGTAAGGAAGTTCTTGGAGAAGTCGAACAGGATCTCGCTCCCGTCGGCTGTATTGTCGAATGTGAAGCTGAACTTTTCGAAGCGGGAAGGGTCCTTTTCGAATTCTTTTTTTAGCACGAAGGATTTGCCGACATTGTTGTGGTGGTCCTGAAGGGCTTTCCAGGCCGAGAGGGAGTCTGCTTGCACCATTTTGGCGGTTGTGCTGTTGCTGTTCGTGGAGATGTGTTGGGTTGTGGTTACGATGTGCAGAGTGGGCGGAGATGCTTGGCCGATGTTGCTTTTTCTGCCGGAACTTGCGTCTCCGGAGAATTGAGTACTTGCGGAGGATGAGAAGGTGAAGAGGTTGTATTCTATCGAGGAGAATCACCTATTAGCAATTCTTCTTTATGTCGGTCCGTTTGCTCGCGATCCCAGCTCCAAATCCTGTTCCGACGGCTACTGCGGGGTCTTCCACATCATCCCATTGAGCAGATCACTCAACAGCTCTCCTTGTGGCGATTCCCCTTTGGCACGGTGTATGAGAGTCACATACCTGCCAATTGAAGTATGCTGATCCTGCAAGCCACTTCTCTGGAGCTAAGCAGTGATGAAAGGCAGTTGTTGGGAGAGGGAAAAGGTTCAAGTTATTGCTGGGGGAAAATCGCTTATGACGTTCCTCCGCCCATCCCACCTCTAGCGCCGAACAGCCCAGATGGGTCTGAGGATTGGAGGGCTGGACCACAGGATGACTGAGCATTGTACATGAGCTTCTCCAAGGAACCACGAATCAAAATTACATCTACTTTTTCACTACTCCAGTTTGTCATTAAATTCAAATCACACAGTAAGCACAGCTTGGCTTAAGTCCGAGGTACGAGGCGGAGCAGAGCAAGGGGGAAGAATGAGTGCAGAGTCTATTCTCTTTTCATTTTCATGGAGGCAGGCTACTGTAACCACAAACTCTGATGAATCCAGCCTCCATCCCGTCCCTGCTTGCTTGCTACAGATCCATTCAATGCCCAATCAATCAACGCCTCTGATACCGCCCAATTGCAATTCAATTCAATGATTCGACTTCCGGAAATAGTCTGGCTTGCTGCTGAAACACGTCTGCCACACTCGACCATGGTGATCCGACAGCAATGCCCTCAAAGCAGGCTGAGGCAAGTCTAAGGTTGGGAAAGAGAAACTGAAAGTACCACGTGATTCTGGTTCTATGGAGAAACTGGAACCCTTAATGCGTCGTTTCGACGAGTCGTCAGGCGAAAGCTTCATCTATCACGAACGCTACCCAGCGCGCTCGCATCAACAATGCTGCCGCCGGCGTCGCCCAACCCTGCAACTGGACGATTGTATGACCCATCCGGGCGTCAGTGTTGTCTTCAAGAGCAGGATCGAGTTACTTACCAGCCGGTGAACTGTTGTTGCATTGTGCTGCTTAGAGGTTGACCATCGACGAAGGAATCAGTTGGTGCTTCTCGCGTAAACTCTTCGTCGAAGTTCTTCGTATCAAGAGCGTCGGTCTGGAGGCAGTTAGCAACCGAATATCTTCGCAATAAAGAGATACGTACCACATTGGGCTTGAAGGTAGGTTCATACTTCCGTTGAAGAAGCTTTCGCCAGTCGATGCTGTGGAAGAAGGGATGTGCTTTGATTTCGGAAGCTCCGTTGGCACCTAACCGTTGATCGGGCTTGCGGTTGAGAAGTCTGGTGAGAAGATCTTTGGCCGAAGAGGGAACAATTTCTTGGCTTGGGAAGTGGAGTGGCTCGGAGAGAATCTTTCGGTACATCTCATTGGTATTCTCATCGTAGAATGGAGGTAAACCCGTCAACATCTCGTAAAGGAGAACACCAAGAGTCCACCAATCGACGGTCTTCGTGTAACCTTGGCCTAACAACAGCTCTGGCGCTAGATACTCGGGGGTACCACAGAACGTATTGGTGCGATCCTCGTCCTTCATATCCAACTTGCAGAGACCGAAATCGCAGAGCGCAATATGTCCGGAATAATCGAGAAGAATGTTCTCGGGCTTCAGATCTCGGTAGATGACGTTGAATCCATGCAAACACTCCAAAGCACATAGAAGCTCTGCCGTGTAGAATCTCGACCGATTGATATCAAATCGTTGCTCCTTTTGAAGGTGGTGGAAGAGCTCTCCGCCGTTGACAAAGGCCAGAACGAAATAGAGCTTCTCCGGTGACTGGAAAGTAAACTTGAGTGGCACAATGAATGGGTTGTTGATTTGAGAGAGGACTGATCGTTCAGCCAAGGTATGTGCGACTTCTGACCTGGAGATGATGTGTGCTTTTCGAATCGTCTTCAGCGCGTAGATCCGTTGGGTATCTTTCTTCTTGACTTGCATGACCTTTCCAAAACTGCCTTTTCCAACAACCTTCAGCAGCTCAAAATCCTCGATCTTTAATGATCTTGTCCTGTTTTCAATGTATTCCACACCAATCTTAATCTTGCCAGCACCAAATTGTACATCTGTCCATTCCATTCCGGAGTGACCCAGGCCCTTTTCTCGTTGTTGCCATTCGACATATGCCTTCTCCTTGTCCTTCTTGCCCAACTTCGGATCTTCAACGTAGGTATGTGATTCTTCGAATCGGGGGTTGATCCGGGCCACGCCGAGGAAGATGTCGGTTGTTCGTCCTGCTCCTTGAGGTGCATTTGGGTTCCTCAGGTATAGATGTACAGCAAGCTCAGTCACCCGTGAGACATCGAACTTGTATTGGGTGTTGTCTCCAGCCCAAAATGGATCTGCTGGTGTTCCTGAAACCGCGTTGACAAAGACCTGCAACTTATCGAAATCTAGGAGGGCGTAGGGAAGGTATTTGGAGGAGATTCTGCCGTGGTTGGTCGGAACTCCAGCAAAGCCTCCAGAGGTCTGTGGTCGCGTGTTGTTGACATATGAACCTGCAACGCTCCCTTGCTGTTGTGACGAGCCCGGCCGGACAGATCCAGCCACACCGAATCCATTCCCTTGCGAGAGCGAGTTTTGTTGATTTTGGTTGAATACTTGCTTGTATTGTTCGGGGAGTTGGAGACCAGAAGCTTCGTGCAACGTGACGATCAGGATACCGGGTCGCGGTGGGGCAGGGGGCTGTGTTGCTATGAGCTCAGAAGCAGCTAGAACTATCAGTACGCCATCTCTCCAGTTGGAAGACTGTTTGCCTACCTATGCCATTGTCGTTCGTGGGCGTGGAGCTGCTGGTTAGGCCTGCCTTCTCATCGTCGGGGGTGATTGTGGAGGTGGAGGTAGATCGGGAGAAGGTGTTGGCAAGGGGAGCAAGGTGCGTATCCTTGAGCTCTGGCAATCCACGCGTCAGTATTGTGATCTGGGAAGTCAATGGGAAGGTGCAGTATCAACAGCCAGCGTGCTGCTGTATCAACGCTCCTCGTCAGAGGGCAGGCCGACCGGCATCCAGCGCGTATTGACGAGGGAAGGTGAAGCTGTACTCACTCTTGCTCAATTTCCAAGACATATTGATGCTGTCGTGGAATGAAGGTGGGGAGAGGATGTTTGGAGATGATAAGAAGTTGGTAATCGACCAAGTGGTCCCTCGGTGCGGTGAACCAGGTTTACTGTAGCGACCTTGCCCCGCCAAAAGCACGGAAACCACGAGATGATCCGCACGGTCACAGATGCGCTGGAAAATGCCAATTCCGTGAATCTGGGGAGTTGGTGCAATATGCGGAGGGTTGTAAGATCAGGGGTAGGTAGGTACAGTCGTGAGAATTTATGCCATGGGAGGATTACGACAGGAGGCAAATGGGGAGTTGTTGTATTTGAGGAGGCCAGAGTGGCTCAGCTTCAAGGGTCGCTCGACGGAGATGAACACCAGTCACGTGACCGGCTTTGGCTGGAATACGAGTCGAAGTCGAGGGATAGGGGCTGGGGTCCGGGGAGACTAAAAGCACGCTTATAAATAGTTGAGGGATTTGACAGGTGAGCTGCTCCTTCTGGCACAGATGCATGGAAGGATGCCGCCTTTGGTTTGGATGACAGAGAAGAGGCGTTTGGAGGCTGAACATAGCTGCTAATTGTAAAGCTCAATGATTCGTGGCTTGAAAGTATGGGTTAGATTTCAGCTATATCGACCACGCTATTCTTTCAGTATCTGGGGTTGCGCCGGAGGTTTGGTACTCTGGGACTCAACTGTTCGTTCAGAAATAGAGCTGGTGCTGCTGTTCTGCAAGTTTACGGACAGGAGGCGTGTTATCTCCGAATTGGTTGAGTGTACCAAAATGCTGCTGAGTGCTGAACACTGTCGTAGATGATCATCCTTTCTCTTACTGCGCCCTAATTGAAATCGCCATTCCTCCCGCCTGACTGGCTATGGACAATACTCTTCTTCTTTCATGAAGATCAAACTCGGTGATGGTTGGTTTCAACACTCACTCTTCCCCATCGGGCTTGGAGATACCTCGCTTATCCCGCACTAGCCCCTCAGCCACGTTTGTGGCGACAGCAAGTCATCGGTATCACAAATCCGGATCTCACTCAGGGGACTGGGAGACCACGAAGGACGGGACAACACCAGCCAGGTACCGGTACGTCATCGCAGCGAGGAGCCTCCAGAGCTTTGCACGAAGCTGCTCTCGGTGCTGTTGATGCTTCTTGGTTTTTTGGGCTCTCATCCGGTCACCATTACGCAGTCGGTCCACGGTGGCGCATAGCCTCCAGGAGACGCGGCCATGGGTGTCATCCGCAAGAAGACCGCCGCGCGCGGTGCAGAGGGGGGAGTCAAGTACGTCTGCGATGTCTGCTCTGCGGACATCACATCTACTGTAAGTGATTCCTATCTGCTTCTGGTTCTCGAACGCGTTGCTGACCACTCCCTAGGTCCGCATAAGATGCGCTCACAGCGCCTGCAACGAATACGACCTCTGCGTCCTCTGCTTCTCGAATGGCGAAACCTCCCACAACCACCAACCTGCCACCCATCCCTACCGAGTCATCGAACAGAACTCCGTTCCCATATACGATAAAAACTGGGGGGCGGATGAGGAACTCCTGTTGCTGGAAGGAGCCGAGATATATGGGCTTGGATCATGGGCAGACATTGCAGATCATATTGGTGGATACAGGAACAAAGAAGAAGTCAAGGCGCACTACAAAAAGATATACCTGGACAGTCCGAACTTCCCCTTACCAGAACGAGCCAGCCCACAAGATAAACAACTGTTAGAGGAGATCCCCAGGGAAGAGTTTCAAGCGCGCAAGAAACGAAGGATTGAGGATAGAAAGGAGGCTGCTAAGAACGCCCCTCCTGCTACACCCAAGAAGAAACCTACAGCCTCTGTGCCAGCATGTCACGAGGTCCAAGGGTACATGCCAGGACGTTTAGAATTCGAGACAGAGTACGCCAACGAAGCGGAAGAGGCTGTACAGCTTATGCAGTTTGATCCTGGAGATGGCATCAACCCGAAGACGGGCGAGGTGGAGCCAGAGATGGATCTCAAGATGACCGTCATGGACATCTACAATTCACGGCTCACCCAAAGAGCAGAGCGGAAGAAGGTCATCTTCGAGCACGGCCTCCTCCAATACCGGCAGAACACAGCCATGGACAAGAAGAGAACTAAGGAAGAGCGTGACCTCCTCACCAAAGCCAAGCCATTCGCGCGGATGATGAACCACGACGACTTCCGCGACTTCTGCGACGGGTTGATTGAAGAGCTCAACCTCCGCCAAGCAATAGCCCAGCTGCAAGACTGGCGTGCAATGAAGATAGGCGATCTACGCAGCGGCGAGAAGTACGAGCAGGACAAGATCCAACGAGCGCAGAAGGCACAACCAATGGGTTCGTTAGACCGCGAGCGCTTCGCCAGCTCTCAACGCGCAAAGCCTGCTCCTGTCATCGAGACTCCTTCCGGTGCTGCAGCGTTCGTGGCACCAGAGCTTCCAATTCGGGCTGTCAATGGACATTCAGATACTCCCGGTGCCTCACCAGGCCGCGCACTAGACAAAGCCCTCACAAACGGGCTCACAAACGGACAGACGAACGGGACCTCTACGCCTTCCCTCTCCAAACAGAAATTCCAAATCCAGCCCCTCTCTAACCTTTCACCAATCTCTCTCGCCCAAGAGAATGTACAAGATTCACATTTACTTACGGCGGAGGAGATCGAGCTGTGCGAGAAGACGAGGATCCATCCCAAGCCGTATCTCGTGATCAAGGAGACAGTTATGAAGGAGGCGCTTAAGGGCAATGGGATGATGAAGAAGAAGGCCGTGAGGGAGTTGACGAAGATTGACACTCAGAAGAGTGGAAGGATCTTTGAGTTCTTTATTGCGCATGGGTGGCTTGGGCGTGCGTAAAGGCGAGCTTATGAGCATCTGAGGCTGGAAGCTGCGAGTTTGCAGGTACATGAGTATAAAGGCTAGGGCGTTTAAGATTGGGCGACCTTGGGAGCTTAAGAGAGGCGGATACAGTATCTTAAGACTGCGGCGTTTGTTCATACGGGATTGGCATGGTGGGATGGGGTGGATGGGAACGGTGTGTTTACGCTGGCTTTGCATACCCCGGCTTGGCCTTTCTGTGGTTAGGGCTTTCTTTTGGCGCACGCGATGTTGTACGACCGTACCTGCGCTGAGCCTTGTTCAATCCAGTTCTCAAAATAGGTCCCCGTGCCTTTTCTTTCATCCATCTCCGTCTCCATGCAGCTCGCACGTTGCCTTTTGTGGCAAGAGTTTTACCGTCTTGTCACTTTGTTTCGCCAAGTGGCAGGGCGACCACTTAGAAGGCCGGGATGGCGCAACCGCGTATCAGAAATTTCCGACTTCGAGACAACTACCCTTTTCCTTGTGCGCGGGTTTTGGTTGCTTTGTCTTTTTGCGTGGGTTGCACGGTTTAGAATTTAAGCTTAAGTCGCTGAGGAGTGATGAGTGGCTGGATTTTGAGTGGTGGGGATGCGCTGGTGAAACGGTGCTTGATCTCAGATCATTTCTTGACATATCATGGCTGCAACATATACGTTTCTTTCCCCCAGAGTTGGGCTAGCTGGTTGCTTCTTGCTAGGACAGGTACCGGTACATTTCTCCAGACACTCCTTTGAAGCGCAGTTCCTCCATTTCATCCCACCTTTCTCCAGATGTTCGCGTGTCCCTTTCTACTTTTCTAGTTTTGTTTGTGAGCTTCAAGATGTCTGGATCTCGAGATGAAGAGAAAAGAAGCCTGCGGCGGGAGTTTTCAGATGGCAGAAGTGGAGCAGACGATGGCTCAATACACTCTTTTGCCTCCTCGCCCACCCTCACATCCTCACCCTTCTCCCCGGCCCTCGAGGATGACAATGGCTTCCCGTTCCTCTCCCCTTCCTCTCCAGGCTTCGACAAGAATATCCCACTCTTTGCTGCCAAACAAACCCGCCCACAAACCCGGTCGTGGCTCCAAACCCCCCTCACGCCTAAGGGAATCACGACTCTCATCGTCCGCATCCTCTACTTCCTTCTCGTCCCCCTCCTCCCCTCGCCCCTCCAAGCCCTACTTCCCGCCGATCCAGCAAAACCGGGAATACCGAGGAAAATCCACGCCACTTCTTACCTCGACGGCCTCCGCGGCGTCGCAGCACTGATCGTCTTACATTCCCACTTCCTAACAAACTGGTTCTACCCCCTTCGCTCCGGATACCTAAACACCGAATCCGACATAAATCTTCTCCAGCTTCCTATCCTGCGGCTCTTGTACGCTGGCAGGGCAAGCGTTGCCGTGTTTTTCGTCGTCTCCGGCTTCGTACTATCGTATAAACCGCTCCTACTCGCGCGGTCCTCGAACCAAGGCGCCGTATTACAAACCCTCTCTTCCTCCGTCTTCCGTCGCGGTTTCCGATTATGGATCCCGATCGCGGTTGGAACATTCATCTCAGCGTTATTAGTGTACAATGATTTATATACGCCAGTGCCGAATCGCGGCGAGTTGATACCGCCTGTTTTCCCGACGCTGAGGGAGCAGCTGTGGCATTGGTGGGGCGATCTCTGCGTTTTCTGGTTTCCGTGGAAGGCGACCGTGGATGGGAATGCCACGGCTGGGTTCGTGTATAATGGGCACTTGTGGACGATCCCTATCGAGTTCTACGGCTCGATTGTTGTTTTCGTTACTGTGTTAGGTCTATCAGGGGTGAGCAGGGGACATGGGTGGATGAGGATTGCGATTGGGACCGGACTGGCGGGCTGGAGTTTGAGGGGTGGGCGGTGGGATGCTGCACTGTTTCTTGGGGGCATGGTGTGTGCGGAGTGGAGCCTGATGGTTGCTGATGGGATGGAGGGGAAGTTGCCCGTTCATGTTCGGCGGGACTTCGACTTCGAGTTCGAGGTGGAGCGTTCTCCCCCCGGGAGCCAAACCCTCCACGCCCTGCTCCGCATATCGAAAAAAGCTCTCACTGCTCTCCGCCTGCACCTGCACCCCTTCCTCCGGCTGCTCAAAGGCCTCAAAGGCCCCTCTCTCATCGTGCTCCTCTTCACCTCCCTCTTCCTCCTCTCCTACGCCGGAGAATCCGCTAGCCCAGGACACTATCACAATTTCCTAATCCCGTACACACCTTCGATCTGGGAATCCGTCGGTCTTGGGCGCGAACATTTCTGGCTATGCATCGGCGCCCTCCTCTTGCTCTTCACTCTGACCAACTCGCCTACCATGCAACAGCCGTTTACCTGGGCGCTCCCTCAGTATTTGGGGGATGTGAGTTATTCATTGTATATCGTGCATGGAATGGTGCTGTTCACGTTGGGCACGAGTCTGCAGGAGAAGTGGACGGGCGCCGTGGGCAAGATAGAGTGGGTTGATAATGGGGCCGGGGAGTTGGTGGAGGTTGTTGTTTCGCTGGGGGCGGGTGCGAGGGTTTGGTGGAGGAGTCTTGTGGGGTGTGCGGTGGTTAATTGGGTGGTTATATTTTGGTGTGCAGATTTGTTTTGGAGGGCGGTTGATAGGAGGGTGCCGGGGTGGGGGAGGTCGATTGAGGGGCTTGTGAGTGGGAGGGGAGGAAGGGGGAGTTAGTAAGGGATAAGTTCTTTTGGTATTTGGAGCGAGCGTTTGGGTTGATGTAGCACCTATAAATTGGACTGCATCACTTGTATACATTAGAAGGCGGAATAAAACAGACTTTCCCCAGATCATGAGTTAAGAAAACATGCGATTGTTTGCTGGAAAAGAAGGGTGATGATTATTTTCTGTTCTCCTGTAATCCAGGGACGCCTGATCGTCACTCAAAGGAGCGTTTTGCTTTCCACTTCATGCTCGTTGTAATATAAAACCGGTCTGGGAAATCTCATCCGTGCATCACTGGACATTCTCTCAAAAGAAGATCCATGGCAGGAAAACCGGAAGACAGACAAGAAGGAAAATCACATTAGCTTTGAGGTCCTCGTGGCGTTCTGTTGATAGAGGACCTCGAGCAACGAAGGGGCTTAGCACAAAAGTCCATTGCTTGAGGAGTGGTGCAAATATTGGGGAGGAGAATGAGGCGATATAGTTGGTTCTTCCATTGCTCTGAAGTCCGGCATGTCGCTTGGATCCGCAGCTGAGACATGGGATGGGCGTCATGAGTAGGCGACTTGATGGAGCTACCAGCTTAGAGGAAGGATTGAAGGGCGTTTGGTTTTGTTAATGTCAATCACATCGAACTTTCGATTTAAGGTCTACTACGACAGTCATCTTAATGAGCGACAGGAGAGAACTTTGAATGTCTCCCGTGGCAGTGATGTTTCAGAATGCCATGAGCGTCTGACGACCTTGACGGAGGCCGTGGCGTTTACTTTGAATGTAATTTCTTGCTTTTTAAATTTTTGCTTCCGTCCTCCTAGGTCTATGAAGATGTGTTGTGTTCCCTTGGGGTGAAGTGAAGTAAGTAAGGAAGTGTGGTCGGGTGGGACCTCGCTCGTGTTTCCTTGCGAGGTCGGCCTCTCCGAAAGGGGGACGCGAACCACGACACCACCCTCACTCTTTCTTGCTTCTATTACTTCCAGCAAAAGCGGGTTCTCAATTTCCCATCCCTTTCTCCAACAGCACTCTCCCTCCCAACACGATTCCCATCTCGAAGCTTTCCTGTTCGCCCCTCGCTGGCCCGTCTGCTCTCAAAACGACTGGAACTGTTTAGTTGATACGCTCGCTAGTGCGTCAAACACCACGCAGGAGTGAGTCAACAGTTCTCCACCTGCTGCAGTCAATCATCCTGATCCTCGTACGTCGTGCAAAGAGAGCTGTAGAGCAACAGAATACGAGGAAGCCCGAGAAGAATAATGAGAATGCATGTCAACCTTCTTTGTTGACCTCCGCCAAGGATCTCCAGCCTCTCCAGAGTATCCAGCGTTTCTTGGGGTCCTCTTTGTTGTGCAAGGTGGCGAAGCATTGAAGAGAAATGAAGCAATAGCGCTTGCTGCTTGCTCACAGCTATTGGTGGCAAAAGTTTCTATTGCCGCATAACTCAGATCTGCTCAGTCCTGCGTTCCGTTCAGAATCTCACTTGGAACTCTGCAATCAGCATTCCTCTCCAATTGTCCTCTGCTGTCCTATGCCGTTAAATGAGCGATGGCCCCCTAGATATTGTTGAGTAGAGCAAAAGAGATAGTGCGAAATGTGGCAAAGCAGGGCCACACTCTGGTGTTCTACTCACTCTGTGAATTTGTGCAGGCCCTGATTTGCCTGGACTGGGGAGATATGAAGCAAACCCCAGTACTTGACTGACTTATCCTCTTCCAGATGCAATGCCGGTCAAGTCTGGTCATCTCCAGCGTGGTGCCATGTTGATGTCGCTGGCAAGAGAGACACGACAGCGAGCATGCGCATCGTGCATTCATGCAATACTTGGCGATATTGCCTCCCAGAGGCGGCAGCCGCAGTTCAAAATCACATGCATTGACCGAGAAGACATTCTCCAGAGTCAACACCCCATATATCAATCTCACAGTGAAGCCATTCGACCCCTTTTGGACCGTCGAGTCAATCGAGAGCAGAGACGTTGGCCGCAAGAGAGCCAATCAGACACAGCAGCTCAAAACAGTGGGACTGGCAGGCCAGGGGTCGGGGACTTGTCCGCCACCCCGAGGTCAGATGCATCTTTCTCCATAGTGGAAGTCGAAAAGCACCAGTTCGACGCCGAAGTCATCGAAGGAGTCCTCCAGAGCAGACTCCATCACGAAACCTATCCGAATACCGCGATCCACAAGACCGCAAAGTTGTCCTCTCTGCTCCAGTCTCGAAAATGTCTCGAAGTTCACCCAAAGTCAAGCGAAGGTCTGGGGCAACATTTCCTTGTGGCGATCGATTGGCAAATATCGTGAAAAAGAAGAGCTAGGCTCATGCCAGCATGTCGAATGCCGAAGCGTGGTTGGCCAATACCGGGAGGAGCGTCCCCGCATGCTGAGCGGGCAGTAACACCGGAGCTGTCTCCGCCACCTCGAAGCTACAACACTCCAGACACTCTCCACATGCTCTCCATGAATCGTTTTCACTCACACTGCATCCAAACATCTATCCGCCAAGGCGCCGCAATGGAACTCGACCTTGGCCTAACAGATCTTCGAGATTCTGGTTGCTGGACTCGAAATCGATGTATATGTGATAGCGTCGTGGAGATTATGCGCGACGGCGCATTTGAAAAATCACCCCGCTTGATCGATGGAGGAAGTCTGGCAGAGCTCTGAGAGTTATGTGGTAGCATTTGCGTCGTGTTGGCGGAAGTTTGATGTCGGCACGATGAGAGGACGGCAAATGGTTCCACGGAATGAGACGGCGTATCCATTCCGCCAGTTTTTCCCTTTAAGTATATTGCAAGTGCTAACTCCATAATGGAGTTCGGCACAAGCTCTCCACCGCCAGAAGGACATTCTCCCAGCCTCACTGCCTCCACTGCCTCCGAATGAAACTCGATGGAAAGAGCACAGACGAACCGGGATCCAAAAAAAGATCCCCCAAAAATACCTCAGTTTGTGTTGAGCAGGTTGCGGATCTGCATAAGACTCTGAGCACCTCTCTCCTCGGCCGATGGGATTCTCAACCTGCTAACCCCAGAAGCAGGCACAAGGAACCCAAGTGCAGCCCCTTCAGAAATCCAGTCAGCAGGTATGGACGGGAGATACCTCAAGTGGATCTCATTGATCGGTTGGATATACGAGGTTCTGGTGCAGGCGTCGATCAAATCGTCAATCCGATAGACTCCCTTTGGCGGTATCGGGATGGCCATAAATTCATTCAAGGGAAAACGAATGGAACATTCTTGTGCGGTTCTGCGGAGCATCTCTTGAAGAGGTCCGGCCACTGGAAACCCGGCCCGAGACTGAATCAGAGCTTCGATCCCAAATTGTATAGCATCCGGGCCATCTTTACTACCCCCTTCAACGCCTCCAGGGAAGAATCTGGCCACGAGATCGGAGAGGTGCAGAAGAGAAAACATCTGCAGGACGGGTTGGTACCGACAAGTGTACTGAGTTCGATAGTGTTCGTCTAGCAGGAACAGGCCCTGTTGCGCATGGTTCCAGATTATTTCCTCAACCAGTGGAGACGGGAAACCTTCGAGGTCGAGCAGAGGGCGGAGTAGGTGTACTACTGTGTTTGAATATAGGATTCTGGACGGTCAGCACATTCTCTGCCTGGATGGAGCGGACTTACAGCAAAGAGAGAACATGAGGGAGTGCCTGGCTATTGTTGTTCTCAATATTACCAATGGCGCTCGGAAGTTCCTCGCGCCAAGCTACCAACCTGCCATATTGCTGCAGAAGACGATGGGCAGAGACTTGGGGACCGCAATGAGCATACATCAACGTCACCACGTCTTGGATGATGGCGGTCAATTTCGACTTCTCTCGATTTGTAGTGGCCAGCAAACCCGGCCAAGCAGGGCATTGATCATTGACATAACGATAGAAGTACCATTTGGCGGCATCGATCTCTTCGTCGTTCTCTTCGACATCATAATAAACGGCCGCGCTGATCGTAGGAGGTACTTGGAAGGTCATCTGTGCCCATTCCCTGGATTCATTAGTGGGGTGGGGGGGAAAGCCCTCCTTGTACTAACACGTTCAAATTTCGCACTCCGCGAACCGTATTCTTCCAGACTTCCGCAAACCATTCATTCTGGTGGTAATCGACTGTTGACAAGCTGCTGGTGGCCACTCGCAGGTAAGACGAAGCACGCAATCCGTTACCACGCGCACAGTCGACGAGAAACATGACGGCAAACGCTTGTATCGTTGTGATGCTCTTGTCATCCGCGTCGATGTCTGAGCGAACAGCATCGCTAAACTCGGTGCCGAACTGGTCAAAATCAAAGTCGTCTCCCTCTGCCGTGGAGTGTAGATAGCAAGCCATAGCACAAATCGCGTTAACGAGGTTGGACGAGCAATACTCCTCCGACTGCCGTTTATAACTGTCCACGAAATGGCCCTCGCTGAATAAGGTATGCACTGGGTGGATCCATGCGAAATAGAGCTGGAATAGGTGATCTAAAACTGCGGTATTGGACGTCACAGCCGTCCACTTGAGGTTCGTGGCGGAGACGCCCGCCATTTCGTGATCCGATGGTTCAAATGTAGAATGTTGAGATAGCCTGGGCGAAAGCGTCTCGAAGTCGTCCATTGGAGCTCGACCCAGCCATTCGACAATGCTCTCGTAGGTCTCGCCATTCTTGAGGCGCTCGAGAATTTCGGGAACTTGCTCATCGGTGGAGAGTGCATGTAGGATCTGTTCGGTCATATGGTCCTTGGCCCTGAGGTCCTTGATCTGCTTAACCAGCTCCTCCTTCGCATGCTTGATATGGATCTCGTAGATGCATTCCGATGTTTCTACTCGGGTCGCACATCTCTTGCATGGCTTCTTCCCATCACACTGCAGATAGTCAGTTTGAAGCCATCACCTGGCGTTGTGACTGCGCAGCGGTGTAAAGCCAGAGCGCTCCGTTAGCACCAGGCGATGCGAGGACGAGTACCAACCTTTGCTCGAGCCTTCTTGCAATTAAGACACGCATTGCGTGTTACGGATTCGGGGACTCTTCGACGTTTGGATGATAGAGAGGAATTACTGCTCTCGACAGGTTCTATCTCTCCGCGGACCCGGCGTGGATCAGATCCCGTACTCTCGGATGTGGACTGACTCGGATTGCTCGTGGACACGCTGCTGTCTCCAAACGAGGGACGTATCTTGCGAAATGACATTGTCCCAATAATGATGGATTATGCCATCTAGGAATGCTTGGTGTTAAAGCCAAGCACTTCACAGTTCGTGGGTTATTTGTTGCTGTTCTTAAGTGGGCGGTTGGATTTGGAGAAAGTAGGGATTGTGGGATGGTGGAATTGTTGGCAGATGGGCAGAGGAACCCCATGAGATCCTATCTCAGCGTGATCCGGTTTGGAGCAGATGCCAGGTGGAGTGGGCTACAGCGACAGCCAAAATGCGGTGGTTAGCGCTGTCGGAGGGATCTCCTACAGTTCTTACTCCACAAGAAGCCCCTTGGCGAGGTGTATTGAAGAGCGAAGTCCTGGGCAGAGAAGTGCTCACAGCTCGAGGTTGAGGACGCTTTGATGGGGGCTGAAGGCCGGCCAGCATCATCTTTACTAGGATCGGAGGCAAGGCTGCAAGACCGACACGGTGGTGGACATCGAGCGGAGCATCGAGGCATCTATGTGATATGCTGGACCAAGGCAGATCCAGCATCGTGGATAAAGATTCACAACCCGAAAGGCTCGGAGCACTCCAGGTCGTCTGGCGGGTGCCCTCACATGGTTGGCCACCACCATCGAGAACTTGCTGCACATCGCCACCGTTCCCCTGCTCGAAGCAGCCCGAGAGCATCGTCAATGTGACAGCGAGCCACGAGTTATGAGCTTGATCATGTGCCAGGCTAGCTGCTCGATGTCCTGCGGTCTGGACTCGAACGGTGCGCGAGAACCTTCAAGGCGCATGGCATGGGTTGCCGGTGACCAAACCTCTCCCAGCATGGCATCTCAGCTTGCAAACCACGAGAACAGACAGCTCGAACCCCCAGGAACTCTAGCTTGCAGAAATCCCTGTCCGGCTGGCGCTACTCCAATGTCTATCAACTGAGGACAGCCGCGCGGCTGAAGCCTTACTTCCATCAGTTCGCTGCTGACCGGTCTTGCAACACCAGGAAGGGCTTCACGGCGCTGCTACGAGCTATCAAGTTTTCTTGCTAGCATGAACCGCCTAGGGCATTAGGTGCCGAATTCGCAGCGTCCGTTGTGTCGGCGAGCGACCACACAACAAACATCTCAGGCTGCAAAAGCCTTACGAGCCGTACAGTAAAGTGCAGCACTTCTTCCCAGGTTCACGCAACCTCAAAACCCTGCCTGAGGGGGGCATGGACTGGTCCCTTCCTCCACGCAGAGGAATTGGTTGCAGTATCGTCCTAGCAAAGGTGGGCTCGTCGCTCGAGGCCGCCAAACCTTATGCTTGTCGAACTATTTTCTTTTCACATCCGTTCAATATTGCAGGGTTCTTGGTCTGTGACGCATCCCTTTATCTGAGATCCACCCTCTGCGGAAGAATCTCCGATATGTGCTATGAATGGTGCGTAGGATTTTTCTTCCCATCGAGATGCGGAGCGGTGCCCGTCTCCGGCGATGAAGCGCATACTTTGTGGTATCTCCCGCAACCCTCAGCCAAGTTGGCAGCTTAGTGTCGAGCGTTTCCCATGGGCTGATGTCGCGAATTGCCCCTGTTCTTCCAAATTATTTGGGCTTTTACATCTATACTTTTGTAATCACAAACCCCTCTTTTGCGAGCATCCTGTTCTGCCACCTCGTTCATTCAACGTCACGTGCGTACTCTCCGAAACCAGAATCATTCCTAAAGAATGTCGGTGCATGTTCCTGACAGGTCAGATTCCCTTGCCTGTTGCGCGGGGTCGTTCTTTCGTGTAACCAAGCAACAGCGCGGTGCCCGTTGAAGGGGAGATATCACGGCCCTTGAAAAGGTTGCTCGGTTTCCGGTCTGTCAAGCAAATGGCGAAACCCCGCCTCTATCCGGTTGATCCTTCCAGCGGCTCCAAGTTGGATTGACGTTGGAGCCGACCAATCATAAACCATGACCGTTGTCAGAGCGGAAGCAAAATCCGGACCACTCACGCACGTGGGCTGTTGTTAAGGTCACCTCGCCCTTGTCTATTTCGCATTGCACCATATATGCGTGTACATCATGATATTACTGCTTTCGGTAAGTTGCCAAAAGGAAGTTGGAGAATTGGATCAGGAGACGGTTATATCCTGCTATAAAACCGATCGACGATGCTGGAAAGTGAGCGATGGAGAAGTGGTGTGATAACCTCCGAATCCCCGGTCCCTGTCTTTTGACGAGCTGTGCACTGCAAGTTGGGGCGAATATTGCTTACCAGAGTCCTCTCCAGTATCGGATTGCCGATTTTCCCGCAGGCGACGTCCACTGCCTATTTGGGACCATCGCTCGAACGTAGCTATATGAAGCGCAAATGCTCCCCCCTTTCACGTCTTAAGCGAAGTTTGCGCACGGCTATTTATGACTTAATCGCTTCTTACATTCCAAGGCTTTGACACGGTATCATTCGTTTTCTTTTTGCGACACTGTTACGCCTTTCTGCGCGAGTGATCGACATGCGTGGCTGTCGTTTTTGACGTCAAGGCCAAGGACAAGGACGTTGCCGCTACCTGTCACGACTCACCAGAATCCTGACCTCACACCGACGGCATGCAGTGCAGTGCATGGCCTGGGCTTGATCAGCGGCGTGCAGGCTGTTGGTGCGATGGGATGGGATGGCATTTTGCGCGAGGGGAAGCGGAAGCATCTCCTGTCTGGCGGGGACGGCGAACCCGCGGAACAGTAAGTGGGGAAGGGCTCGAGGCGCGCGGTCAGGGTTGTGCATCGAGAGGGGAAGGGCGACATTTTGGGGGGGGGAGTCGGAGGTTTCTCCGTTGGTGCGGGTGCTGGTGGGTGGTAATTGGGGCGGATTAAAGAGCCGTGCCAATTATCGGGTAGCGGGCTTAGAGAGGATTGTGGAACGAGAGGTAAGGGTTTGAGATGAGTAAGGTAGAGAGTGGAGGTGGGAGTAAGGGTCTGCATCGAGGTTGAGAAGTTTATGAAAGAGGTGAGACTTGAGGGAAGGAGTTTTGTGGGGAGCTATGAGGTTCAAGATAGGCTTGCACGCTGCAGGACTACTCGGCCTTGATTCTGTGACCGCGTTATAGGCAAGAGCCGAAAAATAGATATCGTAGATTGTAGCGAGATTTATTAAACGATAAGAAAGCTATAAGATCGACTGTAGTTAAGTTAAAGACAACTACGAGGTTTGCTAATAGCGGCTGGAAGAAAGGGGGGCTGATTCAACAAAGCAAAACCTCAAGCAGAGTTGCAATTCTAAATCTCATGTATTCACACATCTCTTTTTGTTTCTACCATATTATACAAGCAGAGTCTACCCTTCCCATCCTCAACACCCAACGTCCATCTATCTACCACCCCTGATTCTTCAACTGCTTGACCCTCCCAACCGTCGCTTTGAAGCCCTCCAAAAACTTCCGCCGCCACCTCTCCCTTCTCAAGCGCTTCCTCTTCAGACCAGGCCTCTCATGAAAGCGCTGTATATTCGCATCCCTCTTCACCTTATTCCGTGCACAGCTCTGCTCCAGCAACCGAAACCCACGTCCAATATCAATGCCTGCTCCAATTTGCACGCTCCTCCCTGTACTCGGCCCAAGATTGATCGGCACGCGAATCGGTTTTAGAATCCTCATCTCTCTTACCACGTCTTGCGACATTGACAGGTCTGAGGAGGGGAACGGCGACAGCATTCTTGAGACATCTAACACGGAATTCGAACCCGGGCGTGAGAGTGAATCCGACGCCGTCCCAAACGCGGAGGAAGAAGGAAAGGAGCCACGAGCAGAGCGCTTCCCTTCTTGTGTTGCGTTCAGGGCCTCGATGATATCGGACGCGGAGGAGCCGCCGTTGAAACGCTGCTCTCGAGGTGAGGAGAGCGAGCTGGACGCCCAGGCCGGCGGTTGGAAGGAGGGTCTGGGGCGGGGTGGGGCGCTGGTGCGCGAAGGGTCAGCCCAACCTAGGGAGGCGGCTAGGGAGGTGAGGTCGTCGGCTGATTTTTGTGGAGGCGGAGAGGATTCGAAGGGTTTGGGCTTGTATGGTGCGGCTTTTGAGGAGGTTGATTCTGCGTCTTGAGAAGGCGGAGGGGCGTAGGTTGTTGGTTGGGGCTTTATTGCGGTTCTTGGGGGGCTGGTAGATAGAGACCGTGTTGACTGACGGGGAGCAGAGCTTTTACAGCTCAATTGTCCGCTTGTTGTCCATCGTACAGTCGTTGATGGGTTGAGCAGGGAGGCCAAAGGGGAGCCTTGCGACCGCACCAGTGCATCGGCCGCCCTTCGGAGCTCCATTGGCCTTTTTTATAGTCAGAAGATGAAGTTTGGAGTCTGCGAGGATGAGGAGACTTGCATTGAGTGATGTCTGAATGCTAGGATGGAGGTGTCGTTGAAGCTCTGAATTTCTCGGATGCAGGCCTGGATGCTTCGACGCTAGTGGACTAGCCTTGCGCTAACGAATTTTGGTTGTGAGAGCTGCACATCATCAAGATCAACATCTCGATGCGCCGACGACATCACCGCTTGGACGACTGATTGCTTGCCTTTGAAGCTGTCTGTAAGAAAAAATTCATCTCTTGGTACCGTCTTCGAAGGCATCGAGCTGCCAGGATGGCGTACAATCCTTATGGAGGTGGGTCACGCCTCGTCCTTGGAGCTTCACTTTTATCTTCAGCTTGCTAACAAGAACAGCATCGCCGTTCGGGCGTCCTCCTGGATTTGGAGCCTTCCCAGGCCAGAGCGGTACGCCACCCGGCATGGGCCCTCCTCCAGGAATGGGTAAGCTCCCTTCTCTCCACGGTCTCGGCTCTGCTAACAAACCTAGGTCCTCCACCAGGCATGTCCGCGCCAGGTACGGCTCCTCCTCCCGGCGTACAGCAAGCCAACAGTACACAGGGCACCCGCCCCAGCGGGCTCCCAGCTAGCTTCCAAGGCCCGCCCAATATGCCCAATATCAACTTCTCGGCCCCTGTCATCAGACTCGGTACAGGCCCGTCGAAACCTCAGCCCATGGCCGCGGGTGGTAGGAGAGAGAGCCAGGATCCGATGTCTGCGAGTGGACGACCGGGACTGGGTATGGAGAGGGGAATGGAGGCACAGAGGCAGGCGTTGAGGGAGAGCATGATGTCTTTGGTTCCGCCCACGAAGGAGGAGATTGTGCGCACCATATTCGTTGGTGGTATTACCGAAGGATGTGGTGGCGACGACGGCATTGAGCGGTTGTTGGGCACCGCTGGACGGCTACGCAGATGGGATCGAGCTGTCGACGCAAATGGGAAGCAGTGCTCGTTTGGATTTGCGCAATATGACGATGCGGAAAGTCTTTCCACGGCTGTGGACGTTCTGAAGGATATTGAGATTCCGACCAAGAGACAGCCCCCGAGTGATGGTGTCAAGAAGGAAGACGATGATGATAAGAAGATTGAGAAGAGCAAGCTGCTGGTCTTCGTTGACGACAACTCGCTCAATTATCTGGAGAACTGGCAGTCAAATCGAGCTGAGGATCCTTCTGTGGAGCAGGCGAGATTGGATGCTGCACGATCTGGTCTCAGGGCTGCTATCTACGAACTGTTTCACCCCCCTATGTTTGTCAAGATGGATGAGGGAAGCGAAGATGTCACAATGCAGGATGCAGAAAGGGGAGATAACGTTGAGGTTGTCAATATACCTCTAGCTGTGGATGACGAACTGGCCGATATTCCAGCTGAGATGCGAGAAACAGTTGCTCAAGAGATTGCTGCTTTCAGAGATCGCAGTAATAGGAGAGATATGGAGCGGCTGAAGCGAGAAGAGGAAATGGAGGCTTTGGAACGACAGCGTAATGGTGCACCACGACCGTCGAGACTTGCTTCACCTGGACCGCAAATACCTAATGGACCCGCGGCTGGCACGAACAACATCCCTCTTGGACCTCGAGGCGTACCGAACGCTCCTTCAGGACCGAAATTACAGGCTTCTCAAACCGCATATTCTACGATTCCAAGAGACTATCAGCAGGGGGTTAAGTTTGTAAATGGCAGTGGTATCAATGGAGCTGCAAGCGGAGATGTCTGGATCAATAGGGAAGAGGAAGATGACTCTGCCAGTGATGATGAACTTGAACGTCGACGAATTGCGAAGCGAGAGTCGGAGCAGGAGAAGCTATACCTGGACCAAGAACGCCGTTGGCTCAATCGGGAACGGTCTCGGACCGCTGCCGTCAACCGTGAAAAGGAACGAGAAGACGAAGATGATACCAATCTGAATGCGGAGAAAGAGAAGATGGCTCAACGACTTGCGGACTGGGACGATGATCTTGAGTCTTCGAGGAAAACAAATGAATATTATTCTGACCGAAGCATGTGGATTCGAAATCGTGCTGTCTTCCGAGCTCGCGAGTCAGCAGCTGATGACCGGGATCGTATTGCTGAGCAGAAAGAACGACAGCGTGATCAGGCAGACAAGGAGCAAGCTCGTGGCATGGCTGATTCGTTCCTCGATCGTCAAGCGGAAGAACTTGAATCGAGAGCCAGCACTGGTCGTGCTCAGCAACCATTCAAGCTTTCACTTGGTGCAGCTGCACAGAAGGTTCAGAAAGAAAAAGCTGTCGCTCCACGCAGAACAGTTGCCGAAGTCGAAGGCCTACTTGAGGATGAAGAAGAGGCTGAGAAGACTACCAAGCGCACTCTTATTCCTATCGAATTTGATCCTGCAACTTCTTCTGCTCATATGACCGACGAAGAAAGAGATCAAGCCGTGCATCGCCTCGCTCAGGAAATTCCCGTCGACAAGGACGGTCTCTGGGCTTGGGATGTCAAGTGGGAATTTGTGGATGATGTAGTTATCGTGGAGAAGTTGAGACCTTTCGTGGAGAAGAAGATTGTGGAGTATCTGGGTGTCCAGGAGCAACTGTTGGTGGAGGTTGTGGAGGAGCATCTTAGGACGAGGGGCAAGCCGCAGGACTTGGTAGAGCAGTTGGAGGGGGTATGTCTACTATATCCTTGATTCCGATATGTGATGCTAACTTTTATAGGCTTTGGATGAAGAGGGTGTATCTCTGGTCAAGAAGCTTTGGCGGATGATGATTTTCTTTTCGGAAAGTGAGAAGAGGGGCCTCACTGCTTAAGTGGTGATCTAGTCCATAGCCAGTATCACAGCACATGCAGGGGCACCTTGGGCGTTGCGAAGATGATTCTCTCGAAAACCAATTCTTCGATGTGTACCAAAATCAGGGAGTTCCAGGGACACAGATCATGCTTGATGGGAGGTTGGTATGCCACATAGTCTGCATGCTACAATATCACGTCCAAGAGCATCAGCTTTCAATGTACAACATAATCACAAAAGCGCCGCTTTGATTGTCCGTCCAGTGTTGCCATATTGTATTGCTTGCTTGATCTTGTTCAACTGAACGTCATTCACCTTCTTCCCTCACCTAATTTTTTGGACGCTATGCCCTTCACCTCTTGTTTAGTCTTGTTCAACCCATTCACTTTCACCTCCAATGCACCATTCTATCTTCTTGTCCGTCATTCATTTGCCAAAGAACTAGTGGTCATGCGCAAAATCGTACAATTCCGTCTCATTCACTTGCTCGCCATGGACGAAATCCTCTTGCTCTGTCGCTCATGGCTATAAAACAACGCCTTTGAACCCTGCTAGTGCCATAAATCTGCCCCATGACTGCCTTTTATTTACTTTAGCCTTGCCATTGACAGTGAATCAGGCAAAAATTTGATCCTTAGCGTGTGATCCGATTCCCACAATAGGGCATAAAAGAAGGTTCGTTCGACCTCCACCATCCGACCACAATACAACCCCGTTTGCATCGTCTTCCCGTAACAATACCTTTGCCCTTCAACAAGTCTTTTGCTAAGGCAATACCTTCCTTCGACGATACCTCCAATAATCATACTCTGCCTCAATCGAACAGCAATCATGCAGTTCTCCAAGGTCGTTGCCTTCGCCTTCTTGGTTGGCTCTTCCCTAGTACGCCACCCTTCTACCCGTCCCAACCCCAATCACTTTAACTCTTTGCTGACAATAGTTGATGGCAGGTTCTTGGTTCTACCGTCCCGGAGAAGCGCGTCTTCACCAACAATGGCGTCACTTTCCGTGGTGAGGTCAATGGCCATGCTTTTGAGGAGACTGGCACTGTTCAGGTTTGTCGCACTTTCGTCGCCTTTGCGGTCGACCCTTCCTTCCTATAGCACTGCAAAGCTCTGTCTTTGAAATTTTCTCTGTTCAGTTTTCCCTTCACTTTTCTTCTTCAATTGACTATTACTAACAAGCAACCACAGGAAGTCTGGGCTACGCTCAAGGCTCGTCATCCGGAGTTTGAGCTCGATGCTACTGCTGTTGCTGAGCGCAAGGAGAAGCGTGACAAGGTTTGCACTCCCCCCCCCTTTCAATGCTGTGTCTTCTTACTAAATGCCGCAAGGTCCTTCCTCCTCTCTGCATCCCGGTTGCTGGTCAAGACTGGAACTTCGCTGAAGCCGCCGCTATCGACGATGGTATCAACTACCTCAAGGGCCTCAAGTCAACCTTGAGCATCGCAGGCAACACCTGTAGCCGCATCTCCTGCAGCTATAACTCCGCTATTCACTGGTGCAATGACGTGAGCTCCCTCTCGCTATTCACTCCCATTTTCTCTCTTGTTTGAATTGTTGTTGATCTTTGCGCGCAGAATAACGGCGAGGTTTCCGCTGACTCCGGCTATCTCGCTTCCTTCGCTCAGGACCTCCAGGATCATTGCCAGCACTGTATCAGTTCCGGCCATAGTTTCTTCTGCGTCGTTGGCGGTCAGGAGTTCGAGGACGATGAGCACTACAACGTCATTGTTCGCGATGCTTCTTGCTAAACCTCTCGCCCCGCCCACACACCTTCATATCCGTCCGCTTTGGTAATGGGTTTGAGGTTGCATACACTGCTGGCGTCTGGGAGTCTTGGAGTTGCGCGGCACTGCTGAATTGGTCGAGCACACGTTCTGACTTTTCCTTTCTTTTGGCGCGTATTTGAATTTGCTGGTTGGATTTGGAACGAGTGGTTGGAGCTATGCTCGGTCACGTACACAAGAGCTCTGGCTTGTTGCTCCGGCTTTCACAGCTGCTTGCTTGCTCTCATAACAATAAAAGTCTTCTGACATAAAATTTCCGCATTCTGTTGTGATTTTGATTGTGTGAGAAAACAATGGACTTTGGTAGTTTGATGTTTTGGAGTGAATTACTCAGGAGACTATTAGCCAAGAAATCTAGCAGCATCTTGAAGATATTCCTTGGAGGAGGCAATTTTCTTCCACCTCACCATGCCAAGATATTTCTTGAAAGTATTACCACGGCCAAGTGCAGTTACAGAAAGCAAGACGGACTTCAAGGAGATGAAAAATTACATTGTAGTATTGAAGTCAAGGGTATCACGTGAGAAAGGGGCTGATCTCTCAACTGTAGTCTCATGCTCCAACAGTTCCTACTTCAATCTCATCACATACACACAATTCCGAACACATGCCAGTTTGTCTGTCAATATTCTTCTGTGCCCGAATGTTCGAGATACGGAGCTATTCTTGAGAGGGAAAAACCTGTGGCTGGCCTGGGAGATGAATGCAGCCTAGCAGCCTCAATACGAAGTCTAGATGGAGAAGACCAGGAAGCGAGCCTGCAAGGGTAAAGTGTGGTCCGGTTATGTGACATGCAAGTACGTTTCCCAAATCCTCAAACCACCCCCTCAATATTTAACCTGGTTCCCAAGATCAGCAAAGTCAAATGCGACAAAACCAGGCCCTTCTGTCTCCGCTGTCAAGACAGACATAACATGGGGCTATCCCGGCCCCAAACCCAGGAAGCCGGAAGTCAGGAAATTAATTCGGCGGCTGCTGTTGATTTCAGTCCCTTCCGAATTCTCAGAGCAATTACTCGGAAATCAAGAAGAATGGCAATGCTTCCAGCTTTTCCGCACCGAAGCCGTAGCAGAATTAACCGGATTCTTTGAGCAGCCTCTCTAGGGCCATCTAACCCTTCAATCCTCCCATAATAAAGTGTTTCGAGAAGCAGAGGTGGCAGCTAGTGCATCGAGGATTGCAAAGAGGGCGATGTATTTTATGCAAGTTGCGGTTAGGCCAATGGCAGATGCACAAAAGGCTGGGTTGGATACTACGAGTGTTAAAGCTGTGGAGGATAACCCTATGCAGTCCTGGGTAAAGGCTGTGATGCCTTTTGGACGGAAGGCCTCCAACACTCAAGGTTGTTATTACCACGCCACGCAGAAGAAACATGCCGAAGAGTTGGGACGGTGGAATCGGACTTCTCAGCCTCTATAAAGCGTATCCAGCAGAAGAACAAATAAAGGTAGGTGTTGCTGCACATCTGCTTTTCGTCAATTTCATGGCGGTGGATATCATTCTTGCTACTTGCCTCTATACGAACAATATGTGTTTTGACCAATATCTCGAGAAGTTCAAGACCGTAGTTGAGGTCTCTAAAGGTAATTGTGGATGCAAAGTACTCGAGACGGTTCAGCTTCTCATTCGACAGTGGGACCACGCCGTGGTTTCCCAGGCCTGCAAATGGTGCAGAGACCGCGGTGTGAGAAGGGATGCTATTCGGCTTTTGCGGGCTGTTGCATCTCAGGAGGACGTATGGGATAGTTTGATGATTGCCGAGATTTGGGAGTGTATGATGAAGTTGGAAGAGGAAGGCGTTGAGGCGGAGCATATTCCCGAAGAATCTCGGGTTAAGCTGAAGCTGCGAAGCATATCAACATGACTGTTGCAATAAGGATGTTGTTGGTGGACCTTGTGGGAGGTCAAGAGGAAGAGGAAAGCATTCAGAGGGTCGCGGATGTTAATTGGTCGTTTGGAGAATGGATTTGAGGTGTTTCCAACAACCACGAATTCAACCTATGGATCAAGCAGAAGCTCTCCCCCAAAGCTCGCATCAGGGTAGGGTATAGTGCAAACTGCGGTGGAATTTAAGTACACTAAACTGAGGCATCTCTCCACTAAACCAAACTACGATTATATCCTCAAAACCGCGGTTTAAACTGCAGTTTACCAGTTTCACGTGACTTTAACCGATCACACTAGCTTCAATACCAATAATTTTCTCCAACTACTCTGACTTAGCCTCCCACCCTTTAATCTTATACCACGATTTCAAGCACTCAAAGGCCTCAATAATATCTATACCGAGCTTATTACGCAGATCCGAAATTAGCAACTTGGCGCTAGAAAACAGACGCTCAAGGTTAGCCGACATAGCAGGAATACTCAAGATATCTAATGCCATGCGGCTAAGATTAGGATAGCTAGTTTGCTAAGTCTTTCCCAATCACCATGCTCTTGAATCGATATTGTACGTATACTCAGCTGCGTAATGTCTCTTATTTTGATTAAGAGGAATTTAAGAGAGGCTAGAATTGGAGAAAACTTCTCTCCGGGTACCAAACCAAGAACTCGGTATATAGCTTCAAAAATTCCGGATTAAGCACTTGAATATATTTCCACAACTACCATACCTAAAATTAAGATTTTTAATTCACTTGAAAGCCCCAGATTTGTCCATTTTAATAATAAAAGAATTATTTAATTATGTTGAGGTTTGGCTATTTTCTATTTATTATAAGTCACTTGACGTCCTTGGGTAATTTTAAGCGAGACTGCCCCTTAAACTGCCACTGCACCCACCGCGGTGTAGTATATCCTCCACTAAACTGGACTATAGCTATATTACACCGCACTACTGCGGTGGCACCGCGGTGGCACTGGACTGAGGCCACACTATTCCCTACCCTGGCTCGAATCAGCTCGTCCCAGGCTTGGCGATATTCCACCCTGGAACGTTCCACGGAACGTTCCGGCCGGTATCGACTGGTATTAGGTAATATCGGTAATGGAACGTTCCAAACGTTCCAAAATGGCAGGGATAGGGCGATAATAACAGGGATAGGCGAATCCACCGCTACTTCCCCTACTATGCTCCCTTCCTTACTTTTTATCTATCCGTATAATTAATTTACCTTGAGTATATCCTCAAAATATCTTCTTTAATTAAACTAGACTATTCTCTTATACTATCCGAGATAGTAATGTCTTCTGCGGACTATTCAAAGAGGACTTCCCCGATTTGGAAGCATTCTCGTTATATATTACCTAATAAAAATAAAGCTTTACTTTATTATTTATATTATTAATCAGACTCTTTCCTACTACCATATAGTACTACTACTATAGGGAACCTTAGAAAGCATATTCTAAGGCATTATCTACTTATTATTCTTGAGTCTACTAATTCCAAGAACCAGGAGAAAGTTACTCAATAAATCCAAGGGCTTTATTATTAAGCTCAAGAACTTAGAGATATAGAGAAGTTTAATTTACAAGTTCTTAAATGGCAAATTAATTAAAGAGTTCTTATAGAAGCCTTAATTACTCTTATTATTATATGAAACCTCTCGTATAATATAGTAGAATGGCCAGAGTTCTATATACTTTGCCAGCTCTTAAATAAAGCTTATAAAGGCATAATTCCTATATCTTACTTTACCGCTTCTATTAAGGTTAAAAAATCCTGGGTTTGGTATAAGAATACCATATAATAAGTTCTCTAATTAGTAATCTTATATATTTATATTTCCTTAGATATTTGGACTTTCCCAAATTACTTTCTTCTTTTGGCTATTTATACCTATTTTACCTTATATGAGTTTAAGTATTAAAAGGTCCTTCTCGCTCTTAAACCAGTCTATAGCCATTTAAGAGAAAAGTAATTCTCAGTTCTCCTTCTAGTTCTGGAAGACTATAGTATTATATAAAAGCTTGAAACTATTATAGGCAATAATACTAGAACTAATAGAACCCTTTATAAGGCAATTCAAGTATACTAGAAATAAGAGCTTAATATTAAGTAAAATATATAATAAATATAAATTTGCTATATTAGCCATATTATTAATCTTATAGTATAAGCTTTCTTATTCTCTGGATTAGTTAAAATAGAGGAACTTGAATTATATAAGTAATAGGAACAGATTTAAGAGATTAGTAATAACGAGAGAAAGAGAGTCAAGTTTAGGCTCTTAGGTTTACTTAGCAAAATATATAATATTATGGCTTATATTTATAAATTACCTACTTATATAACTAAATAAATAGGACTTATAAAGAGGATAATTCTAATAAATAATTATATAAAATAGAATAGCTAGTATAAAATACTTCTTATTCTTATTAAGAAAATAGAGTATATAAATAAATATTACCGGAATTATAAGAATAATCTTATAGAGGATTTCCTATCTTATAAAGACTAGAAAAAGCTTTATATAACTAGGGACTTTCTTACTACTTTTATATAAGTAACTCTCTTTATAGAAGGAGATACTACTTCTATTAATTATATATTCTTTATAATAGATATTTTAATTAAGTATCTTTAAGAAATAATTATAAGTTTTTTGCTTTCCTTTTTTCTTCTTGTATGAGCTTAACTAAATATAATATAGGCTGAGTTTAAGAAGAAAAAAGATAATAAGAATAAAGAGTTCCTTATATAGCTTAATATTATATATATTATACTTAATAAGTACTATACTAGAACTAATCTCTCTCTCTTTTATACTATAGCCTTAATTCTTAATCCAGGCTTCTATATAAGATATATTAAGGCTAATTAGCCAAAGAAATATATAACTCTAGCTCTTATAAGTATAAAGAAATTTTGGGAGTACTATAGAGATTAAATTATTCCTTTACTATTAAGTAATATTACCCCTTTCTTATATAGTAAAGAGCTATCTCAAGAGCTATTAATACTTGACTTCTTTAATCGGATTACTTAATCTTTTTACTCAGTTATACGACCTGTAAGTAAGGATAAGTATAAGAATTATAACTTCCAGGAATTATATAATATTAGTAAGTAAGAGGCCTTAGCTTAGTAAAGCCAGGATATATAAAGGGAATGCTGGCCAAGGCTCTCATTTATGGCTATTAATATTCTCTTAATTCCTCTAATAAGTAATAAGCTAGAGAGAGTCTTTTTAGGGATATGCCATATAGTAAGCTAGAATAGAGGGCAAATAGAAGCAGAGATAATAGAGATTAGAGAGTACTTAAAGTATTAGAAAAGAACTAGGATCTTATAAACCTTCTTTGAGACTAGCTAGTTTAAAAGAGATATATATTCTTTAAGACCCTTATATAATTAGAGAACCTTCTGGATATTATCTAAATTTTCTAAATTTCCAAGCTATGACTCTTATTTAAAGGCTATCTTTTCCGCTTTAACTTCCTCTTTCCTTTATTAATATTACTACTGCTTATATAAGAACCTCTTACTTTTCTTTACTTCTCGTAATTATATTAATTATATAATAGTAATATATTAAATAATCCAGCCCCTGGTAGTAATTCCCCTATATAGCCTCTTGCTCTTGGCGGTGGTTCCTCTATATAGCCTCCTACTTCTGGTCCTGGCCCTGCAAACCCAAACTAGTAGTAAGCTTTTAATCCTTAATCCTATCTATTATATAATAGCTAATATCTTTAAAGGCTTGTTTCTTTTATTACTTTTGGTACTAGTAGTACTCCTAATCTTAGTATAAACTAGCCTTTTCCTTAAGGCTAATAGATAATAGGTATTATAGGCTAATAACTTGCTTTCTTTATATAATACCTTACCCTTTACTATATAATAAAGCTAACTAGAGTATAGTACTATAATAATTAATAATAATAAGCCCTTGCTTTTCCTGGCCAGAATATAATTATTAATCCAAATCATATTATAATTAGTTAAGTCCTTATATAGTAATAGTCCTATATTAATACTCTTCTCATTTAATAAGAAGGGGTTAATATAATGGCTACTCCTTATACTATATATACTTATACGGGACTTAATAATACTATTTTCCCTGAGTATATCCGGATTATAGATATATGGGATAGTTGCTATGGTAATTATAAGTGGCCAGATTATACTATAAGCTATTGCTGGAGAGGAAATAATAGTAGTAATAATAGTAATGGAGAGATTAGTACAGGAGGTTATAGAGGACGTAGTAGACGTGGTAGACGTAGTGGAAGTAGTAGGGGTGGCCGTACAAAGCAAGGACGAATTATATAACGTGGTATAGTAAGAAAGACTTCTCGTAGTAGTAGAGTTACTCGCAGTAGTACTACGGCTTAATAAAGGCCTTTCTGAGATTATATAATGGTTTTTAGCCTCTCAATAGTATAATTAATGGAAGTTCTTTATAAAATAACGAGAATCTACAGGGATTAGCTCGCTTAGGAACGATTGGAACGTTCCATTACCGCCCGTTCCAGACCCCTGGAACGAATCGGCAGAAACCGATTGGTCCGGAATATCGCCAAGCCTGGCTCGTCCTAGCAGTTGACTCAACTTCCGAGACTTTGCACCCCGCCGCATTTCATCAGCAACACTCGATACTGAAGAGATTATATTTTCCAGGCACCGCAGCGCGAACTCGTCACTGCAATTAAAAGAATGTGTACTTTCCATAAAGACTGTCTATCCTTCACAAACACTCCACTCCAAACCTTTTACATTAATTACATAACTCATCCTCCCAACCTCGTTACTGCCACCCACTCGTTTCTTCAAAGGAACTAGCTCAATCCTTGGACTCAACCTCCCGCTTGTAGTTCTCATAAGTTCCATAGTTTCCATAGTCTCCGTAGTTTCCGTATGAAGCAGGATCGTCTTGGGGAGCCGCTTCGGCTTTAGGAGCTGGAGCAGCGACAGGGACTGGGGCCGCTTCACGCTTTGCCTTATAGCTCCCGTAGTCGCCATACGATCCATACGAAGTAGGGGCTGGAGGCGGGGGAGGATCTAGGTAGCGGAGGAGTTAGAAATTGCTTTGTGACGAGTGTCTCTGGAAAAACCATCACAAGATTTTCAAGAAAAACAAATGGCTTATCTCTAATAACTTACAATTATTATATGTTCCATACGAGCCATAGTCTGGTTTTCAATTAGAGACAAAATCTCTTGCACCGAGAAGGCAAAGGGACTCACCACCATAGTCACCATACCCAGGAGCATCCTGAGGCTTGGCAGCTGGCTCGGGAGCAGCGATAGGGGCGGGGGCGGGGGCCGCCTCGCGCTTCTCTTTGTAGCTGCCATAGCTGCCATATGCTCCATAAGAGGTAGGAGCTGGAGGCGGTGGCGGGTAATCTGTGTATTCGCCATAATTTCCATAATCACCGTAGTCTGGCCATTAGAAACAAGCTCTCATCAACTAGGATGGGGACATCCTACCTCCGTAATCAGCTGGAGCCGCGTTGGGTGCCGGGGCAGCGATTGGGACTGCAGAGACAGCGACTGCGGAAGCAGCAACAAGGAGAGCAACTCGTGAGACACGCATTTTGATTGAGGAACTTGGAAGTGAGAAGATTGAAGATAGAAGATGAATGAAGTTATGATGTGAGGAGTGAAGTGGGCTTATCTTGGATGGGGAGGTCTAATATATAGTAAACTCCCAATTGGTGATGAGCATGAATAAAACAAACAGCGAGTTAAGTTCCGAGCATTTCCCACCTTCGGCTGTTTGAACTCCTCAGCCTTTCGACATATCTTAGCCTGTCCCACTAGAATAATTCTTGACTAATGCAGATAAGAGAATGTTTGTATGACTTGAGAATGAGGCAGTACCCTGCGAGACCGCATCTACAAAATGGTATGTACCTTCAAGGAAGATAATCTTTACGTAGTGTTATGGTTGACATGTTCGATTCTTGGGCCTGAAGCGTGCATGAGACTAAGGTCACACGCTCGAAGATCTTCCAAAAGACCTCGTACAGTCTTGTTTCTTATTGGAGCAAAACATCTTTTCGATGGTATTTCTTAATGAAGTCTGCAGATAAAATTGGGGCGAGGATTGCGGATTGCGGGTCGTGGCAGTGCGTATTACAAGCAGGAGTGGGGATGGCTTACAGCCTTACTAGAAGGCTGCTTCTGCTTTTAGATCAAAATGGCACCGACTAAATGAACTCCTCGATTTCATCAGTAAGCAGGCGGTGAAGAAAAGCCTTACCTGAATCCAAAACTTTACGAAGTACTTCTACAAAGGCGACTTGGCACGCAGCTGAAGCTCACTGTGGGGCTTCGCCTGGGTGCCAAGCCCAAAGCACCTTCCTCAACCACGGAATAATAATAAATTATGCGCAGACGGTTTCTTATGGATGAAGAATTCTCAGGCTCTCTCCTAGCCAAACAACATTTGTTGGATTATTGAAAAAAGAAAAAAGATTGCTTAGGGTTTGAGGAGCAAATCTATGACATGTTAGAAGTTCAAGAGTACGTGATGCGGGGTTCACGGCACTATTTCCAGCGCCGCAAGGCCGCCTTCCTGTAGCCACACCCCTACAACCCTGATCCTCGCATCCACCTGTTACTTCTGTACGTCAATATAGAGTTTGCTTACGGAACATGGCAGTGCCGCTGTGCTACTGTTACGTTACCGCTCGTGTTCTCGTGGCTTACTCTATTAATCTATTCTCCAGTCAGCCCGAACGCTTACACGAACAATCAAGAGAATTGCGTCCTATGACGCAAAGTGCCTCGTGAAGTCAAGTGTCGCTCAAAACCAGGCTCCCTTGGCATGCACCCTGATTCATGTATTGGAAGATTGAAGTGATGGTTTCGGTGAGCCAGCCCCCACTACTGATGTGCACAGGCGAGGGAATCTTACCATTCAACACCCAGAAATTGGCTCTTCAGAATAAGTATGCAAACGGAGGAAAGATTCTCAAATATCTCAGCTACATCTCTTTTCTCAAAACCAAAGTATCTCCTTGCAATAATTCCTTCCGGACACACTCAGCAAGCGTCCGATCACAATGAGTCCCCTTACCATGTACAGTCCCCTTGAAGATAAGAGCGAGAATGGGTTTCAGTCCTCAGAAGACCACGAGAGTTTGCTCTCTGGCTCTGTAAAATCCTATAGAAAACCGACTCCGAGAACTTTAATCTGGATCCCAATGCTCATGCTCCCAATCATCTCAGCATTTCTCATCGGATTCGGTGTCTGGATTGGAAGCCATTGGTTCACCAACACCAACGCTGTCTGTCTCGCGCATGTCCAAAACTATTGCAAGTCCAACAATTCAGAAACAACACTTCTCGTGAACTGACTTCTCCAAGCGCCCATACAAAAAGAGGTCGACAACTCATACCACATCGTCAAATACAACGGCTCTTTCCTGCATGAAAACTTATTCCGAAAACCGGCCGGCCCGGAAGTTGACGCAGCCTGGGACTCTCTAGGAGTAAACTATAGAAGCATTGCTGTCCCCCGCTCTGAAGCCCCCAAATCCGGTCTCAAGCCTTCCCAAGTCCAGATAAACCCCAAATACGGTGGCGGATTCCCCGCCAACGTCGAAGGCCTCCACCATTTGCACTGTCTCAACCTCGTCCGCCAATCACTCTACTACAACATAGACTACTATCGCGCAGAAGGCAAAGGCGCCTTTGTAAACGAAGACATGATTGTCCGGCACCACGTTTCGCATTGTCTTGATATCATAAGACAGCAGTTGATGTGTACTGTTGACACTGGGATGCTGGGACAGGTTTGGTGGGACAAGAGCTTTCCCAAGGCATTTGTGGATTTCAACACGGAGCATAAGTGCAAGAATTTTGATGCAGTTAGGCAGTGGGCTGAGGAGAGGCAGCTTCCGGAGAAGGTGCCCGATGACTTCTTGAAACCTCCACAAAGTGAGGAGGAGGTTTATGAGGAGATTCCTTGAAGTGAGCTTCGGGGATTGCATTGGGGCAGTATATCGAGAGCAAAAGAGAAAATCTAGTAGACCAAGGTTCAAAGTCATCCAAAATCGGAGAGAGGAGCAGAGAAGTGGAGTGGGCTCCAAAGTCCCGACTGGAAAGAGTTGACTTTAAAGAGAGAGCGAGGGTTTGTTGATGGATACTCAAACTGTTTTTTTTTTTTGGCTCGATTTACGCATTTATTCATTCATCAGACCCGTGCACCGCAAATGAGATATCGGCAGCATCGAAATAATAACCAATTGTAACCCCCCCCCCCCCCGGCTGAGCTGGTGTTGGTTGGGCGGCTGAGCAGAAACCTGGGATGGATCGGGCGACTTGCATTTTCGCGGTGTCCCTATCTTGATTTGTGATCGACCAGAAGATTTCTGCACGCTCTTTGGTCATGGGCAGGAACTTCTGTTCCTCAGTGAAACATCGGAAGCAAACCCTCGAGCAGGTTGGCACATACAAGTATGCACCAAATTTTCCGCAGTTGTAGCAGGTCCGCGCGCAGAGGGCAGTATATAAAGGTCGGCAGGTAAAGAAGCGGGTGATCTCCAGACAGAGTGCAGCACGAAGACTGGCAGGGGCGTGAGAAACAATGGTCCGTTATTGTTGCAACTCATAAACTTAGCGGCGGAGATTTCGGCTGACTCAATGGTGGGTGGTAAAAGCGGTCAAGTGCAACCTCAAAACGACCATATCCTGGAGTATCTCTGTGGGTAGAACATCGAGCGAGCCGGCTGAGAAGGTTTGTAGTGAAGATGCGTGTTCGCCATTATCACGTCGACCATTGACCAAAGGACAGAGATCCGTCAGCATCTCCGGATCTGGCATGCCGTGCCTGTCCGCTCATCGATCGTTCGTGAGAGCACGATAGAAGTTGCCCTCAACGCTGGGGCTGATGCCAAGTAACTAAGAGAGCGACTGCGTAGTCCTCACTGTTTTCGAGAGGACTTCGATTAGGCGAATTCTGCCCTGGTCGCCCCTTACTGAAGTGTCATCGAGTTGTCTGGTGAAGGCGCGTTCGGTGGCATCTAGATCTGTTGGCATAGTGGCGGATAGTGCTCGTGGGTTCTGGGGCCCTTGGAGGAGACGCGGCACACGAAGTGCATTAATTCCGCTTAAAAGGGCATCTCCACGAAAACACGTGACGCTGAAACAGGGTTAACCTCAAAACACCAACAAACCCCAAAGGCAGCCTTCTATACCCACCAGGGGCCTTGCATATCTACGCATCTATACCACATATCCGGCTGCGATGTCTCTCTCAGTAGAAACCGTTCGCCTACGCTTCACCCCGCAGTCTTGACCGGAATCGACTTCCAAATGAGTGGTTTCCAAGACTCTTCTCCCCGTGGTACCCCAGTTCAAAGGGAGCAAGTTCCGGTAGGCATGGCACTCCCGAAGCCCTGAAAGTCACCAAGGTATTCGAAAACGCAGGTATTTCATGATGCGTTGTTGGAACCTCGGCGTTGAAATACTTCGGGGCGTGGGTAATGCGAAATGTAGGTTAGGCCTGGATCCCTGAGAAGCATTCCCACTGACACTACCCAAGGACTGGGAGATATGCGTGCCAAACGAGTGCCTCGACAAAGCCTTCTACGTTTTGAAAGCAGAGCCTTAGAATCAAAATTACGAAGTCTGGCGGCACGAGCGTCCTCAACCCTACTCCCTCCATACAATCCCACGGTTCAAAGTAAAGGATGCAAAGCTTTGGTTCGATCCCATACCATCAGAAGACTGCCACCTCGTATGCGAGCCTTCAAATTTCGAGCGAAGCAACGTGGGCCTGCCCTACCCGGAACTCGAAATCTTTGCTCAAAGCTTCCTGGATATATATACCGTCAGGCTTTTGCAGATCTCATTGATGGAATGGATCTGACTGAGGAGTGGGGAGCTGAACACCTCAATCTCAGTGGGACGAATCATGTTGAGTAGGCGAGGCAAAAGAACAAACGCATAGGGAGTCTGTTCCCATAACCCAGGCTTCATTTCTGCTTGAGGTGGATGAAGGGCTGGTCACCAGGACGAAGATATGGAACGACATTGTAAGATCAAAAGAACGACGAATCGACCTTGCCTTGCCGAAAGAGGTATATGTAACTCGATTTCACTCTCGAGGGCGTACAGATACTCGGCTACTTGAAAGAGGCTTTGTGTGAGTCTTCCGGGAATTGGCATCTGACCCAAAATGCGGCAGCATGTTTGAACATGCATTCTTACAACAAGATCACGGTTGGTTTTTGTATACCCGTCACTGACTGGAGTTCTAGGTTGGACTAAGGGGCGCCAGTGTGCAACCGCAACGACCCAATAGGTTTTCTTTGGTCTTTCTTTGGAACTTGTCAAACATCCTTACAAACACCAACAATGATCCAAGACATTGAATTGTCGGAAATTGCTTTTATTGCGCCCTCACTGGCCATCCGATGTGGATCTACTCAATTTGTCACACAAAGGCAGCAATTCAGTTGACCTTCATCTGAAACACCCACATGTTGGCATTGGAGATTCACCTTTTGGGCATCTAAATACATCGATACCTTGATGCTGTTCAATCGAATCATCTACTGAGACTACCCTCACCTCTCACAGTCATTACATATACTTGTTGTCTTCCCCACCTCTCTTCCAAGTCATCATTGAGTTATGTCACAACGAGTACGACTACTCATGTTCAGCAGCCGCCTGGAACCTACACGGTCGAGTAAGGGTTCAGCCTTGCAGCCAACTCTCACCAAACAGAGCTTAGCCACCTTATTTTGGCAGCCGACCACATTACTGGAATTTTCCAGACAGGTGGCATTTCATACGCCTTGATAGGTGGGTTTTCTCTCCAACTGCGAGGAAGTCCGCCTAACACCTTCGATGTGCATGTTGCCGTTGGGAGCAGCATGCGCCAACTCATTGAACTTTTTATACTTCACCCGCAGTAATCGGAATACAACTGGATTGTTGTCGTAGGTTATGGCTACGCAGTGTGCTCTGTCCGCTCGGTCCCGTGTCGGGAGTCATGAGGATCTGGGTTCGCACCGGAGGCGATCATAATCCCGGACAAGGTATCCGGGAGTTGGATGTAGGTGTAGACATCATTCTGCCAGGAGGTACTCGATATATAAATACCCCATGCTGTCCAGATTGATTTTGTTAACACTTTCCCTAGGCTCACTTGGCGCTCCCGATAACCCTCAAAAACCTCTGAAAACCTCAATATCGAAACAGTTCTTGGACCCAGAAAGTATCCGGTGCTTAATATAGAGCAGATGACGAAAGCCAAATTCTCTGCCCTTTGCTCTCGAGCATCGACAACCGATCATATGGATGTCGTTTTCTTAATACAGAATTTTGCTGATGGAGTCATTGCAGCATGCCCTCAGTTGAATGAGGAACATCGGAGAGGCTTTGCGAAGGAATATAGTCGACGAAATCGGGGCCCCAGCAATTTTGCAAGAGTCCTGCAGGTGAACCAGCTGTTGTGGCTTGAAGAATGAGTGAGTGTCGATCTTTGAGTGTTTTTCTTCCTGCTTGGTGCCTTGGAGAAGGAGTCTTACGTCCTTTCTGCTTTGCTTCCAGTTGATTTTGCTGATACTGATCCCGTTCTGTTCCTTGTTGACTTATATCCCCGTACTCCATAGGCAGACCAGTGGCTTACTTGACTGATGTCTTTGCATGATCTTTCCTGTCCTCAATTTCTACCTACCGAAAGTGGAAGAGCTACTTTGTACCCTCCCTTCAAACTAACCTTCCCACGTGACGTTATCGAATTCCACCTGGTAATGCGAGCCAGGACGATATCACGCCTTTCCAACCTTTGGCCATCCCGAGCACAGTGTTCGCTGATTCGGCTTCGGTGAGGGACACGGCAGAGATATCATCTATCTGCCTTGGGCTTGAATTCCCAAACCGTGGCTGGCGCCCTTGGGCAAGATCGGGCTCAAATCGTGTCGTGCAACCCGAAGAATTTTGTGATGGTGTGGTGGATGCCCGATTGCCCAATCCGCTTCAACCAGGCATGCCATCATCCGGGCTGCAGTGCCCCAAACCAACACATCACGGGAAGTATTCGTCAGCAATCCTTCTGGAAAACTTTCAGCCTCGTCAAGCTTCATATTAATTGGAAGAGTTTTGTGCGGGTTGTGCCGTTCGAAGATACGGCGTGCTGCTGACCCAGAAAATCTTGCACTGCCTCTCAACCTCTGGCCAGCCAACTTTCTTCTTCAGTTTCGTCAGCTTGGAACAGGGCGTCCAATTTGGGTGGGGTGAGGCTCTCGAGAATTGATCTGCTACAATAGGCAGGCAGACTTCTCGTCCCGTCTAGGGAGCACTCATATCAGAAAAGTATCAATTTGGTTTTACGCGTTCAAACCCGATAGGTATCGAACGATACCCGATCAACGTCCAATTACCTCTTCATCATGAGTTCGTGGTGTCGTCGGGCGATTATCGAGGTAGAACCCAAGCAAGCTTGGCGGGGTTGCCCTACTTGGTGCATGAACGCCCTGCCAGTAAGGGCAACTTCTCACCAATAAACATCATGATCTCACCTGTCGCCCTTTCACCCCCGAACCCAAATTTTCTCACCGGGAGTCAGGCTTCATGGAGGCCTGATTCGTAACACCCGCTGTTGCATTGCTTATCAAACTCGATTGTTAGATATCCTCCACCAATATAGACGCCTTCGCCCAGATCTCGCCCAATCCTCCACTACAACATCTCTCACTCGTCATCTTCTCTCCGCTCTCTCAGCAATTCTTGCCAGCTCATCAACATCTCACCTCCAGCCTTGCATCTTCGCCCCGTAAATATCTCCCGCGCATCTCGGAATTCTCCAACGAGACTTGCATCAACGATGACAAACCAGAAGAAGCATGGCTCGAAGAAAGAGCCTATTAAGTATATCGATGTGTGTGAGGAATGTTATAGGATGGAGAAGAAGATAGACCATATTGAGGCTCGAGGCTCGAAGTTCTGCCCAAGACGTACGTTATCGTCCTTCTCATAGACTTGTTTGATGTTGACGTTGTTGCAGACCAATGTCCAGTGACCGGAGCTTCGGGAATCAAATGTTCCATCAAGAAGAAGTCTCCAGATGAACGATGCTCTTTTCGTAAGTGCAGTCTTACCTTTGCATCATACCATTGCTGATTTGATACGGAGACTTCGTCCCCGTCTGCAACGTTGCAGCATGCAAAAGCCAAGCCTTCGATAACACTCCTCACTGCGAAGCTCGTACGTCTCTAATACCTATTAACGGCTTGACTCTCCAAACTAACTTCAACTCAGACTCATGTTCCACTCGAGGTTGCAAAAAGCCAGCCAAGCCCGGCGAAGGATGGGATTACTGTAATGATCGTGGGTAGCGACATCCCTTTATCTGGACACTAGGCTAACACCCGGTCAGACAAGTGTTCGGACCCAGACTGCCAACTGCCTCGAAAACGTATCCTAGAAAAGGGAGCGTTGGTGCGGCAACCTTTCTGTCGGAAGCGTAAGCATTATGCTCATTTCTCTTGCTCAGGTACTGACAATTCATATCAGATGAGTGTCAGACCAAATCATGCACAGCACGGAAGGCAGTAGAGAAGAGTTATTGTGCCTCACGTGGGTCTCCTTAACCTCACATCAGAAAGTGCATCACTAACAAGACTAGATTGCTGCACAATCGAAAGCTGTCCCGATGAGCGCCAAGGGGAACCTCTCGGCTCACTCTGCTTAGAGCGTAAGTTCCATTCCACACTCTCCTCCCTTTCTTTTCCCTTTCTATTTCCCGTTCCCCTCAGTCCAACCAGGCTCTAACTATTCCAGATTACAACGAAAAGATCGGCAATGACGCTGTAAAGATTGCCGAGAAAGCCGCCAAAGAAAAGGCCGAAAAAGAAAAGGAAAAAGAAAAAGAGAAATCCGAGAAGGAAAGCAAGAAAGCAGCCGAAAAACGACGCAAGAAAGAGGAGGAGGAAATTCTCTCGGAGCAAGATCGACGCAGAAGACGCTTTGAGAAGTCTCCAAGTGGGAGCAGTGGGACGAGTTATCATGACTCGTCTCCGCCTCGCTCGAGAGGAAGTGATAGGCCGAGAGTAACAAGGGAGAAGAAGTATTATTTTGAGGAGGATGATTGGGAGGATGATGAGGCGTATCGAAGTGGGAGTTCTATTGGACCTGGAGAGAGGTATGCGGGGTTTGCGAGGAGGAGGGCGAGTGCGAGTGGCTTGAGGGATGAGTATTTCCGTACTGCTTATGGGAGGGGAGCCCATAAGCCGGGTTGGTGATAGGTCAGCCGTGGTGGGCAAGGGAATGTTGTGATTTGCAGGTTTGGGGCGAGGTGGGGTGGGGTTTTGTTTTGTATGGGCGTCAAACGGTGTTTGCTAGGATGGCGGATTTCTCTTTGGGTTCGAGCAAAGTGCCGAGCCAAACCGTGAGCATGTACGAATCGGCACTGGATGGGTGGATGTCTGAATATCTTCTTTGTAAGGCACTCTAAGCGTTCCGGAAAATCCCATTCTCATGTCTACTCCTCGCCAGGCTCCGCCTCGGTGATTAAAGCAAAAGCATCCAGATTGGCCAGAACTTCAAACCCCAGCTAACAAACCACTGCTATTAATCCTGTACAGTCCAACCAAACCTTTAGTTTGCCTCGCAAATAAAGTTGCTGCAGCCAATGTGATACATCGTCCTGCAGCCCAACCACGTCGTTATCTATATAGCACCGAAGAGATTTCTTCCCCATAAGGCAGATAGAAAGGCAGAGCTTCCGCAAACTACTACGAAGGCGACGGGCGAAAAAAACCGTCCAAATCCCTTAAGCGAGAATTTGTGCAATCTTAGCCTTGCGAAAAAAAATTTGTCGTAATTGTAACTTGAATTTAATTCCAGCAAAATTGTTATAAAAGATAGATCTGCTTCTTCTCTATTGCACAAATTAAAAAGTAAAGAGTTTAGACGTTGTATTGAACCTTAGTGTGATTTTCCACAGGTAGCGATTTTGGTGTTCCTCGCGATTTGGCAGGTGGCCGGTTTTTTTCGCCCGTCGCCTTCGTAGAGCTGGTTTGACGCAGCCATTGGTACGAAGATCACGGCATAAAGTGACGGGATTACAGGTGCATGCATAAATTTAGGGCCACTAATAGGCCCTGTAGTATCTCAATAAGCCCTGTAAGCCCTATAATTATACTGAAACAGAGGCGTAAGGCCCCTGAAGACCCACTATAATCTTATGCAGCTCGATCGGGAGGTTGCATTAAGCCACAGGCTTCTATCCCTTCGTCCGGTGAGACATTGCCAGGCGCTAGCAAGGGGGGTGTGGCTGCACGCAAGCCTCTTGAAGCGGAATAAAGCGAGGTGAGGCTTGCGTGCAGCCACACCCCCCTTGTTAGCGCCTGGCAATGTCTCACCGGACGAAGGGATAGGCCCTTAGCCCCTGTATTTTTAGGCCTGCGTCCGTAATCGGTAGCGGGGTAAAGTAAGCTTTACCATCCTTCCTGGGCCCCCCCCACCAAGGCTCCTTACTCACTCTCTTCTTTACTCTCACTTCTTATCCAAAACTAGTAATTATGGCTACTTTTGGTGGTTTATTTGACTTCCCTGATTTATTAGATGGCCAATCAGAGCTTTCTTCCCCTCCTGATTCTTCTGATTCAGACAAATTAGAATGAACTGAAGCTACTAAAGATAAAGAGAATACCTGGTATAATTTACTATCTGATTCAGAAGATAAAGATAATAATTCAATTATATCGAGCTTTACCTTCCTCTTTGTCCTCTTATAGCTACTTCCACAGCCTTTATAATACCTAATATTATATGCAAAGAGTACTTAACTAGTACTAGAATTAAGGCTATTTATATACTTGAGTAAAGGAAATCTATATTATAATATTAAGAAAGCTATTAAAGTATTACAAATATATATTTATAAGCTTGCGAGCCTTACTAGATAGTATAGATAGAAAGAGAACGAGAATATATTTCTGGAAGTATATTATATCCTGAATTAACCTTATTCTAGTTAACTAGCTATCTCTTCTAATATAATTAAGTATATTTTGCAAGTTATTCTTTAAAATTCGACTATATATAGCTTCTCTTATACTATAATTATAAAGGAAATAAGGAAAAGAAATTATAAAATAGCTATATAAATAATTTAAAGAATTCTTACTATAGCTAGCTACTCTTAATATAAATTAATAGTAAAGTATGATTTATATAAGCTTAGTAAAAAGTAGTGTCTAGACTAGTATTTAAAGTATAAGTATTAGAGTTTTAAGAACTAGAAAAATATTATTTTTATAAATAAGATAATAGTATAATTAGAAAATATAAAAGAAAAAAGAAGAGTATAGAGACTTCCTAAAAAGATATCTAATAAGTATTATATAAGGAAGTAATAGAAAAGCTTTTCTGAATTTATATTTTGGGAATTCTTTTTATATAATAAAAAGAAACTATATTATATATAGGAAAAGAGACTATATAGTAAAAGCGAGAGAAAGAGGCTAATTTGAATACGAAAAACTCCTTAATTAAGAAAGTAAATAAGTAATAAAGAAATTAGCTAAGAAATAAAATAAAAGTATATAGAAGAAAGTCTAGTAAAGTAAGAAAAGTATAGAAATATAATAAGAAAACTAGAGCTTTTATAGTAAAGAATAAATAAGGAGAAATTAATTAGTATTATTATTAAAAGAAGATTCTTATTTCTAAGCTTTTGTCTTTTATAAAAAAGTACTAAAAGAATTATCCTAAGATAATTATTTAGAAAAAAAAATATACTAGCTTATAAATCCTATTACTAATAAGAGATTTATAATCTCTAAAGAATTATAAAAACACTATAGCCAAGTAACTTACCTGATTTGAATACTATTAAATATTTGTGGTTTTGGATAAAGAAGGGAACTATTAGGTAAGGGCTTACTAGTAATAGAAAGAAGCTAAAAGCAAGATAAGAGGAATACTAGGAAAGTATATCTTAGTATAAGATTCAAGAGTGGATTAAAGTAATTCCTGATTATATAAAGGAGGTAATTAGACTAGAAGGGGGAAATAAGTATAAGGAAGGACAAAAAAAGGGCCAAGAGAAGATTGCAATATACTATAGCTAGTATATCTTCACTTATTACTAATTGGGTCAGCTAATTTACCCCTCTGTATACTAATTAATTAAACGACTAAAACACTTCAGGGGACAAGTAAGACCTTACAAGGCACTTCAGTGGACTGCATAAATTTATGCCCTGTAATCCCGTCACTTTATGCCGTGATCTTCGTATGGCTTCAGGATCGTTGGTCATCGATGGAGGGGAGGCTCCTCATGCAACGTCAAATACTTTCGTTTCCTCTAGCTTTTTGAACTTCTACTTATTTTCTTGTCGCAGTCTATAACATTCCGTGGCTCAAATTGAAAACACTCTTCCGGCTTTACTAAATCCAGTTGTCTAAAATTGTTCGAGACTATTTCTACTTCAAGATACCTAGCAACCATTTATTTATCTATATGTCGAGGCACGGTGATCCCCTCGCAAATACTTGCACCGCTCTTAGCCCCTGGAGTTTTTTGAGGCACGTAACTTCAATCGTAAGGCCGAGATCCAACCATACATTGAGTGGTTACGAGACGCGTTTTAGAAGAGTTGGGACAGTGGAGATAGTTCTGAAAATGGAGAGGACCAAAACAATAAAAAGGATGTAACGAGTGGAGAAGTGCAAGAGAGAGTGGGGAGAGAGGTTTCGATCTTTTGAGTGATGATGAAGATGATGCGCATCAAGAGATTTGCCAAGAATCGAAAGACGACAAGGAGATTGAACGTTGCGACCGGAGAAGTATTGTTAGAGAAGATATGACTAGGGATGAAGGGTGTCTGCCATATCGCGATCAAATTGTGGTGGTTGCAGGATTTTGTGAGTGGACTGGGGTCACTAATGTCGACACAGAAGGATCAGGTATCGAGAAGCAAAGAGCCATACTGCTCAACGATAGAACTCACAGCCGTCGAATTCCAAGAAGACAAGGCCAACGCTGGCCCTGCTTTGACCCGCTAACCCCAAAGCAACCGAGAGAGGAATTGAACAAACTGGTACGAGGACCTGTCGTATTGACCTCAGATGCAAGTGACCCCACCAAAGTCCACGTCCGTCTTTGGACCATTTACTGTACCCTCTGAAAGCCACCCTTCAGTCTGATTCCCTCAGCTGTTTGAAGCTGAGCCGCGAATTTTTTTTGGGCCACCTCGCATCCAGCTTCCCGGTCAGCCTTGCGAAGGCAGATTTTGAAAACGTGCTTCCGCGTGACACGTCACTCGCAACTTTGGCAGCCAACTTCTCCGTACATTTTTTGTTTCCTGGGATGCTCGATCTCAGGCTACAATAATTGCAGATTGAACATTACGATTTCAAACAATGGCTGCCTCATCATCAGCCGATGGAATGCAGAGGTAAGATAGCGGATTTACGGATATCGTACGTCGCTGATTTATTGGATACAGTTCTTCGCTGCAAAAGCAGGCTATAGAGAAGGCTCGTTCGTCTTTCTCACGCTTACCAACGGAAGATGTCATCTTTCAACAATGTATCAACCAGGCTGATACAATACCCGATGTCGTAAAATCGGTCATACAGACATCCCACTCTTACAAAAGCAGGCGATCCACAGGACTTCTTCGAAAATTTGAACAGCATACGCAGTTCTTGCAGAACGTTTCTGATATCGTCGACATCGTGGTTCAAACGCAGGCTGGAATAGGTTGCCCGCTGTGGGCGCCTATCAAATTTGTTCTGAAGGTATGATCTTATATGTGCTAAGTTGGCTTGCATTTAGTTGACCATGTTTCTCAGGTCTCGAAGGATCATGCCCAGGCCGCAGAACAGATCCTGAACCTAATAGAAGTGATTTCAGAAAATCACCCCCGCTTCGAGGTTTACGGCAAATTACCACCGAGTCCCATTCTCCAAACGGCTCTCTTAAACATATTCACAGATGTTGTGGAATTCTCTGTGCGGGCGTTTCGGTTCTTTAGGCGGAGTGCGCTTGGTTTGTTCTCCCTCAGGTACTTGTAATAACTATTTATTAACGGATTATCTGAAGCCAGAATGAGCAGACTACTTGTACGGCCATTCAAAGAGGAGTTTGGAGATATTTTTGGTCGTCTCAAACGAGGAACAGAGGTTGTCGATCGCGCAGCTATGGCAACCCAATTGTTACGCGCTGAGGAATCCAGTCAAGGTAAACGCTGACCTAGTTGTAATTTAGACCAGTGCTCACAATCAAACTAGAGGCCCAGAAGTTCCGATGCCAAAGCTGGCTAGAGCCGCCAAGCATCAGAGAATTTCATCAGCGTCAAGTTCACACAAAGTTGCCTGGGACTTGTGACTGGATTAAAGAGAACCCCGCCTTCGTGAACTGGACTAAGCCATCACCTCTTTCAGTTTCCGGCCGGCTCTTGTGTATCTCAGGAACTCATGGCTGTGGGAAAACTATTCTCGCTTCATCAATCATTGAAGACCTACAGAACAAACAGCTACAGATTATATTCTACTATTTCTCAGGAAAGAACGCTCGTCTAAAGAACCTAGATGGCATAGTTCGAGCCTTTCTATGGCAGTTTTTAGACGGTACTACCGATCAACGAAGGCTCGGGCTTCTCAATAGCCTAGTACTAAAGGGGCCTCCTGTACTCATTGACATGATACACGCCCTGAAAGAAGTTGCAGCGTTGGTTACCACACCAATCTATTGTGTTGTTGATGGAGTTGATGAATATATCGACGAATCTAACGACACGATCGAGAAATTACTTCAACTTGTTCTCGGCCTCCTCAATGCAAATGCCAATTTCCGAGTAGTGCTCCTTGGTCGACAGCATGCGCTCCAACCACATGTGCTCGAAGCAACAATTGGCGCAAAATCTGAGATGATTGAGATATACCCGGACTTAGTCAAACGGGACATCGGTGCCTTTATTGAAGCTGGGATAGATGCAAGGATAAATAGCGACCTCCTTAGGCTCCCAGGGCTGCGGGATTCCATCTCCAAAATGCTGCAAGAGAAGTCCGACGGTATGTTTCTTTGGGTGGAGCTAATGATCAATGACCTTAGCAAATCAGACTCGCAGTTCGAAGTGAGAGAGAGGCTCCGCAACCCACCGCGGAGTCTTGAAGAGATATATCGACGTCTCTTTTTGCGCCTTGTCAAACGGCTTGATAAACTCCAACTGAATCTTGCGAGGAAGCTCTTGGCCTTTACAATCATCTCATGTCGTACATTGGAGGTCAATGAACTACAATATGCTCTTGCTTTGGACTCTGGATCTTGCACCTTTAGGGAGCACCTGCTTCTACACCCCGGCCAGAGGATTCTCGACGTGTGTGGCGACTTCATCAATATAAAGGATGACTTTGTGCAGTTTATCCACTTTTCTATCCAAGAGTTTCTCACCCGGCCAGAAGATGAATGGCAACACAGCGACGATCGAGATATAATTTGCTTCCGAGTGGACTTGGAACCTACACATCGCTCTCTAGGTTCAGCTTGTGTGGATTACTTAAGCGTGTGCGAATATGGCTTTCCATTATCAGACACGGATGCGTTTTCGAAACTGGCGAAGGACCATCCTTTCCTAAGATACGCCTCTAGGTACGCCATTTCCCATCTTAGTCAGGCTGGTCCTCTTTGTCCAGCCTCTGCACGGAAAATCAGAAGTTTTCTTGGATCGGAAAATTATGCCCCTTGGATCGAATATCTAGCCATGCTTGTCTTAGAAGATCGGTCTTCGGCCATGCTAGGTGATGAGTTTGAGAGATTCATCTCTCAACTAGATATGGGAGAATATAAACTAGGGGCCTTTGAGAATGATATTCGGATGCACATGAATCAAGAACTCGAAAGAAGAACTCGAACGTTTGGAAAACACGACCCCAGGACCGAGCGATGGCAATCCTTTCTTCAAATTATTTCTCTGAATGGAGGTATAGATGAGGATACGGACCATAACTTTGCAAACCAGGCCCCACCGCTATTATCGACGGACGAGTCAACGTTGTCACACATATCAAATGCTCTTATTCGTAACCCGACATTACCACCGCATCAACAAATTGATGTACTTCTCAAGCTTGGGACCCATCTCCAGCGAGTGAAGGTTCTTACCGATCCCCTCAAAATGTTGTTCCGCACCATCCTACAAAAATCCCACGCGATTCCAGTCTACGTACTTTTAGTGATTGCGGACTTTTATTACAGTTTGGACAAGTGGGAGGAGGCCCTTGAAGTTTATCGCGCTGCATTCGTTAAGGCTGAGGGTCAAGAATCACGACTCAAATTCGTGATTCTATATAATATTGGCGTAAGTTTGAGCAAACAAGAGCACTATAAGGAGGCCGAGAGTATACACCGGCAATGTCTTAAATGGCAGGAGAGAGTTCTAGGGGAGGATCGTGAAGACACGTTATGGAGTATAAATGAGCTAGCATATATACTCTATAAGCAAGAGCAATACGTGGAAGCCGAGGCTTTATATCGGCGATGCCTTAAATTGCGGGAGAGAGTTCTAGGGGAGGAGAATAAAGACACGTTATGGAGTATACATTGGCTAGCATACGTACTGTATAGGCAAGAGCAGTACGTGGAAGCCGAGGCTTTATATCGGCGATGCCTTAAATTGCGGGAGAGGGTTCTAGGGGAGGAGAATAAAGACACGCTATTGAGTATAGGTAACCTAGCATGCGTACTCTGTGAGCAAGAGCAGTACGTAGAAGCTGAGGCTTTACATCGGCGATGTCTTAAATTGCGAGAGAAAGTTCTAGGGGAAGGGCATAAAGACACGTTATTAGGTATATATTGGCTAGCGTATGTACTCTGTGAGCAAGAGCAGTATATAGAAGCCGAGGCTTTATATCGGCGATGTCTTAAATGGCAAGAGAGGGTTCTTGGGGAGGATTATGAAGCCACGCTACGGAGTGTAGGTGAGTTGGCATTTGTACTCTGTAGGCAAGAGAAATACGTGGAAGCTGAGGCTTTATACCGGCGATGTCTTAAATGGCAAGAGAGGGTTCTAGGGGAGGATCACGAAGCCACGTCAAAGAGTATAGGTAACCTAGCGTACGTACTCTATGAGCAAGAGCAGGATGTGGAGGCTAAGGCTTTATATCGGCGACGTATTAAATGGCAGGAGAGAGTTCTAGGGAAGGAGCATAAAGACACGTTATTGAGTATATACAGGCTAGCAAATATCTTAGGAGTGCAAGGAAGATATAAAGAGGCCGAAATCATATATCGGAGAACACTTGATGGGTTTGGAAGGACTTTGGGGAATGGGCATAAGGACACTTTGTGGAGTGCATATTGCCTGGCGGATTCGCTGTATCAGCTTGGAAAAGTTCAAGAAGCTGAGGCTATGTATCGGCGAACGATACAGGGAATGGAGAAGCTATATGGGAAGGAGCATCCATACACGCTGTCTGCCATAAACCGTTTAGCAGAAGCATTGGATGGTCAAGAGGAATACCAGGCAGCTGAGGAGATGTACCCTCGAGCGATAGAAGATGGTCAGTGCTAAGGATGAACCATCTAGCTACTTAACTGAGTCTTAGCAATCTGGCAAAATAGAAGGGAGAGCTGGAACGTGACTGAGCAACCTAAGTATAAGGTGAGGTGAGGGTTAGTAGCGCCTGAGCAGAGCAGCGATGGTGAGTAACCGCGTTGGAAGGAACAAAGGTAAAGATTCGGCGCAGATCACCACTATAATCTGCCTCGAACCTGAACCTCTCCAAAGTCCATTTCCGTCTTTGGACCTGAGCAGTCGCTGCTCTCGGCCAGAAAGTGGGAGCACGTGAGTCCGAGGGAAGCGGCATTTCAAAGCGTGAAATCAGATAAATGGTAAAACATACAAAATAAATAAACGGGTTAATATTGAAATAACGAGAGCAGAAACAATTGGGTGTATTGTATAAATTACTAACTAGTAGGGAGCTAGCACATGGGGCAAATCCCTCTGCAGTGTATGTATGATATTGTGTATCTAGCAAGACTCTTCTATTTCCCACGAACGCCACCCAAGGTTATGACCAATTGGCCCCTTAAGAAATGTGGATTCACTCATGCATTCATGAAATTTGGAGACGGCGTAAGTGGAGCTCTAAGTTAAGTCTTTTCGTCAGCGCAGAGCCGATGACTTTGCCGTCTTTCATTCTTCCAGCTCTCGCGGCACTGGCAGGCGTCGATTAAGAGAGAACAGGTCGATACTTCCAAGTGTCTTATGATACCCACAACCATTATCAAGCACAATATGGCCCATTTTTGTTTCGTTCCCCCCTCTGCCTCGCCTTAAAACGTGCGCGAGCGCGTTTCCATGTGATGAGTGCTTTGAGAGCATGCTTTAATGACTCTACTGGCCTTGACAGTGTGACTCCTTCCTCGCCTTCCTTTGTGTTGAATTCCCTGTCTTGCTTTTTTGCATTGCGGCCCGTTATTGGAATCTAATTTTGACTTATTCGGCTGCTTAGGATTGACTGAGTGTAGAAACAATTAGTCCTGTGATAAAATTAAAGAGCAGTTGTCCTTACCTTGGGACCTCGCCTCTGGTGGGTTCTGCAGAAGTACTCTGCGAGAAGGGAAAACAGGCGGAACTTCCCTTCTTCCTCATCTTCTTTGTTTTCTACGTAGCTAGCCTATGAGATTGATCCTATTAGTCTACGTACGCACTCCCATATGCCTCTGCCGTAGCCTGTGATCGCTCGTGCCATTACATAGGGTATCTAGGGGTAGCTATAGAATTAATTTTTGATAGGTTATATTCTATAGCTACCCCTAGATACCCTAGGTAAGGTATATACTAATTTTAAGATGCTTCAAGTCAAAGTACCTATTATTTTTTTCGGCACGCAGGGATAGACGTTACACAGTCTAAAAACCCTGCGAGGTCGGACCCACTTTTATTCAACGAAACCCTCCGCGGCAACGAAACCAAACCCCCCGCGGCCTTCGCCCAAAGAGCAGGAGCCACCCGTACTGTGCCACAGTACCGAACAAGTACCGAATTTCGTTTGGCCTTAAATAGGTAGCCAAGGTACCCACCTTACTTACAATTCCTCGCGCCGAATCTCAGATGAGAAAGTGATTTCAATCCAATTTTCGCAAGAGAAACCCGACAGCCGCTCGCACCACCTTGTTCCTTCCCTTGGACCCTCGCTCGCTTCAGCCCAACGGCCTCTCATCCTCTCAGTCACCATGACACAACAAGACGCGTCTGCTTCGACTCTCGAGTCCAAAGAAGCTTCGGTCGATGGTAAGGATGCGACCACGAAAGAAAGCCCTCCGCAGTTCAAGCGGGGGCCGAGGTTCTGGATCATCTTGTTTGTCCTCGCACTCGTCAGCCTCCTCACATCTTTGGAAACCACCGTCACCTCGACGATCCTGCCATCCATCGTTGCCGATTTGAACGGAGGCGAGAATTACATATGGATTGCTAACGCCACCTTCTTGACCATGTAAGCCTCCCCGCCTCTCGCGAGAGAGACACGGCCGTATCTAACCACCTCTGGGAATTGATTTGTGTAGGACTGCTCTTCTGCCCCTGTTTGGCCAGCTCGCAAACGTGTTTGGCCGCAAGTGGCCCCTGGTCTTTTCCGCGGCAGCCTTCATGGTCGGGAGCGGTTTATGTGGCGGGTGAGTTGCTGCTTTCTCATACTTACCTAGGTAGCCGGGGAGCCATTTTCTCCGCCAGAGCCCAGAGTCGGGTGTTTGCTGACGAGACCGGGCAATGCACAGAGCTTCCAACATAGCCATGATGATCAGCGGCCGAGCGATTCAGGGGATTGGAGCCTCGGGCATCGGCGTCCTCTGCGAGATCATCATCTGCGACCTGGTGCCACTGCGCGAGAGGGGCACCTACATGGGCATCGTGTTTGGCATGGTCGCTTTGGGAGCCGCCCTCGGCCCTCTCTTTGGCGGACTCCTCGTCAGCTATAGCACCTGGCGCTGGTGTTTCTACATGGCTCTGCCCATTGGCGGCGTCGCGTTAGTGCTGCTCGTTGCCTTCTTGAATGTCAAGTATAACAAGTCTCAGACGCTGGCCACCAAGCTATCGAGCCTCGACTGGCTGGGCAACGTCTTTTTCATCGGCGGCGTCATCCCTGTGCTGATCGCCCTCAGCTGGGCGGGTAGCCTCCACCCGTGGTCTTCCTACCAGGTCCTCGTTCCGCTGATCGTCGGTCTCGCCGCGCTGGGAGCCTTCGTGTGGATTGAAGGCAATCCCCGCCTCGTGCCAAATCCCATGATACCCACCTACCTCTTTCAACATTCCATCACCCTGATCGTCTTCATCCTCACCTTTCTCCACGGCATCGTTACCCTGTGGGCCACATACTTTCTCCCGGTCTACTTCCAGGGCGTTCTCGGCGAGAGCGCCTACCGCTCCGGCATCATGCTGCTTCCGACGATCCTCGCACTCCTCCCAGCCGCCGGGATGGGCGGCGTGCTGCTTACCAAGTTCGGCCGCTACAAGCCCATCCTCATGGTCGCCTTTGCCGTGATCGCTGTCGGCTTTGGCCTCTTCTCGATGCTGGACGAGAACTCGAGCACGGGCGCCTGGGTGGGCTTCCAGGTGGTCGAGTCCTTCGGCGCGGGCTTCGGCATGGCGGCCATGCTCCCGGCGCTGCTGGCCCCGCTGACGGACAAGGACACGGCAGTGGCGACGAGCGTGTGGGCCTTTTTCCGCACCTTCGGCGTCATGTGGGGCGTCGCTGTCGGCGGCGCCGTCTACACCAACCGGTCCGCGAAGCTGGCCGCCGCGGGCGCCATCAGCAGCAACGCAACCGTGGCCGCTCACTTCATCGCCGGCGGGGCGTATGCGTCCGCCGAAGCCCGCTTTCTCAACTCGCTCTCGGCACAGACGCGCGCCGAGGTGATCGCCGTGCAAAGCAGTGCACTCCAGCGGTCCTGGCAGGTTGCCATTGGCTTCGGCGCGCTGGGCCTCATCGCTGCTGCTTTGATGAAGGAGATACCGCTCAGGAAGGAAAACAACACCGAATTTGGCATGGTGGAGAAGGAGGAGGAGGAGGACAAGCCGACCGAGGAGGAGGCTAGGAGCACAACTGTTGGGTGACGGGTGGTGACGTGTCACGGCCTGGACAAGCTGTGGGGGTGGAAATGGGTGTATATTGGTATGTTTATAAAGGAATGATGGTGCCCTGAGGGCGGTGAAGAAGCTATATATGACTGTGCGCAGCACGTGACATGACGCCACCAGGGAGGAAGGAACCAGCTAGCTAGTTAGTCAGCCAAGCCATTTAGGGCTTCGGGCTTAGATACGAATAGAGTCGTCTTTGCCTCCATCTGCTTCTCTTGACAACAACAGAGAAGGAGGTCCCAGCGGCCGCGTCGTGATATCGCTCAAGACACGGGCCTTTCCACAGTCGAGAAGGGTAACATACAATAGAGGGCGGCGGGAACTGGCGATTGGCGAGTGCATTTAATGGAAAGGGTTCTCTCTTGCTTCTGGGCACATCGCCATGGTATGGTTTGTGATAGATATCTTAATTCTACCTAGTCATCGAGAAATCCCATCGACTCCTGGATGCTGGCTCGTATCGACTCTACGTACGACTTGCTTCCCTGTCGTGACTTGACATCCTCCTGTGCCAAAACAGCACAAAACAACCATGCTCGATCCGCACGGGACAATATCCCCGGGGCGGCCGCCGGGGGTGAGGCAGCCGCCTCGCCCGAGAGACAGTATTCGGTCGGAATCCCCATGCAGCGCTCCAGAGTCCGCACCTGGCCCTGGATGGCATCGAGGATGCCCGTGGCATATATCTTGAGCGGCATATCCTGGAGCGAAGAGATGCCGCCGATGCGGAGCACCGACTTGACCTTGACGGACTTGAACGAGTCCGGCGGCATCTGGGAGATGAATTTGTGGATGGTGTGGAACATAGCGTCGAAGAGCCTCATCAAGGATAGGTAGCTCGACAAAGCCAGGAGCACGATCTCCGTGCTAAGCGCATCCTCGCTCTGTTTGTGCGTCCGACCAGCCGGCGTCAAGCTCTGGATGATGTCGATGAACTCTTTGCTGCACGTAAGGAGTACCGCAGCCGGATTCTCGGGCTCCCGGCCCGCACCCTCCTCTTTGCAGCCCTGCACAACTTCGAGGGGGTCCGAGTAGTATGCGTCCATCGTCGTAATTCGCTGGTCTATTTCCTCTTGGAACCGCATCAGCGAGCTTGCCGGGCTTGAGCATTGTGGTAGGGGAGTAGTCGGGGGGAGCACGCCCTTCCACGGATCAAGGAGTGGATCAACAACATCCATGTCGAGCGCAGTGCTCGAGTCCCAGCCCATGTGGAGCATCGCGCTGAGCTCATCATCCGCACTCAGTAGCCCCTGAAGTTGTGATGGACTGCTCAGCTGATCCACTGTCAGTGCGAGGATGTCTTCGCCCGGCGCAGGGCTTTGCTCGATCGATGGGGAGTGAAAGTAAACGGAGCTGTCGCCCGGCGTTGCCCAGAAATCTGCTGCCTGTGGCCCGTGAGCCAACGGATCCCTTGGCGGATGCACGGTGGACTTGGAAGCCGCGAGGTCCGACTCTGCGATGCCGTCCAGCCGGTCCCACGACGTGTGTCTGTCTGTCCTGCACGCTCTTGCAGGCGCGCCGGCCGACGCGGGCTCCCCCGCCATGGCAGGGGCATGGACCTCGACATAGTTCGTGTCTCGCAATGTCGACGGGGTGTCGCCGTCGACGAGACGCGGCTTGCGCGGTCGTCCGGGATGGCCGGGGGCGCTTATCACGCATCGAGCACCGATGTGGGAGCAGCGGGCGCACGGCGCCGTGCTGTTTTGGGCGCGAAGGCACTGCACTCGCCTCGCTCTGCACTGGTCGCAGGCAGAACGCCTGACTGCCGGCTTGAACATGTTGGTATCCATTCGTGCTGGCTCGAGGTGGGACTCGCGAGGATCGGACTAGAGCCAGGTGGGCTTCCTGCTCAAGGAGACACGAGAAATCGAGTGCGATACGACCAGGCTGAGACTGAGACGACGACGCTTGTCGGTATCACCGGGGTGAGTACTCAAATTGAGCGTTGATACATTACACGGGGCTCTGGGCACAGCAATCAGTCTGTCGATTCTGTGTCCTAAGCTCGTTTGTGCGTGTATCTGGTGTCAATTTCGTCTGCTCTCTCTTCTTAAGGGACGAGAGAGCGTCTATATATATGCCCTGCGTACGCTAAAATGCGGCCGCAAGACAGCTGAAACTGTGCCTCCTTCGTACATACAGGTAAAACACGCCTATTCGGCGGCGAAGACTGCGCCTGCCCACGACAGGCGTACACGTGACTTTTCCGTGAGCGTGCATCGGTACGGAGGTACAGCGGTCAAGTAAAGTAATGTTTTGACAGGGGGTCGCCGCGAACACACGACTTCAACACCACATAACTCTTGCTATACCTGACCAAATATTATTTTTAAAATACTGGAATACTCCCTAAGACTTGGTGAATATATTGGTGTAATTTTTCACAATTTTATCTGTTAATGTTGTTGCGTTACAAGGTTGAAAAGTTTAGACCCCTGCTAGCGCTATTACTTTACTTACCCGCTGTACCTTCGTATGGAACCGACAACGCTCGACATGGTGGGCAAGGTTGGTTGGACAAGGTGCGGTTGTTGGTTGGACAAGCGAGACAAAGTTGCCGCGCCCGCATGCCAGAAAAAGAAAACCCCCGCGGAGGGTTTGTGGCCACAGCCAATCAGCAAAAATACCGAGCCGCTCTCCATCTTACCGATAGGTACTACCTTGATTTCCCGATGCAAGCACTGGGAACTCAACAGCTGGGTGTTGTTGCTAGGTACCAGGGGCCGCATTAGCGGAAGCAAATGCAAAGAGTAAAAGCCTGATTTAGACTAATTCCGAAGCATTGATTTCATTTCGGAGCTATAAAGGGCCGTTCTGAATAAGTATAGCCAAAAATCGTCTATAAAAATCACCCTTTATAATTAAAGTCCCACCCACTACTTATAAAAGGGACTCTAATTAAAATTATAAACTTGTAAGACACTCTATTATATAAAAGAAGCCCTAGAATACTCGTAAAACACGCTTATTTATTATTAGCCTCAAGAGTATCTATTATTTTCTCAAGCAAATTAGTAATAAGAATACTATACTTTATAATTACTAAGATACACTTTTTAATTTTTCTAAATCCCTTAGAAATAATATTATAATAAAACGTTATTATTATATTATAATAATAATATATAGATAAATGAGAGGGAAGAGTAATATAGTACGGGTGGCCAGAGCTTAAATATAGTAAGTGTGGTCACGTGAGCCTGCACGTGACCACTAGCACGCAATTGCCATATAACATATGCCCCTAAAAAAGAAAGAACTATATAGTTCTCTATACTATATATATATATGATTTACTTATATATACGGGCCAACTTTTCGAAAAGAATAGAAAATCGAATAAATTCCACTCAAAAGCTTAAAAAATAGCCTTATCTAATATCCCTGAACCCTATAGCCTAATACTAGTAACCAAAGCATCTCAATAGTATTATATATATATATTTAATATATAGGGAGTATAGGAAGGAAGCTAGGAGTATAAGAGAGAAGCAGGGGGCTATTAATAAGCTAAGGAAGGCTGTTTAATAGTAGGAGGAGGAAAAAGCTCATTAATAGGAAAGCAGGCTATTTAATAGCAAGAGAATAGTAGTTGAGGCTATATGAAGCATATAGGGATATTAAGTTAAGAAAGAGGCTATTACGATATTTATATATACTATAGTTAATATAGAAGTCGTTTATAGTATAGAAGTATTAGGAGAATAGTATTAGTTATAATTACTAGAGGGCAAGTATAGTATTCTAATTTAGATAATAGTAATTATAATACGGATAGTAATAATTAAAAATCGATTTATTTATTAAATAGAATACTTAATTAAGAGGTCTAATTAAAAAATATAGTAATATTATAGAGGTATTAACGGTTTCTAATTAATAGCTTAATTAAAAGATTAACTAGTTAGAGTAGAGCTTTAGAGGGCTTATTAGAGGAGGTATAGAAGAATTTGCAGGTAATTAAGAATAAGGAAACTCTAATTAAATCGAATTAAAGAGTATTACTATTATTTATTATAATAAAATATTATTATTATATTATAATAATAATATATAGATAAATAAGAGGAAAGAGAAATATAATATAGGTAATTAGAACTTAAATATAGTAAATATAGTCATATAAGCCTATATATAACTACTAGTATATAATTATTATATAATAAATAAACTTAAATAGCTTATATTTTTAATTTATATATATACTTATAAGCTATAAATATTAGTTATAAATATTATAAATAGAAAATAGGGCTAGAAACTTATTAATTACTAGAAGTTAAAAACTTTAACTAATAATATTTAGCTTATTACTTTTAAATATTAGCTTGCTTATAAATACTAGTTTTTTAATATTGGCTTATTTATAAGTATTAGCTTCTTTAATATTAGTTTACTTATAAATATTAGATTAGAAGATTTTAATTTCTTGCTTTAAAATATTAAGCTAAGATTTTCGAGTATAATTTGCTTTAAAGCTTTTATAAAAGTTAATTTCGAGTTTATAAGATCTATTTCTTTATCTTTGCTTTTATTAGTAATTAAAGTTTTTAAAGAACTTAATATAAAAAATTTATAATAATAATATTAATAGCTTAAAAAATTAACTTTATTATAGGTATTAGTTTTATAAGCTTATAAAGTTAATTTCGAGTTTATAAGATCTATTTCTTTATCTTTGCTTTTATTAGTAATTAAAGTTTTTAAGGAACTTAATATAAAAAATTTATAATAATAATATTAATAGCTTAAGTAATTAACTTTATTATAGGTATTAGTTTTATAAGCTTATAAAGTTAATTTCAAGTTTTAAAGCCTTAAAAATAATTCAAAAACTTATTTAAGAAATATCGGGTATTTATATTATTATAATAATAGTTATAATAAAATTCGCTAAAGAATTTTATAATAATAATATATTTAACTTATATTTTATTATTATTATTATTATTATTATAAAAATACTCGAAATTAGCTATAATACTAATAATCTAATTAATAAAAGCCTTAATATTAGAAGTATATTTGAAATTTAATATTTTGCTTTTATAAAGCTAAGCTTTATAAGCTAAAACTAGTTAAAAAAGATTTATTATAATATTTATAAGCTTTTTTAATAGCTTCGAAATTGGGGTTTCTATAATTAAAATAAGCTAAAATAAGGCTATAAAGCTATATTACTTATTAATTAGAATATTAATTATTATAGTAAGAATTACTGAATTAGAGCTAGTATAATTGCTCTATTTAGTCAGGATCTATATACTTATTTCCTAAAGCTTTATATTTTACTCAAGCTCTTTTCTAGCTAGTTAAATAAGCTCTTTTACTATTTAATATAACTCCCTATTCTGTAATCTTTATATATATATTAGTTATAAGCCCGGCCTTATACTAATAAGCTTTCTAATTAGTATATTATAGAAAGTATTTAAAAGCTTATTTAATTCAATTCTTTAAAAATTATACTTTAGTTTATATTTCTGTTATTAACTAATTAATAGAAATTATTCCTATAGCTCCTACTATTTCTATAAGCTTAATTATAATTATATTAGAAGCTATAGTAAAGATTATTATCCTAAAGAACTATAGTTCCTAGGCGGACTAGTTTAATACTTTCTATAGAGTAGCTAGTAATAAGGATATCTGGGATAAGATTAACTTATTTAATAATAAAATAATTAAAATAAATATAGTAGCTCCTCCCAGGCCTTCCCTTATAATTAATAAGCTTATACTAAAGAAAATAGAGAATTACTATACTAGATACCAAGTTAAAGCAGAGAATTAGAATAAGAATACTCGACCTATAATTAAGAAAAAATTAAAACTAGTATTTCTATAGCTTATAATATTCGGGAATATTAGAGATTACTATTTGGTACTTTTATAGGACTATAAGATAAAGAAACTAGACTAGATAAATAAGCTAGTATATTATTATATAATTAGATAATAGCTCTATTAAATAGTTAATATAGAGATCCTTATAAACTTTATTTTGGGACTTAAAAAAAGTAAATAAAACTCTATTTATAAGATTCTTAAGGCTTTATCTATAAAATATAGTTCTATAAATATAGTATAAATTACTACTGCTTAGAGAATATATAGCTTAGTCTTACTATAAGTAAGTAAAGAAGAAATAAGCCTAAAGTACTAGTTTATTAATTGAGAGAAAATACTTAATAAAGCCAGAGTTCTCAAAATTGCCAAAATTAAAGGAACTCTAGTAGTAATTGAGTTCTTAATAGCCTTCTAGTAAAAGCTCGTACTAATATAGGTAATAGAATAGCTTAGTAATCTATATAGCAAGAATGAACTAGGGCTTCCGATTCTTATACTTGAATAGTATAGCCAGGTATTTAATTAGATTATTTTAGAAAACCAGAATACCAAGTACTTAGGAGCTCCTATAATCTTTATTATATTCGGGAATTAAACTAGTAAAGAATTAGCTAGTAAACCCGATTCAGATAAGTATAAATACTATAAATACTTTTATAAGAAGTCTAAGAACTTCAAGTATTACTAGGACCTATTTAGCTATATTATTATAGAAATTATAATTACTGGATTAAATAAAACTTAGGTAAAATTTAAATCTAATAAAAAATAAATTAGAAAGATTCGGGAAAGGCTCTTAACTAAATATTAGAAGGATCTGAAATCTTAGCTAAAAGAGAAATATAATATAAAAATTACTAGTAGACAAGTTATAGAGAAACTAATACCCGGTACTAGTTCTAAAAAGAAGCCTAAAATATCCGGAACCTAATTTCCTAAGAACTTTAATATTATTCTAGTAAATTTAATATTTATAATCCAGGGCCTAGATTAAGGAATTTATATAATACTCGATTTCTTAAAATATTTACTTTCTTAGAATACCTTATTAGATAACTATAGTATTATATATCTGGTTAATAGTAAGAATTTAATTAATTCTAGTACTTTTATTAAGGTAAAAATTAATAATTATATAGAAGCAAAAATAACTAATCTTCTAATTATTAGATATAGTATTTATATAATTAAAAATATAATTAATAGACTTATGGGACTATATACTAAAAATCTAATTCTTTATAATATTATAGTTATTAAAAGGTTCTATATAAATATTATTTCCGAAGCTTGCCTAGTAAAAAAGAAAGCTTAGTATTATAAATATAATCTTATAGTTAGATTAGAAGATTATAAAGAAAATATAGTATTAATATAATTAGAATATAGATTTAATTTAGTTTTCCTTAAATATAAGCCGCTTTTTATTTATTTTAATATTCTAATTAAAACTTCTACTAGTACTAATAATATACTTATATTTCTAATACTCGAATATTTAATTAGAGCTTAATATAAGAGATTAAGAAAGTATCTCAAGCCAAGAAGTAATTTAGAAGAAAAATAGTATATAAAAACAGGGTATTTAGCCTATAAAGCTTTATAAAAGCTTATTAATTATATATATAATATAAAAATTAATAGACTA